TTATTTTAGAAAGAATTTAAAACAGTCGCAGAGACCTTTAGTGTTTTGTTTTGAAAGAATTCAAGGGCCCCTAGTGTTTTTTTAAGATTATGAAAGAACCTTTGGGACCCCTGTTTTTTGTTTTTACTTCCCGAGTGTAAGCAAAGGAAGTATTGTAATCGAGGCCGTCGGCCGACTCTCTACTTTTACATTTTTTCGATCTTTCATGACCCCTAGAAGACGAAGAAATAGGTCTCCCATTTCCGTCTGTCTGTCCGTCTGTCCGTCTGTCCGTCTGTCTGCCGTCCCGGATTTTTATTAGACAGATTATCTCCGAAAGTACTGGGCCGATTGTTGTCAAATTTTGTATTTATATTAGGTATATTATGTAGATGGTAAAACGCTAACCAAAATTTGTGTAATCATCCCCACCACTAATGTGATGACGTCACTGCAAAATTGTACATAGTAATTGGGTTTTAAATTGTATTAAATAACATAGTCTTACACATGTAGTTTATGATTCCGAATTGACATTTTACCAGAAACGTCCAATTATGAAACAACATTTTGATGTTTAATTTGAAATCTACAAAACCGAATGCTTTGAAATCTTGCAGATGGTTTATAGTTATGATAAGCATGATAAAATTTTAATTACAATATATTTATTTTATCCCCTCCAAAAAATTGATGACGTCACCCCAAAATTTTGCGGAATAAATCCTATCTAAAATGTGCAAAATATGATGAGTCTCTTCTTGTTATTTATCAATCCATTCATATTTTTTGGATATGACCCAAAAAAATTAATGAATGCGTGAATTTATTTTATTGATTTAATCAGGAACTACAGAACCGAATGCTTTGAGATTTTGCAAATGTTTTAAGGTTATAAAGAGCATAGTAAATTTTTAGTCAAAATATATTTGCTTATCCCCTCCAAAAAATTGATGACGTCAGCTCAAAAGTTTGCCGAATAATTCTATCTAAAATGTACAAAATATGATGAGTCTCTTCTTGGGATTTATCATTCCATTCATATTTTTTGGATTTGCATATACAGGGTGACCCAAAAAATTAATGAATGGGTAAATTTATTTTATTGATTTAATCAGGAACTACAGAACCGAATGCTTTGAAATCTTGCAAATGTTTTAAGGTTATAAAGAGCATAATAAATTTTTAGTAAAAATATATTTGCTTATCCCCTCCAAAAAATTGATGACGTCAGTTCAAAATTTAGCCGAATAATCAATCCTATCTAAAACGTACAGAATATGATGAGTCTCTTCTTGTAATTTATCATTCGATTTATATTTTCTGGACTTGGATATACAGGATGACTCAAAAAATTTAATGAATGCGCAAATTTATTTTATTGATTTAATCAAGAACTACAAAACCGAATGCTTTGAAATCTAATGCGAAAAAAAAACATAATTGGCTTGCAGTCGTCACGTTTCCGACAGCGAGGGAAGTACTGTCTAAACTCTTTAGACCAATTATTTTGAAAGAATTTGAAGAGATCTTGACGATTTTTCATGTTTTGTTTTGAAAAGAATGTTATGGCCCCCTAGTGAGTGGAGGTTAGGAGTCCTTAATGTTTTTGAAAGAATCTTAAAAGATTTTGTGAATCTTTGTGATTTCAAATTCTTTCCGAAGAAAGCATGTGAAAGAACTTTGGGAACCCTTGTCGTTTGTTTTTTGAAAGAATTTTGGAGGAGCTTGAGGATTTCTCGAGTTTTGTTCTTCAAAGAATTTGAAAGAATCTTTGGAACCCCTGGTGTTTTGTTTTTTTGAAAGAGTTTCAAAGTATCTCGTTGATCCATAGTGTTTTTTTTAAGAATATGAATGACTTTCGGATTCTCTTGTATTTGATTTTAGAAAGAATTTGAAACAGCCTGGGAGATCCTTGGTGATTGGTTTTTGGAAGAATTAGGTACCTAGAGCCTTGTCTTTTGTTTTTTGAAAGAATTTGAAAAGACCTTGAGGATTCCTGGTGCCTTCTTTTTGAAAGAGTTTAAAAGAATGTTAGGGACGACGATTTTTCGGGATCGTTTGTTTTATTTTAAAAAGAATTCGGAAAAAGTTCAGACACCTCAGCTGTTTTGTTTCTGAAGAAGTTTGAAAAAACTTTTAGGTGTCCCTTGTGTGTTGTTGAAGAATCTTAAAGGTCTTTGTGGTTGTTAGAAGATTTTGTATTTTGTTTTTGAAAAGAACATGAAAAGAGCTCGGAAATTTACGATGTTTTTTTTTTGAAAGAGTTTGAAAAAATCTTAAAAGAATTTGTGGATCTTTTATTTTTTGAAAAATTTTAATAGACTGGGGATTCCTGATGTTTTACGGTTTTTGCAAAAAATAATTGAATCTTAGGTGCAGTTTTCGTTTTTTGTTAAATATGTGAAAACACGTCCATTGTGTGTGTTTATGCACAATAAACAAGTCTATACAACACATTTCAAGGGAATTAGCGACAAACCCAGACCAATTTACGCGGCAATTACGTGACGAAACACACTCAATCCTCAATAATTCAAAAAAATTCCTTTCTTGCGCTTTCACGTTTAAAATATCGCGAGTCGAACAATTATAAATTCAGTAAACATCAGAAGCGACGCTCGTCTGTGTAATCAATGCTAAAGTCACGACGCGACGCCTCGATGAATACTTTACTTTTGCCTTGTTCGCAAAGAATGTAGACTTTCGGCTTAATTCCTTATTCAAATTGTGTTTCCCGATTCAGCGTCAAGAATGCCACAAAATTAGTTCAACGTGACTACACTAAATTAAACGGGCTTTAAATGAACCAATTAAATTTACGGCGTGGATGCGGGGGACTCGGATGTTTAATATCGAAAATAAAGTCTTCTTGTCGTTGGAGATAAGTAAAGAAAATTTATAGCAAAACGAACAACAATCGTAAAGTTGCTTGTTCGTGATTAGTAGTGTGTCAATATCGCAAGTTGTTGATAAAAAAGTGCTCGTAGCGATAGAGTTGGCACCAATAGGTACTCTTTTTTTGCGGATTTTTGGTATTTTGTAAATGGAGTCGTCGGTTTGTTTGATTTCAAATTTGGCGAAAAATGTGAGTTTGGTCCGCGCCATAAAGTAGTTCCGAAAGGATAACTTCCTCGATAATTCGTGATCAAATAGAGAGATTATAATCGGTCGTTATCGAGAAGTATCAAATGGAAAAAATAAATTTATATTAGAGTGTTGTAATTGAATTGTTGACGACGTGCTTATCTGCACATAGATTACGTATTGCATTTAATGTTTTTTTAAATGTATTTTTCCACTGTTTAAATTAGCCGAGGCTCAATTGCAGGCTTTTATTTTATGGATCTGCAGAAGACGAGTCAAGAGCCTCCAGCCAATGTCATCTGCAGTTAATGAAAGAAAATTAAATAACGCCGAGTAAATATTGCTTTTGAGTCAGACTGTGGTTAGTCGACACGTAATAGTCAAACCCGAGTAGTACGGGTTTTGGATGTATTGTAGTTTGCTGCTCAATTACCGAGAACTATTTTAGTTTTCCCAGGCCACGTTTATTTTCTTTCAACTCCCTCCTATAGTAAATTATACATGTCAAACAGCTGTTCGTCGGCTTTTTCTATATTTAACTTTTCTATAAACAACGAATGCACCTTCACACTCGATTTTCAAAAAATGAAAGACGTTAACCTCTTCATAAAACAACACTTGACGAGTGCTCCAAAATTCCTTGCATATCATCATAAAATACTAAATTACGTGCAAACTGTTTTTTTATTGGTAGCAAGGTTGGTCAAGGGCACTGGCGGAACTTGCCAAATTCTCTCTGCCAAATTTTGTTACACAATTGGGTTGATTTTTAATTTATTTCCCACTTTTTGTTCTTTTGTTTTATCATTTTATTTACACACTCTTTGGACTCCGTTTGTGAAAAAAATCGCTATTGTTGAGAAACGTGCTTGAAAAGTAAATAATACCTCTTTTACAAACAGTTTTGGCATATTGGATGTTCGAAACCGTCTGCTTGTTTAAAACACAATTACAAACAACTCGTGTATGCTATGCAAAGAATGTTCCTCTGAAACAACGTTCCAATCTTTTATTTTAACCGAATTTTAAAGAAATTTCTTCTAATTAACCGTGAAACTATTTAGTCAAAAGTAAAAATTAGGATTATACAGAATGTCTCCTATTTCACTTAACACCCATCAGCCTACTCAGTTTTCAATTTTACATATTTTTTTATGACGTCATCAACTTTTTGGATGGATCTGTCTAAATTTTAGTCGACATTCCGTGTTCATTAAATCAAGGTTACTGTGGAATTTCATGAGGAATAGAAAGCAATAAATTAAGTCCTTTGTGACTATGTTTTTGTTTATAGGTCTTTCTCGTGTTCCTTGAAATAGACGGATAATAAAATTAGAGTTTACGGTAAGACCCCAAAGTTGTTTTGTATCGACGAAATGGTGGCGTGCCGCACACAACCAACGGAGTTTCCCTTGTGAAATTCAAGCTTGAACTAGGCTTTGTGTGCAGATTTTCTAAATTCCAGCCGCTTGTGTTTATTAATAATAAAAGGGAAGACGTGTCCAAATTATATGAAACAAATTTGATAAAAGTTTAAAATAAACGTTGGCATCGTTGTAGGGAGTTTTTAGCAAAATTTATTTTTGAAAATTATTAATATATTCGTTGTGTTTAATCCAAATAATACTAACTGGGCTATAGTTCCATTTTTGTACTGATTAAGCGTAATTCTGTATCATTCAGATAAGCTATATGATATCTATATATAAGTAATTACGGTATTAATAATAATATAATTCGATCAACAGGACAGATACATTTATTGACCCACAAAAATTAGTACCGAGACACGTATTTTTCAGAATTAGCCAACAAATACTTAATTTCAACCAGATTTTGTTTTTTTAACTTTATTTTTAAGTACTTATAATTTACAGTTATTTTGATTTGTTTTTCTTTTAATTTACTTTGTTTTTCTTTGTTTTTGTTTAAAGAGAAGTGATCCTGGCGAAACTATCGCAAAAGCTGCACCCCGCCAGCGCCCCCGAGCCTAAGCCGATGCCACCCCCTCCTCCCCCTCCCCCGAAGGCAGAGCCGCCAAAGCCGCCGCAGCCGACTCCCACGCCCCCACAGTCGCTTCCCAAGCCGATTCCACCGCCGCCCCCCAAAGCCCCACAGCCCCCCAAACTAGACCCCCCGGCCAAGCCCCCCCGGTCCCCCTCACCGCACCCTCTGCGGGCTGAGGCCTTCGAGGACATCGAGTACGAGGAGGAGGAAGAGGAGAGCGAGGAGGACGAGGATTCGGTGACAGTCCCCGGAAAGTCGGCCCCCTCGGTTAACGATTTTATAAATGTCGAAATCGACCAGCAGAGGCGCAATTTTGGCCCCCAAAGGTACACCGAGCAAGTACTAAAAAAGCAAAGTGACTAACAGCTGTCTAATTTTCGACCGTCTAGTTGTCTACTAATAAAATTTATCGAATGAAAGACGTTTTTTATTCTGCGATGGGACGAAATTGGAGTTCGATTGCTTATTTTTGGGTGCGGAGAGGCAATCTGTGGTGGAGTTGTAGCCATAAAAGATCTTGCGGTGTTATTACTATAAAGCAAACACATAAAAAGCGAATGTCAATAGGAGGGTGGTTTATAAGCAATTTGTCGCTCACGCGGACGTTGAAGTGTTGAAGTGGTTTTATTGGAAAACTGGACGGAAGCAAGAGTAACACATTTGCTTGCTTTTTCTGATAAGAATTTTTTTTCTAATAATTTATATACAGTTTCCGACAAAAAATTTCAAACATCACTTTTCTGTCATGTCAAAAATTTTAATGTAGTCTATGCTTTATTGTCATTATTTCAGACAGCTGCTTTACACTATCTGACGACTGAATGACATTGACGTCTGAAATTTTTTGGCGGCAACTGTATATAATGTCAGACACTTGAATAGGTAAGTTTGAATATTAAAAATGCATCTAAAGTAACACATTTTGGTGTGACAACGAACTCCATCTTGTTGAATCTTTGAATAGGTAGAAGAGTCAAGTGGTACTTTGGCTAAAGGTTTTAATAAACTCATGTACACAATCATGACGGAAATCGGGGATCTTTTTTTCATATTCTATCAGGCAAACGTGATTTTGAATTCGTTATACTTTGAATAAATTTTGCACGTCGCTATACTTTAATTCGTAAGTATGTAATAATGCTATTATCAAAGGCATTAATACCGTTGTAATCATTATACTAACTAAGTATGCTTTGTAATCGGCTAGTGAAATAAAGGAGCTAAAAAGTTGACTTAGCTTGTGTAGAATGATTCAGTTGTAAGAAATGTTGCCATAAAAATTTACATGTACCAACAAAACGGTTATAAAAGTCGATCTTTTTACATAAAACTGATACTTAAGCGAAGATACGGTTAGACAAGTGTTTCTTTTTGTTTTTGTCGAAGCTTACTCCGACCTACTAACTCTTAACAAAGCAAGAAGAACATCATTAAAATTTTATCCGCTTGCTAAAAATAGCGAACGGTTTTTATTACGGAACGTCAAATCTGACGTTTGTTGGAATAACAGCACGATGCACGTAGATATCATTTTTGAGGAAAACGGTTAGGAATATTAAGTATGCAGGAAGGACAAGAACAGAAAGTTGTACGAAAATCGATAAACGTGGGGATGAACAGCTGATCTGGAGAACCACCCCAATGTAACCTACATTCGAGTTGAATGTCAACTTGTAAAAGGCAGGATCGGCTAACCGGAAAGCTGCCGCAAGATTACGTAATCTAAAACATCGTAAAATATTAACTGCGTTTTGTTGATCATTACACACAATATAAATCAAATATTTATTTGAAATTTTCTAAATACACGTTTAGTTGTGGAAAAATGAGTTGTAAGTTTTAAAATGAATCGTCTGATAAATCGAAGAGTTTTGGTGATGTAATCGAGACGTTTCGTCTGAGAGATTAGGCATTATCAGTTGCGGATCGCGAGATGAGGTGGCGATGCATAGTAACAATGTTAAAAATTTTGTTTTCAAGCTGAGAATTGTCGGAATTTGCCAGCTGGCCGGTAAAGTGGGTTATTTTTTTCTATTTACATTTTGAATGAAGTCAAAAAATATTGTTATGTAACGGATAGTAAATTTTCTTCGGTTCCTTTGATTTACTACGTTCATGGGTATAAAAATAAAGGTCTAAAAATACAGAGTCCGTTGTTTAGCGTCCGTTACGTAAGGTCTTTCCAACAATTCGCAATAAAAATCCAATCAATTGATAAAAAATCGGTTCTATGCATGATCGAGCTGAATTGTGCACGCTGCAGGAGGATAATAAATTCCGACCGTTCCGATGACGGGAAAGTCACGAAACGTTATCTAATGTTTTCGAAAAATCGAATTTTCCGATGGGAAACATGCGATCCTATTTATAAAATTGGTTCTAGCGAAGCTCGGAACTAAATTAGATATCTTATTAGCTCGATTTGGTTTCCGTTATCACGAGTCATAACGCGTTCGATACAAAGGTGTTTCGGTTCTTATCAGCGAACTCAATTTTTTGATAACACAACGGTAAATGTAATTAATTGCCCCTCGAACCTTGAAAATGACGTTTTCTGCAATTTAAAATCGCAAAACGAAGTGTCAAATCCCCACCTCGGAGGCGGGGATTGGATTTTCTAAATAGATCCGTCGGTTAATTCCTTAAAAAAAATAAATTTTCAAGTTCACTATCGAAAATTTAAAGTGGTAGGTCGGGCAAGAATACGTTAGAGGCAACGATTGGTTCAATGTAATTCTGTAAACCTGACGTCATTGGGGTGGTGGGGTTGACACCAAGACCTCTTCTACAACGGGTACCTACTCATAAACTCATAGTCGGTTCATTCTTCAGAGAGTGTGTTTCAAGCCAGACCTTTAACTAAGGTGAGCCCTTATTGTAATTATACAACCGGTGCTTCCCTTTTCGTATCTTTTATACATCCACACGCTAATCGCCTCCTTCTAACACGAAAAATTTTCGATTTTTGCTTGGTTTTCCCGCAGTGCACTAACGAGACACCTTGTGTCGAAATTCCATCGATACAGGGCGAATCCGACTAACAGCCAGTTTTTTTAAGTGTTACGTAACATTGGGCGTTCGGATTGCGACCCTCCGTTTCGAGCCGGACGCTCTATCGAAAACGCCTCGTCAATTATCCAATAAACTCAGTTAACAGCTCGTTTTTATTAGTGACTCATTGTACGTAAGTTAAATTGTTCGACAAGTACGTGCTTTCATCATACATTTTCGAATTAATCGCGAGTTCGCGCCAAATTCAACCGCGTTAAATTCGAAATTTCGCAGTGGGAAATACGTTCGTACACCACAGATCGGGCTTACTAGTGATGTAATTGTTTGTTTAAAGCTGTTGTTTGCTTTCAATCGAATTAAATAGGTTGTGGGCGCGAGTCCCGACCGCTATGCAACCCAAAATACGCGCCTATTGATCCGCGAAGTGCACGAACTGGGGCTTCTATCGAGCTGCAAATGCTCACCCCTTTGTTCGCCCTTTTCATTATTCACGACGATGCAAATAATCGGATCACAGCGACAATGGGCTGAAAATTAACAACAATAAGAGAGCGCGACAGGATTATCATTATTTCGTGGGAGCTGGAGAACTGCGCGGAGGGGTTCGTGATTTGACTTCTTGAGTAGAGTGTAAACTGGCTGTCTGAGCACATATACTCATCCAAGTCGCGTTTGTTTGTGTTTGCTCGATTTGCCGATGCCGCGGTGTCTGCCTGATTTGGCGCGCGAGATAAATGGTGGATGCGCCGGTTTCATGCCGCCGAATTTAGGTATTTAGATTTATGTCTATTCGAAGAGTCGATTTTTGTTTTAGATAGGGGTAGGTGTCTTACGGGTGGTCAAGTCTGGGGACAATTATTAGAGACACGCAATTGGATTGGTCGTCTGTACGCATAGATATGCGTTTATCGATCTGGTAAACTGCGCCCCGACTATCCCGTGCTCGAAGTTGAGTTCAGTCAGAGCGGGAAGCGCACGGTGGCGATACGACGATCTGAAGACGGCCGTTTAAACGCGTTATTGAAAAGGGCGGCGTCCCAAACCCCATGCCGTATAGTTGGTCCATCCACTTAGTTGTAGTGTTCTTAGAGTGTATTTTCATTTAGCTAGATCGAAAAAAAATGGGAGGTTGCGCATCTAAGGAAAATTCTAAAAAAACGAAAGAGGATGAATCGGGGTTTGTACTATTCGTACTGTTGATGTCATGCATGGGTCAATAGCACCGACGGGTGCGTCTGGATTTAAATGGGAGCTTTGTGTCTTGTCTTGTTCCGTGTCTACTTGCTACCTCAAGTACGCAATCTAAATTCTTCGCACTATCATCTTCATTCACTTCATCTTCTAACTCTCTAACTCATTTCATCTACGACTCTGTCTAAACTAAGTCACGATGATTATCAAAAGATGGATAGCTTATGCGCGCTACTTTAATATTTTACAAACTTTTAGAAAATCTACCATGGTTGACGCCGCCGTTTTGGAAAAACTGGAAGCCGGTTTCCAGAAATTGGAAGCCTCTGACTCCAAATCCCTCTTGAAAAAATACCTCACCCGTGAACTCTTTGACAGCCTGAAGACCAAGAAGACCTCCTTCGGCTCCACCCTTCTCGACGTAATCCAGTCTGGTAAGCAAAAAAACCACGCGCTCGGAAACACACCCACGTTTCGACTTTTCCCGCACGAAAACTTATACATGAATCGTTTTAGAACGACGAAAAAGCTAAAACTATCCCTAATTGGCTCTTTTTGTTTCTAAAAGGAGACGATCGGTGATAGTTGTCGTTTCGTCCCGCGCGCTAATAATTCGGTCCGTGGTAATTGCCGAAGTTTGCAAAACTTATGGATTTGAAAAAGTCCCTTGGCCGAATCTCCCTGTCGCGCTAATAACTTCGTCCAAAGTAATTGTCTTGAGGCGATGTCATTCTCAGTGTCGGACCGGACCGCCGGGATTCACGAAATTTCCCGGGGGGCCAACAATAAATGAAGCCGGTGCGACAAAAAATAAGAAAGAATTACGAAAGTCCCAGTTTCTGGTGTGTCCAAACAAGGCGAACCCGTCAGGGCTATTAATACTACTTCCGAATGAAGATGTTTTAAGAATGTCGAGTTTCCGATTAAGAACGAACACCGATGGTCTGTTCCAGGTTTGGAAAATCACGACTCCGGCATCGGCATCTACGCCCCCGACGCCGATTCTTACGCCGTCTTCTCCGACTTGTTCGACCCCATCATCGAAGACTACCATGGTGGATTCAAGAAGACTGATAAACACCCGCCCAAGAACTGGGGCGACACCAGCATTTTCGGCAACTTGGACGCCGCCGGCGAGTACATCGTTTCCACCCGCGTGCGTTGCGGCCGCTCTTTGGACGGCTACCCCTTCAACCCCTGCTTGACCGAGGAGCAGTACAAGGAGATGGAGCAGAAGGTGTCCTCTACCTTGTCTGGTCTCGAGGGCGAGCTGAAGGGCACTTTCTATCCCTTGACCGGGATGAGCAAGGAGGTGCAGCAGAAGCTGATCGACGACCACTTCTTGTTCAAGGAGGGCGACAGGTTCTTGCAGGCTGCTAACGCTTGCCGCTTCTGGCCCAGCGGCCGTGGTATTTTCCACAACGACGCCAAGACCTTCTTGGTTTGGTGCAACGAAGAGGACCACCTCCGCATCATTTCCATGCAGATGGGAGGCGACCTGGGACAGGTCTACCGCAGACTGGTTACGGCCGTTAACGACATCGAGAAGCGCTTGCCCTTCTCGCACAGCGACAGGTTCGGCTTTTTGACCTTCTGCCCTACCAACTTGGGCACAACTGTCCGTGCCTCTGTCCACATCAAGGTTCCCAAGCTGGCCGCCAACAAAGCCAAGCTGGAGGAAGTCGCCGCCAAGTACAACTTGCAGGTGCGCGGCACGCGTGGCGAGCACACCGAAGCCGAGGGTGGAGTCTACGACATTTCCAATAAGAGACGTATGGGTCTCACCGAGTTCGACGCCGTTAAAGAAATGTACGATGGCATTGCTGAAATCATCAAGATCGAAAAGGAGTTGTAAACCCCGTACATTCTAATTATACGTGATTCATTACTTATAAGCAATGATACATTATTTCAGTAAGTATATCTTATTTGCCAAAGTACCAGTGAATGCTTATATCATTATTTATAAGGTGTCAGGACTTGAGTTAGTGTATTCAATTTCTAGTCGACATTGTTTCAAATGTGAAAAATTCATACAAACTAAAAAACATTGGATCTTTCTTTTCTTTATTTATTTATTTTTAATGTATGTAAAAACGAAGTATTATTTTAAAAAGCAACTGCAAATTTATTACATTTAATAAAAGACCTCCAATGTTTACATCTGCATTTTTTTTTCCACCATCACCATGTCACGAACCACCTCAAAATGGGTTCAAAGTAACAAGCAATAGTGAGTCACAGTGGCCACGACACGTCTATACTCACCACCCCTAAACGGGTTCAAAATACCAACCAATAGGCAGTCAGTCATACTGACATTTACCTTTTCGTCATCCGCCATACCAAAAATTAAACCACTTATCGTTGGGGATGGCCAATCAAAAGCGAGGACAATCCCACCGTTCACCACAAGAAGAAATCGAAAGTTCAGATGGCACACCCACCCCCTGCTCCCTCGTAACTCATTAAAAAGAGTACTTTCCACTTTCCGGTTGCAGCTAATTAAGTAGACTCGGTTTATGAAATTGTTTACTAAAATATATCAAATGCTCGGATAACTTCATTAAAAGGAAGGTAAACACTCAAAACTAAATTAAATAAAATTAGATATACTTTGAAATTCGAGGGGGAAAGCAACAAATATTGCTGTTTACAAGGGATTTTCAAGGATTCTCAAGATCCAACCGGATTATTCTGTGCAAACAAAATCAATCCAATTATGACGTCAACCGCAGTCGTCAAGCAATTTTCAACTTTGTCGTGTATTTGTGGTTGCCTGGTTGCCGAGACGAGAGCATAAATAATAGAAGTCAACAGTCATTTAAATTTAATACGTATTATTTACATTCGCGAAGTTTGCCTCGCAAAATCGAATATCGATTTGGGAACAGCAAAGTTTAAAGTTGGGAAAGAAATTATTGAAACCGATATCTCAATTACAATTAACTTTATTACGGAAAATTTTACAGGGGAAATTAAATTAATTCGTCAATATCGACCAAAATACCGCTCAGACTGACAACTATAAAACTTTTTTATATTATTTGCTGTTCTAATGATTTTTACGATCAATTAACTACACAATCAATAATCAATTTATCATTTATAGAATTCGATCTAATGCGCTTGCTTAGTTTGAGATTTTTCAGATTTTTTAAGATTCACCTCTTTTTAATCATTTATTAGGTATAGCTTCAACGAATCGTGAATACGTAATAAAATTACGTCAGCCTTTCTGTCACAAAAAACAAAAAACGAAAATTTGCCGGCTACTGTACCTATAATAACAGACGGACTATACTCGATAAACATCAAAATAAGTAACGAAGAACAAGGTTATTATCATTACAATCAATATTTTAGTAATGCATTTTTAATTTCATCTCTTCAAAAATAGTTAAATATAATCAATACAATTGTTTGCTAGATTTGTGCTACGCCTACACACTTATATTTATAGCCGAGGTACTGACATAATTTCATTATTTTAATTATTGGGAAAATATTACCAACCATTTCGACCAACTATTTTTGTATCTTAAAAGCAAAACACTATAACGTAAGCTTCACTAATAAAATTAACGTCATAAATCAACTGATATGCTCTTAAAACGTTTATTAATAGAACGATCAAGAGCAAAAGGATGTTAAAAAAAATTCGACGAAATTTAATTATAACCCTTTGTGGCACATGAAAAACCAGGACAAAGTGCAACCCCTTGTTTTGAGGTGTAAATATTAACATAACAATATTTATCTCCGCGTCGGTACAAAGACTTAGAGAAACGCTTGTAATTAAAAAACACCCGAAAAATTGTGTTAGCTGACGAATCCGACACCTTTTCACCCTCCCACCCTGTCTGGAAAAATGTCTCTTTTAAATAACGTAAAAGGAGTCAAAACCACACCTCAGCCCATTCAAAAAAATTCATGACGTGTCTCAATGTTTTAATGTTTATAGTGTGACGTGGTTCAATTAAGTGGACAGATGACAACCTTCAGAAAATTGATGACGCCATATTAAAAGATTGTTAAACATATTCCAGCCTACGTGTTCAAAATTTTAGAAAATGTTAGTTTCATTTCATTTTCGCTATTTTTTTGTGGTCTACATTGTCGTATCCCGGTTCAAATTAAAAAAGCGCGCCGCGGAGGAAGGACAAAAGCGCGGTGTTGCCAGACGTGGCTACTTTTTAAAGTAAATAAAGCCTAACCCTAATATTTTAAATACCCACCATAATTTTCTGCATTGTAGCCTTCAATACTTATACATCTTTAAATATAATCGTGAAGGGTAACAAATCTGAAGCCCATAAAATACAGTAAATTATCTGTTCAACAAAACCCTGATATTTTACGGCTCTTCATCATCCTTACGATAGCAGTTGAAGACTTGTGCGGCACATGTAGGTACTTGTTCGCGATACAAAAATCTTCATAGAAATAGTTTTTATATTGCATTAAAGGCCTTCGTTTCTTTGATGAAAAATAAAAACGAAAAAACGTTCTTTACTTTTTGGGCGAAAATTATAACTTATTTTGGCTTGTAAAAAGCTAACAATGTAGATATTATTATTGCCCACCCGGTTATTAAATTTATTTTTTCGTTAAACTATCCATTTTTTGTAAACGTAGGCACCCAAACATTTTCCTTCATCCAGAACGAGTCAAAAAAGTGTATGATTTACGACAGGGTTAAGAAATTTGACAGATTTAAATACCTTGTTGAGAAAGTATGCAAATGAGGTGACCGTAGTGTGTTCTACCTGAAGGTTGTGGAATATTAACCCAATTTCAGACTAACGAATAAATGAGTTTAGAAAAGTTGGCGACTTTTGGCTACTTTTTGAGAAAATGTTGGCGACTTTGATAAATCGAAGTCTGGCAACACCGCGGAGACTTGTTGCAGCACGTTGTTAAAGGTGGTACCATGGTACCAGTGGTACTTTTTCTTTATGTCTCGAAGTCTGTGTACTGTTGTGTGTGCTTTGTCTTTTTTATTTTCAGCATTGTTTTCACCTGTGTTTAGAGATTTCCACCGATCCAGTACTTGCCCAGGTGCGACGTTTTGAAGAACGCTGTGATAGGTGTTGGTAAGCGTGAGATCGGATTCAACAGGTATGTATTAAATACATTTTCTTCTTTTTTGCATGAGATTCGGTACTTCAACTGCATGTTTTTCTAAACCCACCGGGTGTTCGATTTTTAATGGGCATTTTCACAAGGACGCTCTCGAACCGTTCGCAAACATTTTACAACTTAATTTTGAATCTGCAAAACCGAATGCTTTGAAATCTTGCAGATGTTTTAAGGTTATAAAGAGCATAATAAACTTGTAATTTATCATTCCATTTATATTTTTTGGATTTACGGATGTGGGGAATGTCGGGATATGTGGGACGGGTTACTTTGCTTAAATCATTTCAATGCATTTATAGCTTCCATCGGCGTCCTGTTTATTAATATCAGATCAATTCTTTAATAAAATCCATAACTTTGGGCTGGTATCCTGACCACTGGACCACGAGGCCGCTTATCTTTCTCCGCCTACCAACGTGTTATTGTGCCGCCACGACTTCTTTGATAATATCACATAAATTCTTAAATCCGCGATATAAATGTGGCTTAATTAAATTAAGTTAATTATTTAAATTAAATATTATTGCTTCCTTTGCAGCCTTTTCCAGTTTCAAGGTTATTGAATTGAATTTTAGTTGAATTTTTAGACAGACAAAGAAAAATTTGGTAAACGGAGAATGAGTCCTGACTAAGTGAATTTCATGAAATCTGCTAGCAAAAACTTTTATCTGAACAAACTTATCACTGTTAAATTGTGTTAGAATCAATTAACGATTAAAATCCTAACCTAAACTGTGAATTTACAAACAATAAAACAAATTTACACTACGCGTTAGCGTCGGTCGAAAATCCGCATATTTTCGCTTGGAAAAACCGCAAGAATTAGCTACGCGTGTTGGACAAACTGCGGCGTCGTCGTCGTTACGATTAATTCTCTTCCTTTTTTCCGAACTACCAAACCAACTAAACTTAACCTAGCTAACTCACCACGCGGTTTTACCGAGAGCTACCGACTACCCAAGAAGAACTAAACGTGCACATGGTTGCCTATGTTTAACGATTTTCTTGATTGAATTTTTTTTTTAATTCAAATTATTGTCACTCGCGGTATTTAAATTAATTGTATTTGGAATTGTAAACTGAATTTGATTTGATAAAGATGGAGGGGTTTTGCAGTTAGGAAACTACGACCTCTAGGACTAGTTCATAGATTTTTCCTTCTCTCAAAGGAGGAACCAACTTTCGGTCATTTGCGTGTTCTTGTGATATATATTAATTTCATTTGACATTCAAACACACTTGTTGACGATCACCGTTCATGGCCACTTTTTCAAATTTTCGCGGGGTGTTCAAATTTTGTCAATTTTTGGCGGAATGTTTGGGTTGCTACAACATTGAAAAAGCGTAAAGTTCGAGCTAGAATGACTTAATTGGCTTTCAGCGTGCTTAAATCGCCTCAGTTCCGAAAAAAGTCAATTAGGGTGAATTTCCATGTTTAAACTGTTTCAGGTTGGGCGTAAACGGTCCGAAGCTCTGAAAATTGCTAGGGAGATCTCCCTTGAATAAATATATGCCTTGCTAATGCCGATGATTAATGCAAGGAAACGCCGAAAGGGAGCTGTAAACAGTGGAATCCAGAATGTTATAAGCCGAAAAATGAAGATCTCAGAGACGGCTAATGCTGTAAACACACTAACAGTGGACACAATTTAGTAGGTTTTGAATTTATTTACACTTTTGTAGAAGATGAAGACAAAAAAAAGTAGTGAAATGTGTATATTTATTAAAATTAACAAAAATAGAAAAACGTAAAGTAAACAAAACAAAATAAAATAAAATAAAATTCTCTCAATTTTTAACTACAACGTACAACTATTAAAACATTGTAGCTTTATTTTAACCTATCTAAATTTGGTTGATGCCTTCACCTGGAGATTAAGCAAGTGAGTGTTTCTTAGCATGTACTTTTAACTGACATGGGAACAAGTATTTAAATTTGCACTTATCACACTGATTCCATCTAACGTGGTTCCTACCCCTATGTTTCCGAAATTTGTGCACATTTAAAGTTCCTTTTTGTTTAGTTTTATATGAGCAACTATCGCACTGGAACCAACGTATTCGACCTTGTTCGTGTTTGCTACTTATATGAATCTTTAAATTCCCTTTATATTTAGCTTTATATTCACACAAATTGCAGCTATACCACAGTATCTCGTCGTCTTTTGAGTGTTTCGAAATCGTGTGTGACTTAAGATTTCTCTTAGTTTTAGTCTTGTATGCGCATATCTCGCACTGGTACCACTCCATTTCCTGTTCTTCTAAATGTTTCCAAATTACGTGCCTTTTCAAACCAAGTTTGTTTTTGAAAACTTTCATGCATTTTTCACACTTCTTCGACTTTAAATTCGTACTTTTCGATTTTCTAGAGCCTCCTGTTGCTGTAAAATTTGCATATTCATGGAATTTTATGCAATGTCGATACCAGGTTAAAATAAAGTGTGTTGCAAATGGGCAATGGGTGCAAAAATAAGTTTTAATTTTAATCTTATCTTGACTTTTGTTCATTTTGCGGCTGTGAAATCTCTGGATGTGTCTTTTTAGACAAATGGTTAGAGTTGTTTGGAAGTTACATTCCGTGCAGTGATATATTTCGATGTCCGTATTTTGACAGTTGAAACGTGTTAGGGCTGTACGGTGACGCTTCACATGGTTCACCATTAGAAAAACGGATGTGGAGAAATATGGACATCGCTTACAATTATGTATATTGTGTGAGGGATCAACCTTTTCGGCAAATTTTGGGGAGTATTCCAAGTACATTTTGTTTCCTTGAATCCACTAATTGTTAAATACTTCTACTTCAGTAATTATTGTGTTTTCTTACCTTAAGTTTTAGAGAGCATGCCCAATCCCAACACCATAACACCATTAGTGCAACTTCCGGAGTACAGTTGACACCACAGAATAGAAGTAAGAGATTGGTGTGTGTAGTTCAGTAGTTGACTTTCCTCGGCGCTACTAGTCTTTAGTCACCAGATTGGGTTAGTTAATAAGGAGTATAAGGGGACTTATTTATTTGAAAACTACTAGTAGAGAGAACCGTGGCACAGATAAAATTGACGTCATACGTAAAGCGACACAGTAGAGCGTGTACAGAGTGTCTATTGAGCAAGGTTCCGACTGGTAAGCAACCTGGAGAACTTTATTCTATTCCAGTTCAACTGCGTGCTTTTGAAAGAGTACACGTCGATCACATCGGACCTTTAATTACAACTGAAAACGACATACATATACCTTAGTCCTCACAGATGCATTAACAAAGTTTGTTACAATGTATCCAGTCGAGAGTATCCGAAGTAACGAAACCATACGGATGATACAAAGATTTATAGATACTTAAGGAGTTCCGAGAAGAATTAGTTGAGACAGAGGTACGTGCTTTACGTCGGAAGATTTTGGCCAGTGGTGTGAAAGTTTACCCAGCAGAGGAAGTACAGAAAGAAATCCGCAACAGAATCGAAGTGGACCAAAAGACACAGAAAGCAAGAAACGATAAGAAGAAACTTCAGGGTGTTCACTATGAAGTTGGCGATATCGTGGTAATTGCAACCTATAGTCATCAAAGTTTTGCCGAACGACACATCGGGTGAAAGTGAGTGCGCGAATAAAGGCCTGTTCCGACCAAAAAGTAGTTGTAGTGATCTTCCAAGAAAAAGAAGTGGAAGACCGACTGGACAGCCGAAGCATTTGGATCATTACGATTTAGAATAGATGTCGTGAAACATGTTCGTTGTATTTGTATTCATGTTTTAATTGTTAGAATGTAAGAAATTTTTTGGAAAATTAGTTTAAGTTGAATTTGTACGAACCGCTCCGCTATCTCAGGATGGTCGAGACTGTTAGCTTGTAAGAAGCGTCTAGGGAGTTTTGCGGAGAGAGGTTGGTTGGAAGGAGATGGCGAATGGCGGAGAGTTTGAGAGCGTGAACTTTTGGAGAAATAAAGTACTTGTTTTTGTTTTAAGAGTGTTTAAATTGGCCGAAATTTTAATCCCAGAGACGGCTAGTGCTGTAAATACTCTGATAGTAGACACAATTTACTAGGTTTTGAATGTCTTTACACTTTTGTACGACTGTTAAAGATGAAGACCAAAAATATAGCGAAATATATTTATTAAAATTAACACAATTCGAGAAAACGTAAAGTAAACAATAAAAAAATCATCCATTACTAGTACTAGTATAACATTCTAATTTTATTTTATCATAATTTTTCTTATCAGCTTTGGCATTAAGATCATTTTATTGAATAACCACTACTTATCTAAATTTGGTTGATGCCATCACCTGGAGATTAAGCAAATGAGTGTTTATTAATTATATGGAGTTTTAGCTGAGATGGGAACATGTATTTATATTTGCACATACCACACTGATTCCATTTGACGGAGTTCTTATCCCTATGTTTCCGAAATATGTGCATTTTTAAATTTCCCTTTTGTTTAGATTTAAATGAGCAATTACCACAGTGATACCAACGTATTTGACAGTCAGTTGCAAGTTCCCGAAATGTACTTCCTTGTAGGTGTTTTACACTTATATGAGTCTTTAAATTTCCCTTTTGTTTAGATTTAAATGAGCAATTACCACAGTGATACCAACGTATTTGACCGTCAGTTACTAGTTTTCGAATTGTACTTCCTTGTAGGTGTTTTACACTTATATGAGTCTTTAAATTTCCTTTCTGTTTAGCTTTGTAATGACACAAATTGCACCTATACCACACTATTTCGTCTTCTTTTGAGTGTTTTGAAATCGTGTGTGTCTTAAGATTTCCCTTAGTTTTAGTCTTGTATGCGCATTTCTCGCACTGGTACCACTGCATTTCATGATCTTCTAAATGTTTCCAAATTACGTGCATTTTCAAAGTTTCGTTGTTTTTGAAAATTTTCATGCATTTGTCACACTGATTCGACTTTAAATTCGATTTTCTGGAGCCGCCTGACAGTGTAAATTTTTCATGTTGATGGGAATAGATGCAATGTTGATACCAGTTTAACACGAAGTGTGTCGCAAAAGGGCATTTTTTGCAAAAATAGGTTTTAATCTTGATCTTATCTTGCTTTTTGTTCATTTTGCGGCTGTGAAACCTCTGGATGTGTGTTTTTAGACAAATGGTTAGATTTGTTTGGAAGTTACAATCCGTGCAATGATATTTTTCGATGTCCGTATTTTCACAGTTGAAATGTGTTAGGGTTGTACGGTGACGCTTAACATGGTTCACCATTAGAAAAACACATGTGGTGAAATATGGACACCGTTTACAGTTGTGGACATTGTGTAAGGGATCAACCGCCTGGGCAAATTTTGGAGAGTACTCCACAGACATTTTGTTTCCTTAAAACCACTAATTGGTAATTATTTCTACTTCATTAATTGTTTTCTTACCTTAACTTTAGAGAACACGCTTAACCCAACGCCATAACCCCATAAGTACGACCACAGTACGACTTCTGGAGTACAGTTTACACATAAGTTTACTGTACCAGTGGTACTTCATTGAGTAATGTTTGAACCATGGTGTAAATATATGTAATTAAAAACAAAAACAATACAAATTGTTTAAAACATAAAGGATTACACTAGTAAGAAAGAAATTGATAGTTCAATTGGGTTTCTACAACTAGAGGTTTTCAATAAAATGCGAATTACTACTTCGCTGCTTGGAATTGTCATAGCAGCTGATTGTTTATTGTGATTAAATATGTGTTGATAACACCATACAAGTTGTATATTCTTCTGTCGCGTACAATTTTTCATAGAAAAGTTACTTGTAAAAAAAATTTATTATCAAGATGTTCACATAATTAACCTTAACGAATTATACATAAATAAATAAATTTCAACTGTCAATATATTTGCATAAACAATATGTACAAAAGTTAAATAATGTCGTTAGAGGAAGAGTATTTTAAAAATATAAGAGAAACGGCTTTTGTAACTCTAATGTTCACTTGCACCAAAGAGGAAATCATGTGCCGCTCGTGTTGTACACAATTATAGTGTTTACAATTAACATTTTCTAATATCATTTTCAGTAATTCTTTTACGTTTTTCCTAATTGCGCTAGTCGTGGCGTTTTACATACAATTATTAAATTTTGCAAGTGAAATTCACGTTGTAAAACTTTGGGGTACGTTCACTAAATTTAGCTACACAGATATGTTAAAAAAAAGAAAATTCGAAGTCGTAAGTACGTGTAAATTAAAGCTTATTTTTGAGACAAAATTTACCTTTACCAAAAGTGGCACTCCAAAGTTAGACAACCACGTAAAATACCATATATTTCTAATATAAAAAATATACTGTTTCGATCAACTAACCATCACCATCCCAAAATCTGAACAAGTTTAATTAAATAATCGATGAGCAGAATTTAACTTACAATATTCTAAACTTTAATATAAACAATATTAATACATTTAACTACGTAACGTTGTACAACATAATTTATCTCATGAAACAAATAAAAATAAATATACATATACTTATTGTCTGGCACTCAGTTCTTTACAGTTACATTTCAAATATATACAAAGAGAACAGCCCATAATACTTTAATACTGGTTACTAATGGAGCTTAATATATTTAAAATGTATAACAGGCCAAACTTTTGAACACAACCTTTTAAATTTGTACACTCAATTTAAATTAACTGTAAAAATTATCACGTTGTTGATAAAGAGGCAAAGGCGTCACAGGAGAAGAGTCCTCTTCGTCCGTGTTCATCTGTTGAGGCTGAAGCGGCAACGTCGCCAATGCTTTCACTACAAAATAAAAATAATTTACGTCACACGCATTTAATCATAGTTACATTGTACATCAACCCCTCCCCTTCAACCGTGACGTAATTTATGAGCAGCTTACTTGATAACTAAATATATAATATAAGCAAAAACAAAAAACAAAAAAAAAAACAAACCTTTCTTGAACGGGACATTAACTATTGATCATCCGTCAAGTTGTTACCTATAAAAAAATAAAAATGCAAAAAAAAACAAAAATTGCACACATGCAACACTGATTGGTTGACAACTTACCTGCTACAATTTTGCTCATCTCCATTACTTGCTTGGCAAGTATTTGATTCAACTGGAGTAAGTGTTCTCTTTGCTTTTTCTCCTCTATCATTTTTGTGGTTGCCTTATTGGTAATGCTATTTGGTGTTTTGTTGAACTTTTCATCTACAAACAATAATAACGGATCTAATAAATACTAAGACGTTTCTATCAAGTTTGCTTTGAAAAATCTGTCACAGTATTTTTGACAAGAATTTGCCGCTTTGTATTCAATCAAATTCAAGAAATATTAAAAGTAAATTCTCGCACGTAAGTTAGGTTATGATTGACATTCGTGACAAGCGATGAGTATTCATCAATCATCACAACGAAGCGGCAAACGTCAAAACCAACTTTTGTGATTATTTTGAAGCAAAATTACCTGAGGCAAGATTTGACGAACTGCTGCTGAGAATAGCAGCATCCGAAAGCATTTTTTTAATTGACTCGACCTTTCTTAATCTATGTTCTTGTTCTTCAGCGGATAACTGAGGTAATTGTTCAGGTATATATCTTTCAGGTATATTAATCTTATTTGGAGTTCCTAGAATATTATCAATGGTATTTTCATTGTATTTGAGTTCCTTGTTACTCAAAGTAGACCGTACGACGTCGGGTGCGTCGATGCGTTGCCTAAGCGCCCTCTCCATATCTAAATCGTCTCTAGCTCTCCTATTATTGACTATCATTTTATCGAAGGCATCCTCGTCCGTCGGTAACTGGTTCAGACTTTTCATTATCAAGTTATTGTGAGGGGCTGTATAATGGCGACGTTTCTCCTTCGGTACCGCTCTTCTCTTCATATACTTCGGCATGTCCTGGTTGGACATCTCCGTGATGATTTGCCTCGCGGCTTCGCTTTTAAACACCGGCGACAACTCCGGTGATCTATCAACGCTACCTTCCGCACTCGAGCTCATCCTATCTGAAAACGTCTGCGGTAAACTAGGACTTGACAGTGAGCTCTGCCTACTCAAAACGCCGCTTTTATCCATCTCGAACGGCGGCAACATAACGTTAGTCGAGCTTTGAGTCTTCTGTACTGGAGTAGGCCTAAACAAAACACTCGAATTCTGCGACGAGTTATCTTCTTCGACGAGAACATCCCACTTCCCGGTTGCACTCTTCTCCCGATCCCGTTGCCGCCTCTCGGATTCCCGTTTCACAATCCTGACAGTCTTGATCTCGGGTTTTTCATGACAAATCAGATTCGGATTCTGCGCATTGTCGTCGCTGCCGGAATCAGTAGTTTTGAAACCACGACCGTAAAGATCCGACTCTTGTTTCAAGTCGGCGCTGTAGCTAGAAACGTCATTGAAGACTTGATTGTCCCACGAGTCGCCATGGTCTATCACGTTCATGGTGTCTAAGTCGGTTTCGCGCCAAAACGAATTGACCTTTTTCTTGTTACTAGTATCTAAAAAGCGACACTTTACTTAAGCGTCAAGGTAACAAAAGATGGTTGGAACATTTGTGGCAGCGCTGGTTAAATTGAAACCAATCAAAACGCGAATTTTAAATTGCGCGCCGGTTTGTTTATACGCACGGTTCTCAAAAGTTTAACCATCTTTTGTGTCGTGACTAATTACTTTGGTTGTTTGGTGTGACTGCCGACGGTGAGCGTTTAACTTGTTGTTGTAAGCTGTTCGACCGATCGGTGAGTTGCCTAACTTGTAAACTAAGTTCCTGCCTTTGTTTTTGTAAATCCCCGACTTTCTGTTGCACTCGTTGTAGGTCCGATTCTAACATGGCTGACGTGCCACCGGCACACAACATACTGTCACCTGTATAAAAAATCAGGAATGAAACAGTGAAGATAGCACAGACGAAACTCTGTACACTGTTATTACTAAATACAGCCTACTGTGATGTGGACACTACTGGTGATTTAGCCAATGCGCATGCGAAAGACACCACCACGTGCAAAATAAATTACATGAAGTAACGCATAAGCAAATATACAGTTAGAGACGAACTCACGTTATACCTACACGATTAAGGCAACAAAAAACCACTTCTTTTTAACGTACCAGCGTTCGAAAACTGTGGCGAACTTCTTTGTTGCCTGGATATTTGAAGTTTTTGTTTTAAAATTAATAATTCTTGTTCCAGTCTTGCGTTTCCGGCTACGGTTTCTTCGAGTTTTTTAGAATTTTGAGCTAACATTAAATGTACCCTGCTTAATTCGTTTTCTAAATTGACTTGCTGTTTTCTAGCTTCTTCAACTTCGGCAGGATCGCTAAACCCTTTGTTCAGACGGTGTTTCAAACCGCCTAAGGCTTTTTCGATTTCTTCTTTATCTTGTTGGAGATTTTGCAACGTTCCTGATTCTTCTTGGATTAGTTTATCTAATTTGTATAATTGCTGCACTTTTTCTTGCAACTGGATGTGGTTAAAGTTCAGTCGGTTCCAATCACGGCGTTCTTCTGCTAAAAGACGCCGCTCTTGGATTTGTTGGTTGAATTCTAGACGGTCTCGGATTTCAGGAGCCAGGAAATTGCGCTCGTTGGGTGTTCTATAGAGTGAACCTAGTTTTACCATATTGTCTACAAGGTTTACCAAGGGTTTGCCCTTTTCGTACTAAAAGTACACACTGATTAGTACGACTTAAGTCACTTTGCATTTCATTCAAGGACGATGTAGGGATTACTACTTACTTGCTTTTCTAGTTCAATCAAATGTTGCTTAATTTGCTCCAGTTTTTGCAAATTCTCTAATCGTGTCACTTGATTTAGTATAGAGCCATGTAATTGTGCCTGAAAATAGTCTTTTTAAAATTTAACCTCACAAACTTATTTCGCAATCAAGCATCTACTGATTCTTTCACTTGTTGGTTTAAAACGATGACGCCAAGCTCAGCGAAGGATACTCATTTTTACGAAACGATTACCACGATGTTAGCGTATTTAGAAAGAAAAGGAAGCAAATGCCACTGCTACGTCGGACTATTATAATTAATTAAGTAGGGACTACAAAGATACAGACCAGTCAGTTCGTTACTGAGGTATCAATTTTATTCGCACCAATTCTAGGAAATACTTGCAAACAATAAAACCAATAACTTAGAACTAACGCAAGTGTAAACTAAAAATCTACAAAGAAACAATAGTTAAACGCTTACCGAAAACGTTTAAAAATCCACTTGTGTCGCACTTTTATTGGTTAAATCTACTAAAATATGATAAAACCGAGCACTAACGTAAATTCGAGCTTTATTTTTCACAAGTATTTCGTACAGTCTGTAAAACGTGTGGTTCGAGTCGTGTTAATAGTCGGTAGGTTGTACTGTAGCAATCGTACATATACTAGGGTTAGTATGCTAGCAGTGTTAGTGAAGGTAGCATTGAGGTTCAAACCTGTATTGTGTCAATCTCATTGTAACAGTTTTCGATGGCCTGCAATGTGTTGGAATTTTGTCTACGCAATTGTATCAAAAGTAAGACGAGTTCTTCGTGCGTCCTACCAAGTAGTTCACCAGCAGATACATTCATTTTATCATTTAGAGACCACTTTTCCTAATTATATAAACGACAACAAGAATATCGACTACTGTTTTTATCTACTTACTTTTCGGATGTTGTGTGCATGGACATTATCTGCACGCAAGTCACGATGCGGAGGGGCTTGAGTTAAGTAATAGTCTTGCGAATGTGGCCTACAATAGGTCAGTTGATTGTGTGAAGTGAACACGTGATGACTTACATGAAGTTCTCCGGTTCGTTAGTTCTTGCCAAATTCGTCACCGAGCGTGTAGGCAGCGACGAGCAGTTCGTCCACGGTCTTTTAGAAAAAGCTGCTTTTGGAAATCTATCTCTGGTATTTATTGATACTGAACCTGATGCTACAAAACATAAACTAATTGCATATAATCTACTAGAGCTAGAACATATTCCAATTCAACTTTTTTCAAAATTGAATTTGATTAAAATAAACTACTAAACTATTCAATGAGACTTTATTAAATTTGAACAAAGTGAGTATTTTCGGTCGAATTATACAAATTTACAAAAGTTGATTTCGTTATGTACATAATATACATATTACCTAAAATAAACGTATTCAAGTATACCTGCTGTTTGCTGGTTGTTGAAACTTTCAACTGGTTCACAAGTACTCCCATCACCTATTTCTAGCACCGTGTTATTACCCGCCGGTCCCTGCGAAGCCGTGATGGTCGACAATTGATCATCTGAAGGTGCACTCGACATTAAGTCCCACTGTCTCAATTTCTCTCTATCAATAACAAAACTGCCTTCCTTTTTCACCCCACTGTTATTTTCGCCCTCGTTCTTATCATCCACTTCTTGTACTTTACTTTGGAACGGCATATTGTAAATATTGTCGTTAACGTACGTCACAACCCTTGTGATACCTCTCGGCGACTTTTTCTGCACTTTCTTATTATCTCCGATACTATTTAGATCGTCCATCGATTTCGTGTGTCTTTGACTCGCCGAACGCAATCTCTCCCGCCATATCGAATCCTCCTCCCACAAGTAACTACCTTCAGTGTTAGACGCCTCATTGTCTGCCGCCACTGCGTCGTCATTTTCCACGTCTAAGTGTTCACTGAAGACGTTTTCTAATAAACCTTCTAATGAATGCGATCGTCGCACATTCGTGTCGTTAGTCACTTCCACGTTATTAAACTTGTCGAGCTTAAAAGGAGGGTACAAATTCCGCGTTTCTGGGTTCATTCCAACTGATTCCGCCATCTTCAACCGTTTCAAAGTGTCCGATTCATAAATATTTTTTTTGTCAATGTGACCTGACTTGTCGGTTAGGTTCAAGAAATCGACTGACGCTGATCGAGCTTCCGCCGCCAGAGTAAAAGTTGTGTCGTTTCCACGATCACTCCTCAGTTGACTGTTGCACTTGATGGGGTTAATTATTCGAGTGATGTCCCGTTTATTTCCGTTCAAAGCACGTCTCTGATTATTTAGGGTTAGGATCGTGGAGTTGCTTTCGGTGTCGGACACATTCATGCACAGATCAGAGTAGTAATAAGGCGCCGGTTGACACAACGACGAGTTGGACGACATGTCTCTATGGTCCGAGAAATACGAAGACACGGTGGGGATTTCTTGAGCGCTTAAAGAACTACTAATTCTGATACTAGGGGTAGATCTGTTCGAGTTTTGCACAAATCCGCATATTTCCATTGACGTAGAGGCGCTACTTTCGGTTTTCTGAATGAACTCCTCGCTTGACAAAGTCGATTGTCTGCCGTTTACTTCAGTACTGATGTCTGCAGGTTTTTCGGACATACTTTCCGCGTTGTCTGTCTGTTTGCTCCTGATACATAGATTTTCGTACTCGTGAAACTTCATCATTTGTAAATCTTCGTTCGTTGATTCGTTTAAGTTACTGATTTGTAAGTCGGATAGGTACTTATCCAGGTCGATCGTGTCGTTTAAATCACTAGCCACTGAGTCCAGCTCGTCGCATAATTCCTCAGCAACCGGTCTACGTTTTAACATTTTTTCATATTCCGCGTTTCTCGATACCGGTATACGCAATTCGACATCCGAGTCACTATTGTGTGACAGTCTGCTACGCATGCGCCGATCCGTATCCGACGTTGCCACGCTGCAAACCGACGAACTATCTTGATCTTTCAAAGCGCTTAGAGACAAATTTCGCGTTTTTATCATCGGAGGGGTTTTCCCGAGACGCGCGCTATTAAAATACTGATCCGAATTTCTATTCGTCACTAAACTTTCGTCCGTGTTATCTAAATCTTCAAGTGGGGGCGGCGATGTTGGAATCGGGGGTGGTGACACTAATTCGCTGTCGGAACTATCCGGGAACTCCGTTACGGTTTGACTGGCCCCTAAATAGTACGAAGCCGGGCGAAAATTATCCGACAAGCTAAACCTAGGGTTGCTGGGGGCATCCAAGGAGTCCAAGTCTTTAGACGCTTCGTCGTCCGCATCCGAACTATCCGACTTGTTGTTGCAAGTGACGGCAGACCTTTTGATTTTGGGAGGGACTACGATGTCTGGAAGGTCTTTGTTCTCGGTTTTCTTGTCCGGGTTTTTCAGTTCCATGTAAACCGGTTCGAACTTGTTCTCGTTGAAACACACCATTTCGTACGGTTCGTGTTCCATGAGCTCGCAGCCGTAAGTGGAGGACTCTAGGAAGGAGATGTCGACGTTTTGGGTCATCTCCACGTAGGGGTTTTCCTCGAGTTCGTTAAAAATGAGGGTGGCGTCGCTGCTGGTGCTCAAGCGAGGCTGCAGCACGCTCTTTTTCGGGGTCATGGTCATGTAGTTTTCTTCGAGGAGCATGTCGTCTTTGCCGTCGCTCGCTTTCCGCTCGAATTCGGCTAGAATGCTCTTGACGAGGGCTCCGTTGCTTTTGATTTCTGTGATCGTAGGGCTGGGCTCGAATTTGTCCGAGAACTCGGAACGCAAGCTCGAGACGTGCGCCAGGTTGGAGGATTCTTTATTGAATTGGATTAAGGGTTTTGTGAATGTGCTTTCCTCACAGGCGGTCTCGCTCTCTTTGGCCTCTGTGTGCTGTCGTGAATCGTGCATCGTGTCAGACTGAGATAAAGGCTTGTCAGGTTCCTTCAGAGTATTAAACACAGTGATAGAAGCAGTATGTGCAGGTGTAAGTGATTCTGAATTACTCGAAAATGTGTCCAAGGTCCGTCCTGCCTGTGATTGCACATTTTCTTTGCTTCCTTCCTCATTTTCTAAACCGACCATAAAAAATTTTACAAATTTTACATCAGCTAAAAGATCCTTTTCCAAATAAGTAAATTAATTTGTTAGTAGAAAAAATTGAAGTTAATAGTTACCACCCGAAATGTTAGTTACAGAAAGTTGAGACCCAAGTTGTTCCAGGCAGGAAGGACCAGTGTAGACTACACCAAACCTGACACCAAATACGACCAGAGACTTCTGAGAATTTTCAAAGTATTGAAATTCTCAGTGTCCTAAACTACAGTGCAACACAAAACACACAAGGTTAATTACCTTCGTCGTCTGAAGAATAACTGTTATACTGCGGCAAATTATTCATGGATCTTCGTCCGTCAGAATATATATTTGACTGGTTTTTCGCTGCAAACTCGTTTTCTTGCTTTTTACCATAAATCGGAACTCTTCCAGAATATATACGGTGATTCTGAACCTTTCTGTTCAATGGAGACTGCAACATTCTTTGCTTCCATTCAAGCAAACGCTTCATGGACTCTTCTCTCTGGAAAAAATACTCCCGTTCAACTCGACACACGCAAGATCTTTCTAACCCCGACGGACACATCTCTCTCAGATCGTAATTAATAATATACACTTTTTTCGAAAATACTGCCATGTCAGTTTTCTAGTGTGAAATAATTTAAGGTTATGTTTCACATTTTTATCAAACTGAATCATCAGGTGGTACATTTTTTAATTTATTTTATCATTTCCGGTGACTGGAAATAAATGCCTTTACGATAATACAAGACTTGTAAATATTTAAAACATTTCTACATAACTTTACGCACACACACTTTTATCTTATCTTATGAATTAATTAGCGACTTAATTAATTCCTGGCCTGCAATTAATATTTAATTGATTTTAAAGTACAACACCGATTGCAATCCGACATGCGTCATTACTGCGCCTTTCTCTGCATCATTACCTTTTGTGTTTCCGCTTTCTGCACCACCTGACCACAAATTCTTCAGCAAATAATCACTGTTGATGATTTTATTATTATTTTATTGAAGTGCTTCGAACTACCGTGCGATGGAAAAAATGCATTACAGTTAGCTTAGGTTTTCAAATTTCAGTTCTGTAGATGGTATATCGTGCCTAGTGTTTTAAGGTTAAAATTAACTGACGTAAATGTTAACTGCCAGTTTTTTTTAAACATAAAAGTTTAAAACTAGTTGATTGTTCAAATGTTGCCCCCCCCCCCAAGGTTTCACTTTCTGTAAAAAAAAGACAGTTGGACATCCCAGGAGGTTTCACATTTTAAAAAAGACATTTGGGGCTCCAGAGAAGGTTTTACATTTAAAAAAAAAGACAGCTGGGACCCCCGAGAAGGTTTCACATAAAAAAAGATATTTGGCGCCCCCGAGAAGGTTTCACCCTCATAAAGAAAAAGATAATTGCTTCCCCCCTCCCCCCAAGAAAGTTGCACATTGTTAATGAAAAAGATACCCCCTCCCCCCAGAAGGTTTGACATTCTTAAAAAAGGACAGTTGGGGCCCCGAGAAGGTTTCACCTTATTTAAAAAAAAAAGACATTTGCCCTCCCCCAGGTTTCACATTCTTAAAAAAGACAATTGGGACCCCCAAGAAGGTTTCACCATTTTAAAGAAAAAGATGGTTGCCTCCCCCCCAAAGTTTAAGATTCTAAAAATAAAAAAAAAACTTGCCCCCCCAGGGCTTCAACTTCTGTAAAAAGACAGTTGGGACACCTGGGGAGGTTTCACCTTCTTAAAAAAATACACTGCCCCCCCCCCCAGAAGGTTTCACATTCTTATAAAAAGACATTTGGCGCCCCCAACAAAGTTTCACATACTTAAAAAAATTCATTTGGGGCCACCGAGAAGGTTTTATATATATATAAAAAAAAAACAAGTGGGATCTACGAGAAGGTTTCACATTAAAAAAGAGATATTTGGCGCCCCCGAGAAGGTTTAACATTTTTAAAAAAGGCAGTTGGGAACCCCAAGAATGTTTCACATTCTTAAAAGAGACAGTTGGGACCCCCAAGAAGGTTTTACATTCTTAAAAAAAGACATTTGGGGCCCCCGAGAACGTTTTACATTTTTTAAAAAAGACAGTTGGGATCCTCGAGAAGGTTTCACATTAAAAAAAAACACAATTGGCGCCCCCGAGAAGGTGTGGCGGCACAATAATAGCTAGGTAAATGAAGTAAAGATAAGCCGCTCTGTAGTCTAGTGGTCAAGGCACCCGCCTGGCAAGCGGGAAACGTGTGGTTCGATTTCCACACCCTCGAGAAGGTTTTACATGACACTTGCTCCCCCCGAGAAGGTTATTCAAAAAATAAACAAAAGTTGTCCTCCCCCCAGAAGGTTTTCTGTAAAAAAAAAAGACAGTTGAGACACCCGAGAAGGTTTCCCATTCTTAAAGACCAAGATAGTCCCCCCCCTCCCCGAAGGTATCACATTCTTAAAAGAAAAAAAAAAAAAACAGTTGGGGCCCCGAGAAGGTTTCACCTCCTTAAAAAAAAGACAGTTGGGACACCCGACAAAGTTTCACATTCTCAAAAAAAAAGAGAGCAGTTGGAGCCCCCGAAAAGGTTTCACATTCCAAAAATAAAAAAGTCCCCCCCCCCAAACGTTTTACCTTCTTAAAAGACACTTGCCCCCTCCCCCCCAAGGTTTCACATTCTTAAAGACCCAGATAGTTCCCCCCCCGAAGGTATCACATTCTTATATAAAAAAAAAAAAAAAACAGTTGGGGCCCCGGGAAGGTTTCACCTCCTTAAAAAAAAGACAGTTGGGACACCCGACAAAGTTTCACATTCTTAATGAAAAAGATAGTTGGAGCCCCTGAAAAGGTTTCACATTCTCAAAAAAAAAAAGAGAGCAGTTGGAGCCCCCGAAAAGGTTTCACATTCCAAAAATAAAAAAGTCCCCCCCCAAACGTTTCACCTTCTATAGCAATTTTCTTTTTTTTGGCGTTTTTCGTCACTTTTTTATAACTTTCTTACGCCTCTTTTCGTGGATTTCATTATCGCCTTTTTCTGTAATTTTTTGTCATTTTTTTTTTAAGTAAGATTTTCACATATTTTACTGTATTTTTATTGATGACATTTTTTGCGACATTAGTGTCGTTTTTTTTTCAGTTTTTGTTTTGGTTTTTTAGTCAGGTATTTTTTGAACTTTTGTCGCCACATTTTCGCATATTTTACTGTAATTTTTTTGTTGCCCTTTTTCGTTTTACAGCTTTTTTTCATAGCAATTTTCTTTTTTTTTTGAGTTTTCATCAATTTTTTTATAACTTCTTTACGCCTCTTTTTGAGGACTTAATTGTCGCCTTTTTCTGTAATTTTTTAGTCATTGTTTCTTGTAGTCTTTTTTATGACATTTGTCTTTTTTTTGGCTTTGTTGTCGAATTTTTTGGTGTACTTTTTTCCACATTTTTTTTTGTCGCCAATATTTTGTATTAATTTATTTATCGGTAACTTTTGTTGCTTTTTTTCGACTTTTTTGTCGCTATTTTGGCATTAACACTAATTCCCAAAACGCTTCATTAGACAAAAATAATGTGGAAAACGTGCAAAAGTAATGGCCTAAAATATACATATCTGGTGTTCAATTAATCATCAAGTTGGCGTTGATGTTTTGTAAACTTTGTGAAGTATGTCTACAATTAACCCAAAATTTAATCGATGACAGCTGGCAACGCGGAAATGTCAATTGTATAGAGCGGTATGAATTAATAAACCCCATGCGTTTTTCTCTACGTCTTCTTCTATCAAAAAAGCAACGCCAACTTGATGACTTTTTTAATTGAACACCCGTTACATATTATATATCAAAATTTAAATAGTGCGCGAAATTAGCATAACCATAATTCAAATTACGCGCCTTTGCATCCTCAATCACTAATGTTACAATCTTAATTCAAATTTCGCGCTCTTTCGTACGGTAAATAAATGCCATTAGCAATTTGTAGTTTAATTAGTCGGTGTTTTGTGTAACAAAGCAGAATTGCCAACTGAAATTTTAAAACCTCAAGTTTGTCATAACGTGCGATCAATAAAAATGGGACTTTACACCGTTTATAATTTGAAAAAAAAAATAAATAAATAAATAAAATATGTTAATATTGGTTTAGTTCGCGAAGATGCCGACACTCAAACAATCTCGACGTGCGGACAAACCCGGAGGTCGATAATTGTAGTCCACAGTTCGTTAGTCAGCCGCGGTTAGTCTCAAAGAGCAAAATTAATTCCTACGAACTGTAATAACGAGTGTAGTAAACAAAGCGTCAAGGTTCGAGTTGTTCCATTATCGGAAAATCCCGAAAGCGGTAAAACTAATCGGATTCCTATTCTAAAGACCTACCTTTCTGTCTCCCACGATGGCCATCGGATTTACGTCCCCCTGCAGCTCGTTCGTTGCCAACCTCGCGCTGGCCGACCGAACGAACTGGTCATTTTCCTTATTCCGAATATCGTCTTCGTAATTGTATCCATATTCCTGTCTGCCGGCGAAAGCAGGACTAACCGCTTCTCTTAAACACTGTTGCGGATTCGACCGTAAATCCATATCAAGTTCCCTCGATAACGAACCTTCGCTTAACACGCTCCGGCTCCTAACCGGTTGCATTTCGCTAATTTCGACGTTGTTAAAATCGATCGGTTGAGTATTAGATCTCATCAGAACGAAATTGTTTTCGTTTTCGGGGAGTTTGTTCGTTGTGAATTTCCTGTCATGCGGGGTGGTGTAGCCTTTAGGCATGTTGGGGAGGTACTGCGCCGATTTGCGCATTTTTTCGGCGTATCTTTCTTCGGAGTAAAAATAATTATCACTATTCGAGTATCTGTTAATATCTAGGCTAGATTTAGGTCGCGGCTGCTGTCTAGTTAAAACACTAGAATTTGGTCGTCGATGGTTCAACTCGTACTCTAAGAAATCAGCACTGTGCGGTCTTACAACTGGAACTGGTGATTTTCGGAGTTGTAGGACCGGGCAAGGTGCTAGATCTTTCGAATCTAGCATGTGTGGAGGTGTGTACGCTCGGTATGGTGCGTTCACAACCGGAGTTTTCTTTATGTGGCTATAGGCTATAGGACTCAGTGGTCGTTTATACATGGTTTGGTCGGTATATACATCCTCGTAGTCGGTTGGATGCCTCGACTTTACGGTATTTAGTTTGGAGCGACCATAGGTATCTGGTGTTCTTCGTTCCACGTTCTGAGGTATATTTGGTACGTCTCGCGTTGGTGTATACACGTAAGTATGCATCTCGTGCTGAGGACGGTGGTGTACGTATCCTGGTTGAGGTGAGTGAGGTTTCAAATGAATGTGACCGTAAATATTAACGGGTGATTTGAGTACGTTTCGCATAATTGGCACATCTTGGGGAGGATTGTTATATCTTTCCAATACGTCGGGACTAGAAGAAGAGTAACTGCTATCGTTTAAACGTCTAGGTTTTGGAGGAGCGTTGGCATACAATGGTTGATGATTGTACTGACTGAGCTCTTGCTGACTGGGATTACTCAAGTCAGTGGTGTTGCTCGAAGAGTGCATATGAACTACCGTATTGTCAGTCGGGTTTTGATGAAAATGGTGATGATCAGAATTACTACTCGACTGATTATGAACTACGGGCACCGACGAACTAATCTGTTGATCTGCATCTCTATAAACACAAAAATTAGGTAATCGTAAAGTAACCAAACTCCCACATACACGTTAGTTTGTAAAAGGCAAGCTAAATTAAGAACGCGTATCCACTGCAACATCAACTCTTGTGAATCTGCCGCTAATATATAAGTCCTCATATTAGCATGTTCACACTTAAAGGCATACTTTTTATTGACTTTGTCTTCAGGACCACAAATGGAAACTTTGTACGACGGAAGCAAAATAGAACCCAAAAGTTTCTCCTCTTCGGGACCTAAAACCCTCTTTGTAAAAACGGCCGCCACCCCAGACCAACTCACTCTTGTAGTAAAACAGACAGTACTCCGACAACACGAACCAGCGCTTTTTCCACAACATCAGCCCTTCGGAGCCCTGCTTGTACAGCCACCCTTGCATGGTCACCGGTGCGTTTAAGGGCCTCTTCGCCGAGGGCGACCTCATCTGAAAAGTACTGTTCGATTTCTTCCTCTCCAAGTTCTCCTTCGGCTTTGGCTGCGGTTGCGCGCTGTTTTTCTTCTGGTCGGGTTTGCTCGGTTGCTGGTGATAATGAACCGGAGGTTGATGCGGGACCCAAATTTGTGGACTGTTTTGTAAAATTTGTGTGTGTGAATGTAGGGGCGGTTGCTTTATTTGCTGTTCGAATGCCTGGTTCTGGATCGTCTGCGTGTTTTTGTTTTGTTGGTGTTGATGAACATAGTGTTGGGGAAAATTTGTACTATTCAACTGTTGAGATGCTGGCGGTAAATGCCTGTGAATATTTTGCTGTTGTTGATATTGGACTTGCTGAGCATGCATGTGAAGATGTAAAGGTGAATTTATTTGTTGATGAGGATGAGATTGATTTAGGGGGTGTTGGTGGTTGGACATTTTCAAACCATACTGTAATAACCTTAGATGTTGAAGTGGAGTATTGTGTTGATGGGAATGTTTCGTTGAAATCGCTTCGTTTTGTATGACTTCATTGCATGAAGTAAGTGATGAGGGGCTATGATGTATTCCCTTTTTATTTTCCATAGTAGTGGGGTCCAACCTACAAATAACGATCGATTAAATCATTATTTTAACACAGTGTGATATATGATAGCTATTTGTAAGAATATTTTTTACTACATCACACTGTAAGTAACACGTTTCCTACTAAATTACCAATCCCATAGCTGCCACAAACAAGAAAACATTTTCGATGTTTATGCTATCCCCGAAAATTGATTCCCAAAATTTGTGTCGAAATTTTCAAATTAAAAATAAGTGCCGCCTGTCTAAATTTACTCTGGGTCACATTTTAAATTCTATTCGTTGATGTAGGTCATAATGGATGCTATTCGTATCTTATGCACATTTATTAATAGAAGCACTCGATTTTAGCGTCACACATCGAACAGAAAGCTCATTTTCAATGTTCTCATTATAAACTAGCATTTCACGTATCATAACATTACAACTACATTAAACGAAACCACTTCTCCTTACAGCAAAAAGCTACTGATCGCAATAGACAATATATGGAATACGGCGCCGACGCCAGGCGTCGACATCGAATTTTAACCTTACTCCTGATCGAAGGGTCCCGTCGCACAGGTATTCATCTACTTATATTTCAAGTGGTGATAATTTCACTACGACAAGATGGCGTTACCAAAATTTGTAAGTCGAAACTATTTACCACTATCGAATACTTCGGTACACCAACATGTCTGAAACAATTCGCTCAATGCGTCTATCTAAGCTATCTTAGATAATTTTTACTTTCACAATGTTGATTGTTCGATGATGCGTCATATGATAATGGAATCAAGATGTTGCAAAAAAACACTGCTATAGCAATCAAGCTTAAGTGGCGCATGCTGGGTTTTGAGACTATTAATCCACATTAAGTTAAGCTGTTTACAAACACCGTGTGCTATTTAAAATGCTTGATTTCAACGCATGTCAACTGTATCAATGAGTATTGTGGCGAAATAATGCACGCTGTCATTGATCCTTAGACTGTCACACTGTATTAGAATGAAAGAAACTGTAACAATCACACTCAACCGCACTACCTATTTTCAAATTTACAATCCGGTTTAATTATATCTTGTTTATTCCTTTTAAATTTAGTATACACGTGCAAGCTACTTACAGGCGTCGCAACTGTGTGCTGAAGCTTTGTTTTCAAAAATCGCCACAGACAGTCACACGGAAACGGGTATAAATATATTACTAATACAGTTAACAGAAACGACGTCATCAATTTTTTAGAGGATAAGTAAAGGACTTAGTATTTACTGCGTTGTTTAGAAAAACTCAAATGACCCCACATATTTGCATATATTTTTAAATTTTATGTGAAATTTTAAATACAGGCGATCTGCCAAATATGCTACAGAAGAATTCGAACTTTGGCATCACACCTATAAAAACACAGAACGTTGATGTAGCAACATAACTACATGTTTCAAATAATCTAGTGCAAACAATACACTGTTGTGCACTAAATTTACGGCACGCCTTGTTTTGTTGATATTTTCTCGGTGTAACACGGATCGATTTTTATTACTTAACAAAGCGCTTAAATGTAATAACCTTTTTATTGTAATAACAGAACTAATCAAATACTTAAAGACAAGTGTACTAAATTATTTTCACATAACAGTACATGTATGTAACGAAACAAATTACCCAACTACCGCTGACGGCAAATCGATTCAGAATAGAATCCATTTATCAAGTGAAGTAGTTTGATTGAAAAATAACACCACCATTTCATAAATGACTAAATAAGTCATACTAGAGTGACTGTCATTTAACACTTGTTCTAAATTCAAGGTTGTCTTAAAACTGTGAAGTACAATAAAATAGCATCACGAATTAGGTGTTCCGGACGTTTTTGCGTTGTTGTTTAGTATCATTCTAATCAAACTGACAGCGTGCCGTTTTAAAATTCACGTAACATTAGGTGTATTCAGGAAAATAGAGAAAATAATTCCAAGAAGGTTGAAAGTCAACTATATCTACTTCCACAAATAGACAAACAAGTTAATATTCCCTGCACACGACTGTCACATTATCATTACAAAGTAGATCAGGTACGCACATGTTCGGGGTTTGGCGACTGACAGCTAAAGCTTAGATTTTCTGTCAAGAATAAAAATTAAATATATATAATTGTTAATTGGATTGAGTAATTACAACATTTTGTAAAACCGGTAACAAACATGTGAAGTTATTTCATGCGTGCATAAACATAACGCATGAGAAAGTTGGAACACAGAATTCAAGATTTGATTTGAAAATTGTTCCGCCACATTCGTCTGGAAATAATTAAATAAATCTTGTGTTCAGTGACTTATAATTAATTGAATTACAAACATACAGAAGCATCCAAATGTAATACAATACCATGACGACGAACTATTCTCCTCCGACAAGTATCAGGATTCGTTTATTTATGTAACAAAGCTATCACACAATAAAGCACCACCTGTTACTCAAACAAATCACTATCTCTACAATTGTGAAGTAACGCGATATATCGTCACATGTTAACATCATCCGCAGTACTACACCGACAAAACCACCAACAATACTATCAGTACGCTTATTTAATATGCGCGAGAAACAATTTGTAAAACAAGGTATCAGGTAAAGAGGTAAAGTAAGTAGGAAATTGTTCCCCGACAATAAAACGAGTGCCATGAATTTTAATTACCTCTTAGACTACTCGCTAGTTTCAAGTCACGACACTATTGTCAATATTGTTAACAAAATACACGTTTTGCATATACATGTATCCGTTTTTTGTTTATAATGCGTCCCATTTTAATACTCTTGCTCCTGATTCACACAAAAATAAGTTAGATTCCGGTATTTCCGGTTCTGCTCGCGATTATTCAGATTAGTTTAATTCGCGGCGAAAATGATGTTGACACCCTTCATAGCACAACAGGATTTACCGTTTTTGGTTGATTTGTACCGAAGATTCAGCTCGCCGAAAAATGCATACGTCGATCGCGGTACGAATCACCGCGCCCTATCAACAAAAATTCACACAAAAGTTTACTATCGTAGTACCGGCTGTGGATAAAATATCGAAATAGACATACCGGTAGCATTTTTTCCAGTTATTAGTTGGACGAGATTAAGATTACTCTTGGGTTTGAATTTGCGGTACATAACCCAAATGGCATCAGCTGTGACTTTAAAAGTGGTTAAGTGGTTAAGAAAACTGCATTTTTGACAGTTAGATACCACTTTAGTGTTAGAGTAAGGAAATAAAGATAATAACATACAGATTTGCATAGATAACGGGTTAAATGATACGTAATAGAAGAAATACGTAACCACGACAACCCAAACAACGTTTTTATCAACAATTAGTGCATATTTTGTGGTAAATTAAAAAAAATGCGATTCGAGATGCGTCACATTTGGTGTTTTTTTTAACAAGCGGTTATTAATCATACAGGACGAATTCAGGTTCTGCGATTATGACCCTTGATGTGGTGTACAGTAATGTTTTGCGAAAGTTTCGTGATCAATTATTCATTTATATTACTTGTACGAGGAAATTTTCACATTTCATTGTTTTGTTCGATTTTAATAAGCACTTGTGACGCCTTGAAAATAATAACATTTTCTTCTCTTTTCCAAGATAAAATGAATGCAGTAATTACTGTTACATCCTGTATAAATTACATAGATACATCAGACGTGAAAATAGTATTAATTACACACCTTGAAAAAATGAAAAACTGCAATCTTACAGTCAAACTTTAAAATATCGAGATAAATATCCAGTTAGTGGCAACACAATGTTAAAAAACTGTACATTTGGCCAAGTTGTACTTCTTGACAAACTAAGCATGAGTAACGTGATTGAATGTCAATGAATTCCTCTCACCTGTTGTCAGATGCATGCTATTTATTCCGAAGAAGTAGAGAACACATTTTTTAAAAACAATGCAAGAACAACAAACAACCTTGAAGTTGAAGACAGTTAACATAACGTTGAATATTTTCTAAACATGAGCACTAAACAAAAACAAATCGGCTTTTGTGTCCACAATATAGAGCACCGTGGAAGTTACTTAATAAACATTCACGCCACACATAATTTAACAGAATGTTGACACATTCTTCGGGCTGCCTGTGCTCGCCACACCGAACGGAACTACAGTTTTTAAAGCAACCGAAAGCAATCAACCTACAAAGGAGTGGGAGCAGGTAGTAATCGAGTTTAGTTAAGTTCGTACACTTCTTTAGCGTCAGCAATGACTTGGTGCACATTGAACGGGCGCATGCGCACACGCTGCAGCGCCAAACCAAAACTCGTTACATAATGTGACCCTAGTTTTCGTTTTTGAACAAACGACTTTCCAGTGTGTTAAACAAGTGCGAAATTGTCACAAAACCAAAAGCATTTGTCGGTATTTCATCCACAAGTTAAAAATCCACAGTAAGAAGTGTACCTGGCGTCAACTTTAAAATGATCCTTTCTTAGCGTAATGTGTATCGGGTAGATGTATAGTATGAAGAGGTATTTTAAAAGCTACAGAGGAACGCGAACTTTATAGTTGAATTGTGGTCTTCTCTATAGATGTCGCTGCGGTCTGCTACCTCATTGTTTTTTATAAATTTGAACAGATTTGGGTAGAAAACAACGAAGTTAGAAGCTATTATCAGCAAATCACGGACAAAGAACTGGAAGATCCAAAGTATCCGAAGAAGTGAAATTCGAGCAGTTGTGGAGTGATTTCCATAAACTGTGATTATGCAGACATTTCTACACAACGAGGCTTGTTTTCAAATTCTAAGAGCGTCCCCAAATAGGATATTTGCGTGAATCCATAGAATATCCACAAGCAAAAACATGTATTAAATACAGTTTAAAAATAATGTCTTCTGAAAGTCGTAGCCTACTCCGAACGCTTTTTTTTGGCTCACACTTTAATGTCTAGTTTAGCTATATCACCCTTCATTTGTGTACTTCGGAAGTTGACAGGGAGAGGGAGTGAGTTTGAGAAGTGCCGACAGGAAACTGCCAAGGTCGAGACAAGGATAGAAATATATAGTTTATTCTATCGGATTAACAATTGTGCTGCGCACGCTCTCCCAAATTTGGCGCCAAAATTTAAAAACGTGAAATCTAAAGTGGAATCTATAAACTTGTTGTTGACGTTGACGTTCCCGTTGCAGTTGCTGTTCCCACTGACATTGCTTTTAGAGCTGAAAATTGTCATTTATATATTTTGGTGTTCAATTTTTGCCGTATTTATTGTATTGTAAAAAAAGGTGGCGGATTTAAGTTGATTACTACAAAAATTTAACATTTTAGACATGTTTTAAGTTTCTTGTTGTGGAAATAAGTCTACACATATTAAGGAAAAGGGGTAAAATGTAGACCCACCCACCCCCCCAATGTCAATTGTGATGATTTTTTTAGTCGTTGTGAGCCAAGAAGGCGGAGCTTAACTGCAAAATCCTTATTTCTCCACGAGAAATTAAAAACATGTTTTTGAGTATCGTGTAGTTCAAAGAATACTACGTATATTAAGTAAAAATAAAGTCAAAGATTAGGCCCCTTCCATACCAGCCCCGATCTCATTTCTCAATTGTGATGAATTTTTCATTCGTTGTCAGATCGAGGGGCAGGGCTTAGTTGCAAGATCCATATTTATCTACAAAAATTTGCCATTTTAAACGTGTTATAAGCTTCGCAGAAAAAAATCATCACAATTGAGATAGGGCGGGTGGGCGGGCTTACGTTTTGCCCTTTTGTTTTAATTTGTGTAGACTTTTTTAAACAACATGAAATAAATAAATAAATAAATAAATAAATAAGTAAATAAATAAATAAGTAAATAAATAAATAAGTAAATAAATAAATAAGTAAATAAATAAATAAGTAAATACATAAATAAATAAATAAATCACCGTGTACACTCAGAACATTATTTTTGTACATAGTAAAATTGTATTGTCCTGTAAAGTTAAAGGCGGTTGATATTAAAATTATACATTTTGCTACTTTGTAAATAAAATAATTTTTGTTATTTCTTTTCTGTTGAAAGAAGACTAGTATATTACCAAAAAAAATCAAAGGATAAGCCCCACCCAGGGGCGGAGCTTAAGTGCAGAGTTCATATTTTTCTAAAAGAAATTAGCATGTGAAATATGTTAAATAAAAATGAGGAAGTGCAAAATTGAAATATTTTTACTACTTTGTAGAGAAATATGAATTTTGGCCTCTCAATCTGACAACAAATGAAAAATTCATTAGAATTGAAATAGGGTGGGTGGGTGGGGCTTAATCATTGACATCTTTTTCTTAATCTATATAATCTCTTTTCAAAAACACGATACTTAAAACATAATTCTAATCTCAAATTCACTCTGATATTTAAGTATTTTTCTGTTGAAAGAAGACTAGTAGATTACGAAAAAAAATCAAAGGATAAGCCCCACCCATTCGCCCCATTTCAATTGTGATTAATTTTTTTATTCGTTGTGAGACGGAGGGCGGAGCTTAAGTGCAGAGTTCATATATTTATACAAGAAATTATGTTAAAAAAAATGAGAAAATGCAAAATTGTAGTATCTTTAATATTTGTAGAGAAATATGAATTTTGCAGTTAAGCTCCGCCCCTCACTCTGACATCAAATGAAAAATTCATCGGAATTGAGATAGGGTGGGTGGGTGGGGCTTAATCATTGCCATTTTTTTCTTAATGTATATAGTATTTTTTTCAAAAACACGACACTTAAAACATAACTCTAATCTCAAATTCACTCTTTGATATTTTAATTATTTTACTGTTGAAACAAGACTAGTATACTATGAAAAAAATCAAAGGATGATGTCACTAACCCTGCCATTGTGACGTCCAACCCTTCATATAATCTAGTCATTAAATTTTAATCGATAGAAACGTTCTGAATATAAACCTTATGAACATAATTTCAGTTCATTGTGAATTCTTTGCAAATAATATTAATCTCAAACTGATTCACTATTTAAAATCTTTCTCAAAACTACTTAAAAAAATCGAGTGATATCGTGTGGATTGATTCTAATTACGTTTGGATATAACACACTTAAGTATGACTAAAATTTAAGGTAGAGAGAACTACTAACACTTGACTTAACATCATTATCATTGAAAATATTTACGATCAAGTTAGACTGGAGCACGAAAACGTTTGTCTGTGATAAAAAGGGCTAATAATTTCCAAGCAAGAGCAAAAAGTAAATCATAAATAATCTCTAACGTCGATTATTATTCTTCACAAATTTTATATTAGTAGTAAACTGTCATTTTCTCTTCAAATTTCATTTTCATGATATTTACTTCCTTACTCACTACGTTTGACATCATTTTTTCGAATGCTGACGTTACTCTGCTGTCTTGTTTTTCGGTTTATTTACTTAAATTTTGATCCTCGATATCTAAATAATTATTAGAAATAGAAAAAAGTCAAAGTCTAAAGTTATACGGTTCTATGACGAGTGACGACCATACATTAAAATTGTTTCTAACTATACAGAGTGTACTGTTTTAAAACGTAACACAACAAAGTCTATACAAAGTCAAACATGTTCTAATTTTTTTAGAATAAAAAAAATCATCAGAATTGAGACCGGGTGGGTGGGTGGGGTTAAATATTTTGCTTTTTTCTTAGTATACATAGTATTCTTTGAACAACACGATACTCAAAAACATGTTTTTAAATTCTTGTAAAAAATAAGTATTTTGCAGTTAAGCTCCTCCCCCTTGATTCACGGCCACTAAAAAAAATCATCACAATTGAGATAGGGCGGGTGGGCGGGCTTACATTTTGCCTTTTTATTTTAAAATGTGTAGACTTCTTTCCGTAAAATGGAAAATTTGTACAAGGGAATATCGATTAGGCTCCACCAGTTTAATTATGTTTTAAATTTCTTGTTATGAACAGATGGCTATGTATATTATGAAAAAAAAGGCAAAATATAAGCCCCACCCACCCTATCTCAATTCTGATATTTTTATTCGTGGTAAGCCGAGGGGCGGAGCTTAATTGTAAAATCCTGATTTTTCTACGAGAAATGTGATGAATTTTTCATTCGTTGTCAAACCGAGGGGCGGAGCCTAATTGCAAAATCGATATTTTCCTACAAAAACGTCAACGGATGATATAAACGACGCATACCTTTGTTGCGTATTTATCTTACAACGGCAACGTCAACACATTTTATATAATAAATAAAAAACAATATTTAAACTTACCTTTTACGTCGGATGATCTCATCTAGGCTGATGAACTTTAACGATCTCGGACTTGTATATTTTAGTTCAGATACGTTTAATTCTTTACGTTAATTAAGTTTATTTTTAGGTTAGTAGTTTAAATAATTTTACTCACTGGACTTTTATTTACATCACTGGCTCTTTAAACAGTGCTTTTTTAGTATTTTGTGCAATTATTACTGTTAGTTATAGAAAAATTATTATAGTTAGTTGGTTTTTAGTTACGAAAATGTTTAATTTAATGGTTAGTTTGTACGTAAGCGTTAAATACAAAAAGCAGTTTGTTCAAAAAAAAGTATATTACACAATATTATTTTACATAAAATTTCATGCATTTTGTAGATGATATTTGTATATACTATAAAAAAAAAGAAAACATATAAGAGGAATATAAAATGGAATCGCAAGTGTTTGGTATTACTAGAGCAATATCATACTTATTTATACAGATCAACATATACAAATAAATTTTAACGAATGCTACACAATGTGTGAATCCTCAATTAAATAATGATTATGTAAAATATATAAATGAGGTCAGTTGAAAGTTTGATATGCATTTTGTTCCTCAAATTCATTCTTTCAACTAATCTACTCAAGTCAAGCTCTCAACTACCCTCTAAAAATGTAATAATATAATACAATTACAATCATGGCGCTAATGATACAGGTATAGTTATTTTCCGAATTTATAATATACACTAGATATATTAGATTTTCTCATCTTGTACATTTTTGGTAATTACTTTATACTCGAGCACAACAGATCTTTTGAAGAAAATTTTGTCAGATATACAATTATTGTACATGAACGTTAGTCTTCCGTGGACCCTTTTCGTTCAGAAGAAAACAAAATCTAGAATCCTATTTCGGCAAAATAAACATATGCTTATAAAATAACCGTCATCAAGCAACAGTAACATTTCACACTTATATCTTGTTTGAAAATGTCTCGTTCTAGCTTTTTAGTCGTAAGCGAATCTCAAAACAAGAAGAGCGCATAATCTGTCGTCGGCGGTGCAAAATTACCAGTTATTTTTGAAATTAGATAAGTCTACTATGGAATGCACTCTTAATTAGTTTCTACTATCTTATTTAAAATTGATCCGCTAGAAGGTCACAAATCTCCACCGAGACGCTTTCTTTGCTAGAGCGCACCGTCAATCTATACATCTGTAAAAAAAACAAATAGCGCAGGCTGTTTGTGCGACTTTCACATGATCACTACTCACTTGTGCACTCTTGTTCGGCTCTAGACGAAGAAGACATCCGACTTGTTGCGACCGCATGTGAATAATTCCAGCGCAGACAAAATTATCAGGATTCGGGTCAATCCCGTCCAGAAGCTGCATTCCGAATCCCATGATTTTCGTTCTGGCAGCTTGCAGGTCCATCGGCGACGAGGCCCTAAATATTTTCTGAGACCTCTGCTGATTGGTGCTACAAAAAAACGTTTAGACGAAGACTAGACGACAACGCACGACTACCTTCCGAGGTTCTTCCATCTCGCGAAGAACGACTCGCCGTTCATTTCCGTCGGTTCGAAGAATTTGTTGATGGTCAGTGGGAGTTTGATCGTTATTTTCTGAGGGGCGTTTGAGTAAAGGAAAGTGAGCGCTATACTAGGAGAACCGATGTAATCATCGACGCATTCGGCATTGATCATTTGTTGGATTTGGGCACCGGCTTCTAGGACCGGTTCAACGGGCTTCATCTGTATGCTCAATTTGGACCCTTGGTCTTCGGGCCACGACAAAGTCGGAACGAAATTTTGAAGAGGAACGTTAGTTTTGTTGCCGTAGAAGAGACCAAGGCGACCCAAATTCTGGCGGAACTCACTTTTGACACCGATTTGGATCAGGTCGTTCTCGAATAAGACGCCGTTGTTTTTACATACAAATCTATAAAATTGGAGTTATGGGGGGCGAGTTATAAATGGGATACGCACTTCTTTGGGTTGTACATGTTCACAGATTGAGTATTGTTGGTGCTGCTGTTTGGTTGTTTTCCTCCGTATATGTCGCCCAACACGTCCAACAAAACACCGGTGTTCCCGGAATTTGGTTGTGCGGTTGGGGGAGTCGATAACCCCAGCAAGTCGCCCGAGACGGTACTAAACAAACAGACATTTATTAAACCCGACAAAGTAGGACCCCCATTCCCAAAGAGCATATTTCAAGCGATTTATAATATACAACTTGGTACCCGGGTAGCTAAACTATACCTTTTTTTCTTCAAGTACCTGGAATTATTGACGTCATTGTTATGGTTGGCAACCGGGGTGGGACTCTTATTTTCTTTAATTTCGTTTTCCGGGACTCTCCCTGGTTTCTTCTTTTTCAAAACAGCAAGTATAGAGCTTTCCCTTTCCGGAAAAGCCGGCATTTCTTCTAGAACGGTGGCCAGCACGTCTGAACTAGCAATAATGCTTAGCTGCAAATATTCGGACGCTCGTTGTTGTAATTCGGCATCCGCGGACCTCAGATTACTGTGTTGTTTGAACACTTCTTGAACCTGGGCCCGAATTTCGGGGAAGAGGTTTATGAATTTGATGTAGGTCGAAAGTAGTAAAGCACGCGTCATCGGTGAACATAGGTGATATTTAGAGTGAAGAAGTTGGAATTGTACCGAAGGCGAGGATCTTTGATCGCCTGCTATCAAATTACCAAATTCGCCTAAGATGTACCCTCCGACTTTGACCATGTTCTCGTGACAGGCGGGTGCTTGCAAAGCCTAAAATAAGTGAAAAGTGAGGTTATGTCCGGTGAAATACAACATTAACGTACTTCAAAGACTGTCTTAGCGGCATAACCCTGTACTTCGTCTCTATTAATAACAATCTGTATAACTCTGTACCAAACTTCTTCGGAAACATAATCGCCAGCGATTCTTATTAAATTTAAAATAACATCAACATACCTGGAAGAACAGTTTACACTAACGATATTTGAAAATCGACGTGACGTACCAAGTATAATCTGTAGCATATTTTTCGGCTAAAATAGCAACTTTTAGTACCATTTCTTCTCTTATTGAGTAATCGGCAGTTTCTAAATAATTCAACATTTCTTGAACTATTTCTTCGGCATTGCTTTTATCGCACATAGCATATAACAAATCAACAGCTTGTTGTCTCACCGAGACATCTTTTTCCATCTTCATGGACAAAATAACAACTTCCTGATGCTTTTTCACCGCTTCGTGTGAAAATTCCGATGTTGCCAAATGACACATCGACTCTAACGCCAAATAACGCAAATTCGTTTCTCTATTGCTTAAAAATTGCCCTAGCTGATTACACGCACGGACCAACAAATTAGCCTCGCTAAAACCAAAACGTTCTAACTCATGAAATTCCACAACTTTCCTCTACCTGTCATTGTGAATAATTAAACTAATTGCTTCAAACAGTACGGCATTTTTGGCATTCGAGTGTTGTACCTTTTTCGACTTGGGAGGTTCTTGTGCTTTATTCAAAATGGTTTCCAAACATTCGTTTAGGCGACCACGAACACCGGGATCTTCAGCTAAAGCACGATAGGTAAAGTTTGCATTGAGTTATATTTTTCAAAATAATCGGACGCAAATGTCAAAAGTCACGATAGACTTAACCTTGACCGATTTTCTCGCTAAGCCAAGATTGTTACACCAATGACAAGCCAGTTTTATCTTTAGCGCGAAAATGTATATTGCAGATTTAAATACGCGACGTCCGGTGTAAAATTACTACCATAAAGGTAGCCAGGATGTGTAATATTACGTACACTGGTGCCTTCCTGGCGGCAATATTTTCTTCAAGTACTCGTTTTTATTGCTACAGGGACATTCTACCACAATTGACGTGTAAATTATCCTTTCAATACCTACGTACAGCGCAAAAGTGGAAGTAAATTGCTTTTGAAAATGATGTATCTTGTATAACGCTAAAAACCTGACGGATGTCTGCGTTTGAAAAATTTGACATTTGCAAGTGCTAAATATAGATTGTTGATTTCAACGCTTGCCACAAGGTTCGTAATTTGTCGCATTTTCATAGTTAGAAACATTATTAAATAATGCCAACTTAAATTCAAGAAAACATGAAAGTAGCAGCCGTCCAATGGACCCTATTATAATACCTCATTAGCTTCCACTCGGGAAGTATATAATACGTGATGATAAAAATTGTTTATCCTACATGATTTTCAGCACCAATACTTTTCTCATTACCAAATCCAATGTTGCATAATATCTCGTTATCTTATCTAAATTTCGCTATTAATTCTGTTAAATCACAATTATCATAACCTGTTCAGTTATATTTATTTCCCTCTGATTGAAGAACATTAGTTTCACGATTTTTTTGACGCATATAAAGAAAACTAAAACGTAATTTCAAAAAATACATGTATGACACAAATTGATTGGCCAAAATGATGTATTCTCACGATATAATCTGTGGGTTTTCTAATTTAGTTAAATCAATAGGTCAATCTACAAATCATACGTTTGTTGGATATATTGACAGCTGTATTCGCGTGGTCTATAAATGCAATGATAATCGTGGTGGCTGCTGTCAAATTTTATAAATGTCAATTGCGCACACGCCATTTGTTTTTTAATATCATTTTCAGTGATTGTTTTTTTAAAAACGTTTATAATTGGATTTTTTTTTGTACAAAAATTACCTGGGGGAGTGTAGTTTTGCAACAAACGTAACAACTTGACGGATAGCCATGGGGCCGGAACAAAATAGTAAGTGTAGTCCTGTAGGTCAGTGTAACTAGCAGTGACAATCTGTGGTGTAAAAATTGCTATAATGATGGAATTATTTATAGAACGAACTTACTCTACTCAGGCGAGATACGGCAAGAGAGACGCAGCCTTTATATTCTTCAGGGTTCTTTTTAACTAGGGCATCTATAAGACTTGTTGCAGCTGTAACAACCCCCATGTGTTGATCATTGAGCAAATGTATAATGCGAGAAGTCCATTCACCACCAGGAATAATTTCTTGTGAAGTCCTGAATAAACGAAGAAGACAGAGAGCTGCACTTTGCTTAACTACATCCATTGTGTCCCTAGAGTGACTAACGTGAAACGAAATTTACAAAAAAATGCGAGCCTACCCTGATACAAGTAGTTTGGGAATTTCATTACCAAAAGCTTCAGCCATCTCTCTGCTGCCAATGTTGGCAATACATTGCAGCGCCAAATTAACATGAATAGGATTTCTTGAAGCTAAATCATTTTTAATACTTTGTATTATGAGTTTGATTAACTCACTATTAGTGTTGACTAGCACCGAAATAAATAAATAACCCTAGAAATAAAGTGTGTCAGAAGCGATATCTAGACAATGTAATCACAGAAACATGATTCGCGTTGAAATTGATACTAGGAGTCCATATCACTTACTATTTGTTTTTCAGAGTATTTGTTAGATGATAGAAGATTTACAGCTTCCATGTGCCCAAAATCAATGTCATGGCCAAGTAAAAAAATAAAAAGCAATTTACACACATATTTCTTCTTTTGGTAACCGTCTAAAGTTTTATCTCCTTTAAATTTGCTCCTGATGTTTGCCAACTCTTTATTGATCCTTTTAATCTCCGCCTCTTTACTTTTACCTTCACAAAAATTTTACAAATACCGAGAATTGTTTACCGCAAAGTACTCACAATTCCTGATATCCGAAATAAATACGGCCAAGCCACGCATGCCATCTCCTCGCACTGCCGGCATGTTGGCAAAAGTAGATTTTCTTCTCCAGAATCTTTCCCTGGAAAATATTTAAATAAGTGTCTCGCTTCAACCTTTATTGAAAAAAGTTGCAAAAGGTCATCATTAACGACCCTCCCCCTGAACTGCACCGACTTTTGACAGAAACCAGAAATATCTATTAATAACATAAAAGTACAATACCTGTCAGTTTACTTTTTTCTCTAAATACCAAAATTACAACGTCTGCCTAATATCAAGTTCTATTTTTGTACTTCGTTGTCAGCAAAACACCTTTTATGCAATAATTTTTACTACGACTAGAGAATTGACAACTCTCGTTCGAGACCGAACTAGATGGCGCTGCAGGAGGTGTCAGTTGTCATGTTGTCACTACGACGAAGGATCGTGAATCAGCTGCCCGAGTCACGCCGCCCCCGGTGCTTTTCTTATCTCTGCTTGTTTATGCCTTGATTCGTCACTCATTTCCTTTGAAAAAATATATTATGTTTCTTGGGCTCGATAAGACGAGCGATTACCATTCAGTTGAAAAAATACAGATCGAGCGCATCAGGGAATTGCTAGCGACAAGACGTGTAATGCGCGATGACGTCACACCCCTGTCGGTATCGCAGTATCACCGGCGTATTAACAGAGACAAATAGTAAATAATATAATAATAACAATTTAAGATTGCCCAATCTAGATCATTTATTCTCCACATGTACCAACACACCGCCTGTTACAGACATTGTACTCAATCAATAAAAACCAAAATAAACATTTTACACGTGGTCTGCTTAAGCAAAGGCCCCTGGTTTCATATTTGATTAAATTTGGACAATAATAAATTACCACATTTTTCTAGCAGTTTTTTTACTATTTTAAGTTTGTGGAATTAGTGGGTTTTTAGGAGGGGGTTAAAGGATAATTACTATGCCCTGGGAGCACTATATAACTGCTTAAAAGAAATTAAATCAACCAGATAGAATGAAACGTAAACTGGACTTGCCCTCAGCTACAATAAAATGTTAGAATGTAATAAGTCTGAAAAATACACTACGTTAAACTGAGTTTCAATTATGAAACGGAAAACCACGGTTTAATCGTTTAGTTTAGTGTCATATATAATTAATAACGGAAATGAAAAATAAAAGCACATTAAGCAACCACGTTTAGGGAGTTCTCGAACAGTGAGTCGTTTTCACATATAGATTATTATACACGTTTATTGTAGCATTAAATAACCGATTCGACAATGTAATGGTGCTATAACTAACTTTAACGACTGATTTAAGTAGTCAAATAATGAAAAATAGAAGTGGTTTTTACTTCCCGAGCGTAAGCCAAGGAACTATTGTATTCCAGTTCATACTTTATGTTTTGTCGTCTTCAAATTTGAGTCCAGTTTTTGGGAAAAACCCGAGTGTGCAAAATTAAGATTAATAATAATAATCTAAACGTGCGAATAGTCTAATTCTTTCGATGTATAAACAGTCGAAGTTAAGCACGTACGGAGAAACTGAGAACACATTTTTTCTCGTTGAAATATATATTGTTTGCAGCGATTTTTCCGTCATATTTAAGCATTTAATAAGTGGTCAGTCTGGTACAGAATTGTTTTGTGTTTAATCAAATTTATGCATAAATAACGAGAAAATTTGGTATTAAGTTTTGATGAAAGTCTAATTTCATGCTGTATTGACATTCTGTAACTTGTAAGAGTGAAAATACAAGTCTCCTTTTTCCAATTGTCTGACTATCTGTTGGCGATTCTATTAATTATTGGGGAGAGGTCATCAAAAGTTGATGACGTCACATAAAAAAAGTTAAGTGCATGTATAGCAATGAACGTTTAATAAATGTTAAAATTTAAATTCCGCGGGTCAAAAATCTTATTTACCGAAATTTGTTTAAGCAAAGTTCAAAGGACCCTGTTCGTATATTTGTTCGTTAAATTTGCTGCTAAATTTTGGGTTATGTAGTAACTCTTTTAAATATTTTACGAGACAATTGATATCGATAGGGTCAATTTACCGGCTTATTTGTCTGTAATTTTTACAAAAAATGCAAACAATTCGTTTATGATAACAACACTATAATAAACCATAAAATATACAAAGCTCAATTGACTAATAATAAAATTTGTCTAATCCTATTAGAGCGTGACCTTTTGTAAACTGACCTTGCACTGCTTTAATTTTAACTTAAATTTTAAGTTCCTAGTATAAATCGACTTTAAATATTATCTTTTCGTGCTTTCTTTATTTTAACAGTGAGATTTTTTCACATTTTGTGTTCGCGAGTCATAAAATTAGGTACTTTTGTGTCACTTGTTCAAAATAATTGCAACGACCTGACGTGACCCAATCAACGAAATTTTGTCTAAATTGAGTACTGACGTGTGAGACAGTCCGTATTCGTTTCGTACTTTGTATATAAGGTAACCAAAAATGAAAAAGTTTTACGTAGTTTATAAAAACCTATAAATAACATTAAATTTGTTGTTGAATAAATTTGTTGTTTTTCAGTCAACTTTGGCGGGAAGTTACAAATCGTTTCTAGGTGTAAGTATGTGTGTTTTATTTGATTTTTGCAATGTTGCACTATTCGATTTCTTGTGTGTGTAATTTTTCACGATTTGAATTTGGCGGGTGAATGCAGTCGTTGTATTGGTTGTTAGCGAATATAATTTTTAATTTGTAGGGGGCAAATTTTCTTCGGTGAACATTTTTTTCGGAGACAGTAAGGTTGGTAGCACTCGTTGCGGACATGTCGGCGGCGTTGTTTGAGAGTCACTGAGCGTCTGATTTTTTTTGTGAATTTTTTTGAATGCTTTTGCGAATATACCGTGTGTTGTAAAACGAACACGTTGTCTCAATTCGTAGAATCGTCGAATTGTCATATCAGTTGCTGCCGGTAATGATGGTTTCGTGCGCACACGTTTATCATTGTTGCAAAGCAGTTTGTAAATCGTGTGGTTTGCTGTTTTAGCAGTTGTCATGAATGCAGTTGTCTCGTTCTTACTTATTTACTGTCAAATTTAGAAGAGAGGAGAACAGAACAGATAGTGGATTATGAAAGCAAAAACTGAAAGAAAGTGCCAAACCCAAGCTAAAAATTATTAAAGATATTCTGTGCAAGAGATAAGTTACCTTTATTTAATGTTTTGTGGAAAATAATGGTGGGACTTTCTACGGGAGGACATCTGTTTTCGACTGTTTCGTCCCAAGAAGGTATTCTACCCATTAGCTATTATAATCAAAGCAAGATTATTGATTGAATTGTGACATTTTAATGGTGGTGGGAGATAATATCCAAAAACATTAGTAAATTTTCTCAAACCGTCGCTTCTAACTAAAGTGTGTATCGCAGAATAAGTGGACGAAATCGATTTTTTATAGTGTTTATGTCTGCATTATTGTAAGGTTATGTCAACCCACGATTGGGTAAAGGTAGGCTTTCTGTGTGCAACATAACCATCTATTGTTTGTTTCACTCTTCATAGCCTCCCATTATTTTAATTCCGTTCATCGTTTTACTTCACCCTCTATCTCACCAATAAACTACTCTTCGATGTTTTTTAGTACAAGATATGTCAGGATTGACCACAACAGCACCCTCATCTGCCGATGCCTGTCTCAGTATTGTCCACAGTCTGATGTGTCACAGACAGGGTGGCGAAAGCGAAGGTTTTGCTAAGCGAGCTATCGAGTCGCTCGTTAAAAAATTAAAAGAAAAAAGAGACGAATTAGATTCTCTTATTACAGCCATCACGACCAGTGGTGCACATCCCAGCAAATGTGTCACGATTCAAAGGACGCTTGACGGACGTTTGCAGGTATTTATGCCCCCTTTGGTAATTGAAGCATTTATGTAATTCGAGTTGGTTTCATCAACTTGGCGCCCCACAACAAACAAAGTACCGACAACGTTGACGTCAGTATGCTTTGTTAATTGTAAAACTTTGTCAAATCACACATAGCTTGAACTATAACAGCAAAAGTAGTCAGATTTTGAATTCTGTACTAATAAATGTATAAATACAGGACAATTACTTTGATCGCTGTATTTCAGTTCAAATATTCAACCAGACGCCATTTGTAATACAGCATTTTCGGAAGTCAAAGAATAATGGCCCTTGTATAGTTGTCCTCAAGAGTGAAAGTAAAAAAAAATAGTAAAAAGTGCTGCAAATATTCAACCAGACGCCATTTGTAATACAGCATTTTCGGAAGTCAAAGAATAATGGCCCTTGTATAGTTGTCCTCAAGAGTGAAAGTAAAAAAAAATAGTAAAAAGTGCTGCCATAACCGTATCTGGGGCTAGCAAAAGTACCTACAGATTATCCCCAAAGTAATTTCCATGACGTATTTTTCCTGATTAACTAATTTAAAATAGTCTAAAAAGGACATTGTATCCAGTGCCTTAAGGTCCATTTATAAACTTGTCTCTGACGTTGCTGTTCGCCGTTGACGTTGGGTTTTCAACCAATCAAATTGCGGTAGTGTGCAGTGCTGCCAACTAGAAGGAAAATCTGAAGTAGAAGGGACATTTTTCTGGTTGACAGCATCATTTTCTACACTGTAGCTTTCTGTCAGTACTTTGCATTGTTAAAGATTGTCCTCAAGTTTTATTGCGATTCGTTTCAAAAACAGAAAGGTTAAACATGATTAAAATGGTAATTTTTTGTAGGAAATTATCGATTTTGCAATTACGCTCCGCCCTTCGGTCTGACAACGAATGAAAAATTCATCACACTTGAGCTTGGGATGGATATGGGTGGGGCTTAATTTTGGCTTGTTTTTTTTCTTAATGTACATAGTATTCTTTGAACAACACGATACTCAAAAACATGTTTTTTATTTCTTGTAGAGAAACAAGGATTTTGAAATTAAGTTCCGCCCCTTTGACTCACGACGAATAACAAAAATCACAATTGAGATAGGACGGGTGGCCGTTTTTTCTTTACATAACATATTTCACATGGTAATTTCTCGTAGACAAATAAGGATTTTACCATTAAGCTCCGCCCCTCGGCTTACGATGAATAAATAATCAAAATTGAGATATACATAGCCATCTTTTCAGAAATTTAAAACATGGTTAAAATGGTACATTTTTGCATTTTTATGGGGCGGAGCCTAATTGCATAATCGATATTTCCCTATACAAATTTACCATTTTAAACATGTTTTAAGTTTCTTGTTGTGAAAATATGACTACAAATATTAAGAGAAAACGGCAAAATGTAAGCCCGCCCACCCGCCCTATCTCTATTGTGATGATTTTTTTTTATTCGCTGTGAACTAAGAGGGCGGAGCTTAACTGCAAAATACTTATTTCTTTACAAGAAATTAAAAACATGTTTTTGAGTATCGTGTTGTTCAAAGTATACTATGTATACTAAGAACAAAGGCAAAATATAAACCCCGCCCACCCGCCCATCTCAATTGTGATGATTTTTTTTATTCGGAGAAACTTAAAACACGTTTAAAATGGTACATTTTTGTAGCGAAATATGGATTTTGCAATTAGGTTCTGCCCCTCGACTTATGACGAATAAAAAAAATCATCCGAATTGAGATAAGGCGGGTGGGTGGGGCTTATATTTTGCCTTTTCTTACTGTACTTGGCTATCTTTTCACAACAAGAAACTTAGAACATGGTTAAAATGGTACATTTTTGCAATTATGGGGCGAGGCCTAATTGCAAAATCGATATTTCCTTATACAGATTTTCCATTTTAAATATGTTTCAAGTTTTATGTTGTTAAAAGAAGTCTGCACAAATTAGAACAAAAAAGCAAAATGTAAGCCCGCCCACCCGCCCTATCTTAATTGTGATGATTTTTTTTATTCGCCGTGAACCAAGGGGGTGGAGCTTAACTGCAAAATATTTATTTCTTTACAAGAAATTAAAAACATGTTTTCCAGTATCGTGTTGTTTAAAGAATACGATGTATGTAAAAAAAAAAAAACCGGCCACTCACCACATCTTAATTGTAATGATTTTTTTATTCTTAGAAAGTTAAAACATGTTTAAAATGATAAATTTTGTAATTATGGGTGGGGTTTAATCTTTAGCTTTAATTTTTTCTTAATATACATAGTATTCTTTGAATAACATGGTACTCAAAAACATGTCTTACCTGGTAATTTCTTGTAGAGAAATATGTAATGAAGGATTTGCAATTAAATTCCGCTCCTTTGGCTCTCGACGATTAAAAAAAAAAGATCACCACAATTGGGATGGGTTGGGTGGGCGGGGCTTATATTTTGCCTTTTTTCTTAATATACGTAGTCGTCTTTTCAGAACTAGAAACTTAAAACATATTTAAAATGGTAAATTCGTGTAAACAAATATGAATCGTTCAATTAAGCCCCGCCTCTCGATTTGACAACGAATGAAAAATTAATCACAATTGAGAATTGAGATCGGGGCGGACTTGGGTGGGGCCTAAACTTTGGCCTATTTTTTTCGTAATATCCGTAGTATTCTTTGAACAACACGATACTCAAAACATGTTTGTAATTTCTTGTAAAGAAATATGTAAGTATTTTGCAGTTAAGCTCCGCCCTCTTGGTTCACGGCGAATAAAAAAATCATCACAATTGAGATAGGGCGGGTGGGTGGGCTTACACTTTGCCTTTTTGTTTTAATATATGTAGACTTCTTTTCACAACATGAAACTTAAAACATGTCTAAAACGGTAAATTTTTGAAGTAATCAATCTTCTACAACTCATTTAAATTCGGCAAAAGTTGAACATCAAAGTTACTGTCAACGGAGTTTATAAATGACACTTTGCGGCTCTAAAAGCAACGTCAGCGGGAACTTCAACGTCAACAGCAAGTTTATAAATCCCACTTTATTTAAAAATGACATTTTACGTCGTATTTTCTCGCTTTTGCGATGGATGGCGCCACAGAAGGGACATCGTAATTGTTAATAATATGACAAAAATGTCTTAAAAAGTCACTTTTTAAATGAAAATTTCAAAATGTCAGCGGTTGTCAACACATTGGCGTGTAGAGAGTGGAATGAAAAATGATATATATTGCACTGAAACGGTGTCAAATTTGGCGTTGTTCTTGATTCTGTTAGCCTTGTTGACGTTTTGAGTAAAATCTTTTTTTTATTGTTGCATTTGAAGTTATTTCGAAAACAGATTGGCACGCAGTATGCTCCAATTTTTTGATAGATCAGATTAAAAAAATGTTTGCTGGTTGTTGCTGTTGGTTATTGCGTAAAAGGAATGATTTGTCGTCTTTTGTTTTTCATTACTTTGGATCGAAATTATCAGATCGCATATAATCACAATATAAGGAAAGGAATTTTGAGTGAATCAGTGTAGCACCTGCAAAAAATGTAAGAAACTTACGTATTACTAGTTTTTTGGGTAAAAGTTGCACCCCGTTACAACCGTTTTCGGGATTCCAGGGGACACTTTCATCTATCAAAAAAATCAAAATCGAACTGGGTATCGAACGTGCTACCTTTACGCGTTTTTGACCGGTAGTGACGCAAGTAATAAGTCATCTATAAAATGGAAGCATTGCAGGCATAGTTTTAATCAGAGCACTTTTTATGCAGGTGGCTGGACGTAAAGGTTTCCCGCATGTCATCTACGCGCGGATTTGGCGATGGCCCGATTTGCACAAAAATGAACTCAAGCACGTCAAGTACTGCCAGTTTGCCTTTGATTTAAAGTGCGATTCGGTATGTGTCAATCCGTACCACTATGAACGCGTAGTGTCGCCGGGAATCGATCTTTCGGGACTGACTTTGCAGTCGGGTACTTCTCGGTTAGTGAAAGATGAGTACACAGCCGGACCAGTTCCTGGTGGTAGCATGGACGTGGATGGTGAAATCGGGATCGGGGTGACGCAGACGATCCAGCATCATCCGCCCCAGCAGAATTTCACGATACAAGTACCGGCGACAAGTAAGCGAATGTTTTGATTCACCGTAAAAGTACTCGTTATTCGTTTGACGAACTTTTGTTATATGTATATTAAGATTATTTTTAGTTATGCATGTTATGTTTTCGTTGCAATGGTAGGTGATCAGGGAATGTATAATTCTACAACCAGACCCGGTATGGGACATCCAGTACCTAAAATAGAGGGTGGAGTTGACGCATGTCCGAGAACAAATTGGTTGCCGCACATGCATTTATCTCATCGTAAGATTTTTTATTTTTATTTTTTTTTCCGTGTTTGAGTTCTGACTTTCGCGGTTTTAAAATGTCAGATGTTGTTTTTACAAAATGAAAAGTCCATTGTGTGTGTGTTCATAGTTTTGGAGAAAATCGACCGTGAACAATTTTGAAAATTTATCGATGTTGATGGTAAACTGCGCCGATATTGTAAATTGTAGAGTCGTTGTAGCTTACTGTAGCACCACACTAGCATGCCACATTTCACAATTTCATAATGATTATGTTTTCTACACAGATTTTACTTTTATGTATACACTTTAATGCTTGGTGTGTTCTTATCAGTTTCACGTTATAAATATTGTTCAGGTGTGGGACTTTTTATAATTGGTTCATTAAAAGTATAATTTGGAAACTTTCCTCTCGTTTATTTAATGTCATCTTTTGTTTTAAAACGAGTTTGTAAATTTTCAAAAATGTCACTAGGTGGAAATAACCCTCCGGTTTCACCCCACTTGCAACAGGATGGTTTCAGCAATGCAACCCATCAAACTCCAACGGCACCCACAATTAGTAAGTATATCTTCTGAATAGATGCGGTAATCACGTGAAAGTCGCACAAACAGCCTGCGCTGAGTAAAAAATCACAGAAGCGCGAAAAATAAATCATATTCCGTGCGTCTAGCGACCTCTCTTATAATATATTGTCTTCTCAGGTGGAAACAACCCTCCTGTATCCCCGCATTTACAACAAAACGGTTTCAACAACAACGCTACAACATCCACGGTTGTTAATAACACAAACAACCAAATTAACACCCAGCCGGCAGCTACCATAGGTCAGTCGTTCACGGGTGCCGGAGGCACCTGGACTGGCTCCAACACCTTAACTTACACCCAGTCCATGCAGCCTCCGGACAACCGCAGCCACCACACGAGTTACTGGAGTACCAACCAGTGCAACGACGTAAACATCGCCGGTTTGTTGTCCACTCAACCAGCTCCAGAGTTCTGGTGTTCCGTCGCGTACTTCGAGCTCGACACTCAAGTAGGCGAAACCTTCAAAGTACCCTCGAGTTGTCCCAACGTCACAATCGACGGATACGTGGACCCATCTGGGGGAAACAGATTCTGTCTTGGTGCGTTAAGTAATGTGCACCGAACTGACCAAAGTGAGAGGGCGAGATTGCACATTGGCAAAGGGGTGCAGTTGGATTTAAGGGGCGAAGGAGATGTTTGGTTGCGTTGTTTGAGCGACCACTCTGTGTTCGTCCAGTCTTACTACCTGGATAGAGAAGCGGGACGGCAACCGGGTGACGCGGTCCACAAGATTTACCCTTCGGCGTATATCAAGGTACGTGGATTGGTTACTAGAGGAGTAGGTATTAATGCGGTGTCCAGGTTTTCGATTTGAGGCAGTGCCACAGCCAGATGACGACGCAAGCAGCTACGGCTCAAGCGGCAGCTGCGGCACAAGCGGCAGCAGTGGCTGGACATATTCCCGGGCCACATTCTGTCGGGGGCATAGCGCCAGCAATCAGTAAGTCGAGTGTCTTGCGTCTAGTATTCATAAACAAAACTCTTTTTAAAGGTCTATCGGCAGCTACCGGGATTGGCGTAGACGACCTCAGAAGGCTCTGCATTTTGAGATTAAGTTTTGTGAAGGGTTGGGGTCCAGATTATCCCAGGCAGTCCATAAAAGAAACGCCTTGTTGGGTGGAAATCCACCTTCACAGGGCGTTGCAGCTTCTGGACGAAGTCTTGCACACGATGCCCATTGACGGTCCAAGAGGCATTGAATAAGTGAATATTTAGGTTCAAACTTGAACATTTTCTACTGATTTCAAAACTACGTGATTTGTATAATAATTGTCTAAGATTCACTTTTAACCATTTATAAATTACTGACTACTTTTTATTTCATAAAGAACGCGATCACAAAAGTGATTAAAGAATCGAGGTTTTATGAAGCAGAGTTTTAATACTGTAACGTCAAATACGTTGTTGGCTCTCTACATACGTAACAAAATGTTTCATTTTACGTTCAGGCGGAAACCCACACGTGTACTGCATTTAGTCAAAATTTTGAATAAATGTGAATTGAAATCTGTGTGTTACCGAATTTGTTTTATCAAAATGGGGGGAGTATGAGGATGCTTCCAGCTGTCAAAGAGTAGTTCTTCCAAGACTTTCAGTTAACATTGCTTTAAGTGCCATGAAACTGTATGACTTTTGATTGGAGTGAAGTAGAAAACGTATAAACAATTTGACAGTTGACGCAATTATTGACTGAATTTTATGGTGTAATACCGGCTTACGTAAATTGTAGTACCGTATTAAATGACAGGTACGGTTTTGTTGTCACAAGTTTGTGGTTAGTGAGTGTTGTAATTGAAAAGACGACTAAAATACACAACTTTGACAGTATTTTCGTTGTTAATCAACGTAATTGTTCTTACCCAACCTTATAAATATATAAGAATTTTTGTCATGAATGAATAGTGTACTTGTTTTCTAGACTTATCGTGACTTTAAAATTTCAAACAAGTTTGTAAGATGTACAGTTTCTGGTGTGCGTTTGATTAAACCTGTAAAGGGGGCAAATTTCTGTAACGTTTTGTTTGTTTTGTTTATTTTTAACAACTTTGTGTTGATTGTGTATGTTGTGCATGTTTGTCTGCACCATAATCCAAATCAGTGGTGCCACAACGACAAAAATTCGTTGTGGCGTTAAATACTTCGAATCAGTTTTGTGGAATTGTGTGAGGTTAAGTCCCATTTAGTGTTAGAGATTACTTATTAATAAAACTAAATAAACAATAAAAACGACATTGTGGCGCTGTTGAATTGAGGGTGCAAAGACGAAACGTCGCGAAGTCGAGGTGTCATGATAAGAGTTGATGACAAAATTCATTCCAATTCGTTTGTGACACTATTACGTTGAAATCAGCAGGAAAGTCGTAAACGAGATTATTAATTTATTTTGTGAGACACAATTTAGTAATTTTTAATTGGTTGTGTCTAAGGTTTAGTTATTAAGTTTGTAATTACGCTTTTACGCGGTAAGTCTGTCGTGCGGAATTTACACTTTTCTCTACTGGAGTTAGAAATGGTAGCATTAGTTTTCAAGCCGTGAGTTATAAGTGGCAGTCGATGTACAGGATGTTTCTTTTTTGTAGGCAACATATAACTCGTGATAAAAGGATCTCATTTACTAAGACAAATATTTCAAAATTGTTAGCTGTTCCATGTAAAGTGAATTTTATGGGACCTACGAAAAATAAAAATCTTTCGTAATGAACGCTTTGCTGAAAACTTCGTGGCCTTTGGTAGAGAAACGTGGGAATTTCGCACCGCCGCCTTCCTGCATATTGTTTATTTCGACAACTTGTTTACTTTTTATAGTTGTAAGGACAATTTCTTATTTTTTATGTAAAGATATATTTGTATATATTTAAAAATGATTGCCTTAATAATCGGAAGGACTTTGTCGTATTTTTTGATAAGGATAAATAGTGTAACGAAAAGTAAATGTTTTTAAATATAAATTCATTGGTGGATATTTTATTGTGCCATCGATATTATTTTGTACAATGTGGATGCCAAATTTCAAAATAATTGTACGAGAGATCCTGGGGGGGTAAATGCAGAAATTAGGCTGTGAAAAATGTAGAATAGGATGTAACTCTTTTTAGTTATTCAGTGCTTGATATTAGACTAGAGTTAATTATATGTTATTAAAAGCACCCAATGAATTCCTTTTTTGTATTCTTTCAAAGATCTTCGTAATACGCGGTAAATTCAGTTTTCAAATGCAGTGTATATGAAGATGTCTGTTGTGTGTAATCCATTGATATTATGTTGTATATGAAGTGCATTGCAATAGTTTATAACATTATTCCACTTGTAAATTTTGCATTATACACTTTTATAATATGTAATAATATATTTTCAGTGGTTCAAGGTCGATTACGACGTTGTGACAGAAATCATTGTTCATGTAATTATTAATGCTACACACATAATATCATAATAAAGTTATTAAAAAGTACACTTTCTCACTAAAACCTACCCTTTTATAGAAAAATAGCGTTAAACTAAGTGAAATCAGTGTGTAAGTGACACTGTAACAGTAGCAGGTAGAAGCTCGTGCTACCAAATTCAATTAACACTCAAAATTCCGCATAAATGATTTTATTGATTTCTAGTGAAGATACACAACCACTACATGTATGTTGACATGAAAATGAACGTATCTACACTTATATGTCACCACTCATACCATTTATTACATAAATAATGGAGTTTTGCAATAATTTAATTTTTTAAATACAAATATTCTTATTTAGCTTTGCCTTGGGCCGCCACTGCTTCCATAGCCTTTTTCACAGTTTCAGGGTCTCCCAAAAATTGCAAACTTCCGTCAGCAGTGGGTTTCAAATTTGCGTCTAAGGTGTACACAAACGGAATCCCAGTTGGCAGGTTAAGCTTCATGATCTGATCATCAGTCAACTCTAAAAACAAACAATAATAAAACGCACTAGTGCGGAAATGACGTTTATTACCATCAAGGTGCTTCACAATACCGCGCAGACTGTTGCCATGAGCGGCAATCAAAATCTGCTTGCCAGCTTTGATTTGTGGCACTATTGTGTCATTCCAAAATGGCAGAGTGCGTTCAATCGTCAATTTGAGCGACTCAAACTTGGGGAATTGATCAGCGGAAGGTCCATCTTTGTAGCGGGGATCTTTTACAATGATGTCGTGATAGGGATGATCAGCCTCCATGGGTGGGGGCGGAACGTCGAAGCTACGCCGCCAAATGGCAACCTGTAACATGTTCAAGATACGAGTTAGTAGACTTCTGTAAGGATGTGCTACCACCTTAAGTGTATTGTATTGTATCGCCTTAACATTTCAACTTACCTGTTCATCCCCGTACTTGGCAGCAGTTTCAGCCTTATTTAAACCAGTCAAACCCCCATAGTGGCGTTCGTTAAGTCGCCAAGTCTTCTCAATTGGCAGATCTGTTTGTTGGATTTCTGTTAAGATTGCCTGAAGAGTATTCTGAGCCCGGGTCAGAACTGAGGTGTAAGCAATGTCGAATTTATATCCGGCATTTTTTAGAGCCTTTCCGGCACTTACAGCCTCCTGTTTGCCTAATTTGCAAAGATATACAATTATTTTCTGGCAAGGTAAGGTTATACGACAAGGTCAAAAAAGGTCAAACCGGTTTATTACCTTTTTCACTTAAATTAGCGTCGAACCAACCACAAAACAAATTTTTTTCGTTCCATTCTGACTCCCCATGGCGCACCATCACAATTTTGTACGACCCCATGGCTTCTAATTTGACAAAATTTGCCACAAGATTCAAACACCTAATTGTCAAATTCGAACTTGCGAGTCGCGACAGCTCGACCATAGGGTCACGTGCGCCGGTGTGGTGGGGGGTTGGAAGTTTCCAAAGTGGCGACATCTCGTCGTGACGTTACGAAATTCCTGTGGCGGGTATTTCATTTGTTTGTGTTTTTGTGACGGGTTGTGATTGATTGTCTTTAAAAAGATGTGGTGATGGTTTGAGAGGAAATAAATGCCAGGTCATTAATTTATTTTTTTCAGAGTTCTATACAAGTATTTATTTGCGGAAGTTAGGTTTGGAGGAGGAGGGCCACACCGGCTAGGGTCCATTTGGCAGGTTTGTCTTTGGTTTTTAGGTTGAACGTCCATACGTATGTGGGACCTCTGGTCCGTGTTTTATAAACGGGACACTCGTACATGTTTCTGAGATCTTGCTTATCTTGAGTTATGGCTCTGACGTTGATAACCGGCATTCCTGGAAATAGTTCTTTCAGTTTCGAATCCATTATAATTCCGGCTTGGACGTCCCATCTGGCGCCTTCCATGTGCAGACCGTGAATGTAGGCCCCTTCTCGGGGGGCGCTCCTGGAAGTTTGGACATTAGGTTATAAAATACGTACACTATTTTGTATACTGATAAAATTTTGTACCCTGAGTCGAATCTTAACGATGAACACGAGCGGATGTTTTGTTCTGCAACTGAAGTGTACACAGTGTGTGTTTGCATCATCAAATGAAATGAAAACTACTGTATTTGATATACTTGATATAACCCTCAAATTTATGCAGATTTCAAAGCGGAAGCGTTGTCTGTGAAGGATCGATGAAGATCCCTACCGGAAAGGTTGTTTGACCCCATTGTTGGTCATAAAATTTATTAATACACAAAAATGTTTTGTCTAGGTTTATAAAAAATCTAGTGTCTATCACAAAAATTAGGGCAGACTGTGATGTCCCGGACGTCAAATTATTCATTTAATATCCATTTAACAAAAAAAAACCACTACGCAGAAGTAATATAAAGAGCGTTCGAGACGGACACAACGGAATTTATGAAGTTCGAACGTGGCTAAACTTAAAACCTCGATGCGACATGACAAACCCACAAACACTAACCCCATCTTCCACTTTCCAAGTAATGATCTTGAGTTAATTACTATCTGGAATCCGTCAACTATTCCGCCTGTCTTAGAGTGCATTTTAAAGCGCGTACAGTAGATAATGTAAGGTGCATGCTTGCGACCCCACATTACTAAAGCTCGGGAACCAGTTTTTGTTCGGTAATCAAGACCAATTAAACGCGTTGCTTACTTAGCCCGACGATGCTGAATATGTGAGTGTGGCCTTGAATAAAATGCTTAACTGTTCTGACCTGTCGCTCGGGAGCCAATTTTTGTTCGATAACGCTGATTGTGTGAATAAAAAAATGAAACCCGTTGTTTTCTGTAAGTACGGGTAATAAAAACAAAATGGAAAAGCTTACGTGAATTCTTCTTTTTGTTTCTTGGTTACATCACACTGGAGACACATTTTATCCAACGGTAGTTCGTTTCTTCTGGCCGTGCTTTGCATAATCGCTGTGAGTAAGGATTGGGGATTGAAGAATCCGCCCAACCAGACTGACGCCGGTAACTTAAGTCAAAAATACCCATATATAGTGTCCCAAAAACACATTATACTTACCACAAAGTCAGTGGACCACGTTTCTAATTCCCTAATTCTCAACAATAAGTCAACAAACCAAGACGTTAGGCCAAGAAGCGAAGGATAAGCCCTCCGACCCCAGACCGGTGGCACTTGATCCAAGAATAATGCGTTTTCAAGATCTTCCATATCCGACGTTATTGTAAGTTCCCCTTTTAATCCCAGGTCGAGTTCTTTCAAAGAACGCTTAATTTCTCCAGTTAGATAATTCATTCTTTCGCACTCTTGAAACGCCACAATCACATAAGGAGTACGCTCTTCTACTTTGCCCATTATCTCTGTCATATTGAAGTCTTCGGGAAGCTTTTCGATCATTTCGTCGACCATTTGCTTTACCTGTCAAGATTCTTATTTATTAGTGTACTTCCCGGAGCGCTCTAGCGTACTTTATCTTCTCTTGTAATGGTGGTGCCTCCTGAAGTCCCGGCGTCTCGAGGCTGCATCTCGAACACGGTCCGAAAGAGATCGTCGGCTGTAGTTGTCAAAAAACCGATTTCTGCGTTGGGGTGCAGACCGTACAAGTAGGGCGACTCGGGAGGCATCATTTCGTCGATGTAGTTGTGATACCCCACGTAATCGGTATTCGGGGGGGCAGCGAAACCTGGGGCTAGCATTAATTCGCCGTCAACCTACAAGCAGACACGTTATTTCCCGCAATTATTCCGCCTATCTTGACTAGAAAATAAGGTGCATGCTTGCGATCGACATTACTAGAGCTCGGGAGCCAGTTTTTGTTCGACGGTCCAGACCGATTAGACGCGTGGCTCACTTAGGTCGCTGATTATTAAGGTTAGGGTTAGTTTTATCTTATGAAAAGTTTGATACTGAACATGGATCTAAATATGACGCTATTATAGTTACCAAATCGGGTTGTAGAAGTTCTTCTAAGTACGTAATACAGAGCCTTCTATCCCAGTCGTCGGTAATGTGTCCGCCGTACATAATCTCCCCGAACAAATATCTTAGGTCCTCCCATGGCACTTTAGAATTAGCTTCTAAATAATTGTAAAGCACGAATACGCTAATAGTTAAATCTCCGACGTTAAAGGGATAGACTTTATTCCAGCCTTGCGGTCCGAATTTCCTGCGTTCTGCCACAACTGCGTGAAAGTAGCACAGAGAAAATAGTATGACTTTAAATTCAGCTTCCTTTCCACATTGCTCTAATGTTTCCTGACTAAAATTCGATAGAGATTTATGTAAATTTGCCTGCATCCCCGTCGGTGGCTCGTTTGTTATTTTTATTGAGGATTCTAAAATTCCCTATAGCAGGATGTGTGAGTTTTAAGCAAACGGTATATCTTTGTATAGATACTTGCGGGATGATGTGGGCGGTGGGAGTTGCGGCAGGTTCGGCGCTCATAAAAACCCGATAATTAGAGTGAGAGCCTTCCGCGTAGCGTTCTAAATTTTTTTCGAGCAGAGGCAGCCATTTTTTAACCAGATGGATGTTCTGTAAGACGACCCAGTGCCCGTGCAGTGCTGCAACTTCCATCGCCTTTTCGGCTACGACTTCCTGGCCTTGACCCAACGATACGTTGTGAAAATTCTGCTTATCTGATGTAAAACCAAGTTTTTCTCCTAAATCTTCTACATCTTTCAAAGGATTAACGCCGGGGGATAAAATAAAGAAAATCGGTGTCGATGGACTTGTTTCCTCAAATGATTTAGAGAATTCTACTGTTTTGTTCTCCACATACTTCGCACCTAGTTTTTCTTCAATGAACGCCCTACGAGAATAAATGAATATTTGATTTACTCTGCTTTACGAGGATGTGTGGAATAACCTCACTAAATATATAACAGTGACGCTGCTGCCGCGAATGCTAAATAGCACATACTTTAAAATATTACCAAGAAAATTGACACTATCCTAGTAAGCATGGAACTACCAAAACTCACTTTATAACCAATTTTAAGTGCAGTTTTTAATAATAATTCTGATACATGTTTGTGACTTAATTTAATTTCAACACCAACCAATTGACAATTTTTTTTTTGTGTCGCCAAGACAACCTTCAAATTTTAGCTAGAAAGCATATTTCTGTTGAAATTTATGAGTTCTGAGCTATATTTTACTTGTTTGGTAATTCTGCACGACTTGACGCACTGGGATATGCAGAATCGAGTTATTTTGTGAAAAGGAGACGATTGGGTATAGTTTCGTTTAAAAACTTCAAAAATGTAACTTTTAACAATTTTTGTAATACTTTTTAGCGACTGTAAGTATGTTCGAGTAGGAATCATAGATACAGTAATAAAATAAGCGCAACCTTCTTTTGATTTTATTAGTGTTAATTGAACATGGATTGAATAAGGATTTAGCGCAGGCTGTTTATGCGACTTTCATGAGATCACCGAAGGAGGAGTGAAATAATGTGTTCAGGCTTAAAATCTACACATTTTAGTACCGTAAAAGTGGTAAAACTTGTTCAAAATAAAGTTAGAAAAAAACACTAATAAAAAGTGTGAGCGGCATTTTGATGGTAGTTAACTCGTCGTTAAAGGTAGTTTTAGTGTTTGTCGATAACTTGAGTAATAAGGTAGCTATTGTTATGCACAAAAGCTTATATTTTTGTTTAGATGAAAGAAAAAAATGTAAATTTAAGCATCGTGAAGCTTCAAGAGCAAGTGTTTAGGGTCTAGAAAATATGAAAGAAGTTGTTTGCGTGTGCGTTTGTTAAAAGTTGGCGTCTTCGGTGTAGACGCAATCGAGAGGGCACTTACATCATGGCATATATCATCCGATCGGGTCTAAGGGCTCGCATCATGCAAAGTCTCTGTAGGGCAGTTTTGCTTTTCCATTCTTGAGGAAACTTTTCTCGCTCTGGACATTCAGATTCAACAAGTTTCTTCCAACGTTTGGGGGAATTTTCTATGTCTCTGTCTAAGTTTCGGAACTCATCTTTTGTTGCTAGACTGCATATTCCGCCCCAACTCGTGTTGGACAAAAAATCGACCGGACTAGTCACATGTGGTTTTATTGGAAAGCGCAAAAGAAAATCCAAGTCCGGGGCCAATATCTCCTCGCTCATAAGAAGCACCTTGGGAATATCGTGGGGTTTTTGGTCGAGTTTTTAATCCGGAAACCGACTCACCTGGAAGGTCATCTGCGAGGCAAAAATTAATTTGTCGCATTCAAACAGGCCCCGCGTCGTGTACTGGAAAACAGAGAACGAGATGCAGTCGATTAAATTATTCACTCGAGCTGCGACTTCGTCGGCAGGGTCGGCTTTGGCGATGGCTTTTTGAAAAACGACGCTGAATGCCTAGAATTACCAAATAAAATAGACGTAGATTTGAATAAACATCTTACTTTCAGCGAGAACTGATAAATTGGGTTAATTGTATTTAACTCGTTCAAAATGAAATAAAGCAGACTCGCTCGAGCTGCTGCCGGTCTGTAATGTTCTCTTGCTTGATCGATTTGAATTGAAGTAACTTTGGCTTCTGCGACTTTTTGTTCTATTTCGGCTGCCGTTCGCTTCGTGGTTTCTAAATTCTCGACGAGTGTTGTGTCACCCAGTAAATTCCCACCCGCGGACGATAAGCGAGACAGCAGGTCGTCTTCCAGAGTTTTGAGCATAATTTTGAAGTCGTTTTGCTGCTTGGTTAATTCGGCCTGTGTGGAAACGTCACTTTTTAACGAACTACTCCGACAGAATTTTGATCCACATGCAGAACTTGTACTAGCTCTTGCTAAACTTACCTTTAACTCCTCCAAATCAGGTCTTTCGGCCTTAACAACTTCCGCCAGAAGTTGGTCTTCTAAGCCATCCCTGGTTACTGTGAAATTAATCAGTGTTGCTTGGGCCTGCATCTCTGGCTTGTAATGCGGATTTGCTAATTTTGTATGAAGAATGAGGCGAAACGTGGCGTTATATTCGATTTCCTTGTCACCAATTTTTATCGCCCTATAAAACAATAGGTTACAAGTTTACAACTTCATTACTCGAAAAACCCTACTTTCCCTTTTTAATTAAATTTCTACCGAGCAAAGTGTCTAATACAGGATCAACTGTCTCCTCGATATTTTCTACCAAAACTGTTGCTCCGCAAGTAATTGATTTTTCAATCACATCCAGATAACCCTTTTGCCCTAAACGGATCACCTTTAATTCGTCGCCATACTTTTGCTTGATCCACTTTATGCCTTGAAGCTGATTCATTTCAAATCTAAGTTACATTACAAACACAAATACACAGATTTTACTTGCGGATCTATCATAAGTGGCCACCGATCCGAATTAGAAAGAATCGTCGCATTTTCTGTTGACATTCGATCACTGGGTAAACCTTCGTTATGCCATTTCGCTATTTGAGTGTCATCCGTTAGTAGAGTTAATGGATCCAGATCCTCGGTGATGGGAACATGAGGCTAAGTTTGAAAATATGACCCAGATTAATCCACTTAAAAAAACAAAATCGGCTGAGCTGTTGCTCAATCGTTAAATACCGAAAATCTTGTATTATTTTAACATGACAAATTAATCCAGATTTTTGTCTTCTTTTGCACGTGGTTTATCTACGTAGGTATTCACTTAATTATACAGACTGTTTAGTGTTTCCTTTGATGTGTATTCTAAATACCGCTTAGTAAGCGACTGAAAGCGACGTCCGCGAATGTCAATGTTGGCTGAACTTTCGTCATGTGGAACTAATCTGCACGGGACAAGAGACTACATTTCTGTATGTATATGAATTAGTTATCGCCTGAAGACTTACACTTTCAGTGCAGTAATTTTTTAAAATCCACTGAATATTCATAATTACCCGACGTTAAGTTTGTTTATTTTCTTCTAATATAGAAAGTATTGACGAAAATTGAACCATGTGGGTTACTAAATTTTATTTGTTACGGATCCAACGTTATTTTTTTGGGTTGTCATTTTTTCGGCTACCGACTGACTAGATCACTTCTTAATATATTTTTTGTCGTTGGGGTTTCAAGAATAAAGGTTTCTTTGTTATGTTTCACAAAATGTCTCGGTTTATTTTAAGAGTAGCTTCTAGCGCAAGGGCAAAAAATTGAGCTAAAAACCATATAAGCTGTTCGACTTTAAATCGCACTTCATATTATGGATAAAAAATTCTGGCATATTTATGATAAAATAAACTCTCTTCCGAATTACTGGTTAAAGGGGATGTAACTAAGGAAATTTCGCAGAAAAAATCGTACTGACTAAAACGGAATTATTTTTCGTCGAACTGAAATAACTGTGGAACTTATGTGATTTCATGGCAATACTGATACAAAATAATGACTTTTTAGAGTAGCATTAAGCAAATTTTTCATTGTTCGTCTGTTCGTGTGACCCGGTGTCTCCTCGAGGTCAGAAAACTGGTGCCCGAGCATACTTGCGCACACTTATGATTCCTTACTTCTAGAGTCTTCAGAAACGGAAGCCACATTTTGTGTAGTAAGTCCAAGCGGTATTGTTTCGTAAAACATCCTACGTAAGAAATAAAAGCAGTAACCAATAACACATCCCCCGGTAACATTTTCCCCTGATTTACGAAGCTGGAAATAAAAATTTATAGATAGTAGATTGCAAGGGAAGTGCGGAATTAAACTTAGTAATGCAAGTGAATAACCAACCTAGCATTCCTATTGGTTGGGTTTGATTCCACACTTTTGCTACATATACGATAACATTAATTTTTACTAACTTATTAACGGCTTCCGCCCATCTCACATTTTCGCTGGCCAGCCCTCCGACGAGTCGATTTGCCAGTTGTATCGTTGCATTCGTGGCATCCGCTTCTTGTTGACACAACAATTTCTCAGTTGTCGCTTTTTCAAAATCCGCAGTCAAATTCGCTAGTTGCTCTTCTAGAGACTACCAATCAAATGCGGAAACGGTTCGCGGCTACAAAACGACTTACGGCAACTTTCTTTTTGATTCCGCTGAGTTTTTCCTGAGCAGCTGCTAATTCCGCGTTAGCGGCAGCTAAAGCCTTCCGTTTAGGCTCAACGTCGCAATAGACCTCATAAAACTTAATAATATTTATCACCCAGGCGCAAAGTCCGGCCGCCGCTGCCGATTTTGACCTGACAAATTCTGGCTCGAATTCTGCGTCTTTCAAGTAAGGTTCGATGGCTTTGGTGATTTCTGGGTGAATGTTTTCTTTGTCGTAGTTGATTAAAGCGTCCAGAAATGCGTCCACTTTGGCCATCACTATCTGGAAATTTTCTCTTTATTGGGTAATTAAAGAGAACGAGTTTTACTTTAGCGGCTTTCCAGCTTCGGTCTTTGGGTATTTTTGCAGCCGGAGCTAGTAAAACCATGACGGCGGCAGTCACGTTTGTCACTGCTCCAGGTGGCGAACCGAAGGACTTTAATTCCGTCAGGTTGGCTTTGTTTAGTGTGTTAAGGGCTTCTTGGGCGGCTATTAATGCCGGCTCTGCTTTGAGTAAGTCTTCTTCGCAGTCTTTTTGTTTCTTACTTACTTCGTCTGCAATAATCGCTACTCTTTCTTCTTCTTCGTCGGCCAGTTTTTTCTCGATTGATACCTTCTCAGTCTCTATACCTGTTAAATTTAATTCAGTTAATTTAATGTGTCACTTTTGCAATCCGTGAGAAATAGAAAGCGTGCTAATCAGCGAGAGGGATATAAAGAACTTATTTCTTAAGAGGGGTAGAAATATATATTGGAATGCACATAAACAAAATTAAAATTCTGAAGGCATTCTTACCTACAATTTCGATAAGTCTGTCCGCGGCTTCGTTCTTTTCCTTAAGTTCAATTTCTTGAATTGCTAGCTTTTTCTTAAGTTCATCGACTTGAACAGCAGTACTTTTCAACTTATCCAGTCCGTTTTCCAGGCGTTCAATTTTACACTGAAGTTCATCCGTTTTCTTAATTAATAGCTTAGTATATAAGTTAATTTGTTCGAGGTATGATTTTGGAGTTGTGTAATTATACCTCCGTTCGTTTTGTAGAAATAATTTAGAAGTGGCATTTACAGAAGTGTGGGCGTATGCCATAAATCTGGATACAGAATCAAGCAAAGATGCCTATAAATCATTTATAATTAATTAGGAAGTTGGAGAACGCCACATTATCACCGGTAGGGCTTTCAGTTCTTGCAAAAATCGGAGCGAAACGGAAACTAGAGCTTCTTGAGGCCACTCGTGGAACCAGTTAATTTGCGTGCAATTAATAATAGCCGGGAACTTTCTTGATCTAACGCGCAACGTCGAGCCAACAGGTGAAAAACACAATACGACTTTTAACTGTCTTCTTACGCGATCAATAAAGAATTTCCAACAATTTTCTCGAGTGTCTAACATACCAGCTCCTTTTACTTCGTTACGAACTCCTGCGATGATATTTTCAATTTCGTCATCGGGAAACATGTCGGGAACTTCTCCAGACGCTAACATGTCGTTTATAAGAACCAAAAATTGCTCATTGGGCACTTGAGCGTCTGTCATCAGAAACATTATTCCGACGTTTTTTAGCCCGGTTTTCATGTAGAGAGAAGACAGTTCGTTCTTGAGATCGAAGACTCCATAACCCTTCTTGAGTTGGATTTGTGACACTTCTAAAGATGATATGAAAGCCGCCAGTCTCGCCAAGGATTGTTTGCCACTGCCACCGACTCCCACCAATAATGCACTGCCTCTGGGAGACTCCAGGATTCTGTTTATTCTGGAAATTGTTTTCACAAACCCGTATGTATACGAATGTGCGAGGGGCCTCCGGAGATATTTTTTTAATTGACACTCGTGTTTGCCAATTATCGTAATCCCAGTTTACTCTAATAACACCCGATTTTATCTGACAACGGTTCAGATTTTAAGTAAGATTTTATTTATAGCTTTAAAAGAGTTCTAGTTTTTCAAAATCTAGTGAGAAAACTGGCGCCCGATCACCATAATTGGTTTCGCTTTACCATCTCCGAATAAATATTTTTTAAGGGGAGTGTAAATATCGCTCTTGTTACGTATCCTGTTTAGTTCTGATAAACCCGCTGACCTGACAGAACCGAAACACTTACCTACATACATGCATCATTGCATCCTCAAACAAGACTAAATTCATAGCTGCAACTAAGTCGTTGTAACTAGACATTGCTTCTGTCAGCAATTTGCTAAGGGTTTCCCACTTAGTTATTGGCATATATTTGGGTTCGCCTATCCCTCCGGCAAAATGGCAATAAATGTTTGGTTTTTCAAGAACGATGGACTCATCGATTTCCTGAAATGTTACGTATGCGTTTAATTAAAGCTACCTGTAAAAATACCTCGAAGTTTTTCTTGAACAAGTCTAATTGTAGCTTGTTAAAAGCGTCAGTGTCCTTTTCCTCAATTAGTTTATCTCCGTAAACTCTTTGACTTTCATGTAACCACAGCCTAACTAAATCTGTGGGTTGATTTAAACAGTCGTTCGTACTAAAGAGCAAACCCTGAAATTAATTTAGAATAAAATAAATAAATAAGTGAAGAGGGTTTGGGTTAAATAACCCTGAGGGCCGATTGCACCGAATAATTTTATTTTAATACAAGTTTATTTGGAAGGAACGATCGTCGGGACGATTGTTTTCACAGCAAGTGTACAAAGATTAACGTTGATCTTTGTTTAAGAACGAGGGGAGATCGGGAATTAACTCTTTGGGGTTGATTTAAGTGCTTACCTGAAATACGTTGGATATATCTCGTAAATTAAAAATGTAGTGAAATTTTATAGCCGTAGGAAGGAATATTTGCGATGCTTTGTGATGTAAAGCAACGGCAGCTGATACAACGTTGTCGCCGAGTTTTACAACGACAGAGGGAAACTTGTGTTCTATATTAGATAGATGCTGACTTAAAATTGCATGATAGATGGTCGAGAGAGCCTCACTTCCGGGGAAACTAATCGCAAATACGTAAAAGTGTCTCTGTAGCCTCGGATTTATAGTGAAACTTCCTGCAGTGGGATTCATGCACGATACGTATTGGCAATTATGTATATCTTTCAGCGACAGCTTGTTCCTGTCGTACCAGTGTCCATAATCCAAGTGCTGCCTTATTAGGGTGTGAGGCTGCACGGTGCCATAAGCATCCACTTCTGGCATGTTCATATCGTCGATAAAATAAACAAGAGTTTTATTTCCGGGGGGACCATAATTCCTTCCAGCTTTTTTCTCTAACGGCTTCTCCAAAATCTTTTGTAACATCTCCGATGTTGTGTAAAAGTTGAAAGGCACGTTGGTCACCGCGTAGTTCTCGGATAATGACGCCAATTTCTCGCTGACCAACACAGTCTTGCCGCAACCTGCATTTCCGACCAACATAACCGGACGTCGCTTAGCCATCAACAAATCCAAGAAATATCGAATACGGATCGATTCGGCCGTGTGAACCAATACTGCCTGAAAATAAGCGCCCAGTGCAACTTAATCGACTTGCGGTTCAATTACCTGAAGGGGGATGTCTGGATCGAGCTCGAAACGTCCCAGACTCTCGGTCCACGACACGAACTGCTTGCTTTCTGACTCGATGAAATAATCAAAGACGGTGCCGCCGCTGGGAAACTTGACCGACTTAAATTCATTAGTCCACCACTTGGTAAATTCCACTCGGTAATCAGTCGTCTAAGGACCAACTCAAGCATAGAATCGACGTTCATGCCCGATGTATCCAGGAACAACACACAAAGTCTAGATCGCTCCGCGACCCGACTGGTTCGCCCCTGACTACATCATCAACAACAAATACAGCACCAATACGTTCAGAAAAAAACATTTGTCAGTCATTTTGACAAGGTTTTTACATTTCAATCCGACAATAACCTTCACACTTTAGAGGGGAGTATTGTGGCGGCACAACATACCGTGTAAAGTTATTATGGCGATTTTCTCTGAACGTAATCCCGTACGAAGATTTTTGTACCTGTTCTTGGAACATCGCCGACCCGAACGCCCAGACGCAGCAAAACACGAAGTAGAGTTCGTACCATTCTTTGGGACAGTCGTTGGGGACGTTGTTGGGGGTTAAAAGACAGTCGAGCAAGTGGCATAGCATTTCGATGTGTGCGGTTTCAGCCACTGGGGTTATTTTCTTGAAACGTGTGCGAACATTTTCCAGACAGACCGGAATATATTTATCAAAAAGCATGATGAGGTTTGACTTTTCGGTCGAGTTTGATCGGGTTTCGATCCAGCTGGTTACGAATCTGAAAAGGGTTTGCATTTTCGTAACGATTTGAATTAGCGGAAAATATAAATAATAGTGGATGATGCGGAAAATTAAGACGTAAAGACGAGGAATGCGTATGAGAAAAGAACACTCACGGATTCCAGCCGAGATCTTGAGGGTTGATGTAAAGAATTCCTGCTCGGGAAACCGTAGCCGGTGTCGCTGTTCGTAAGTTTGAAATTTCAAATAATAATCTCATTGCCGGTGTTAAGGCAATTCTCTCATTACTAGCTAAAGTGAGTACTTTGTTATCATCCATAACTGTGTTTAGGGACTCGATCCACATCGGATCTATGTCGCCATCTAAAACGATCCATTTTGGATTATCTCCACTCAGATTGGCTTGTTCTCTCATTAAAACCGATAATAAACCATCTTTCCACTCCCTGGTAGCAGGATTGATTATGCCGAAAAGTTCATCGTTTGTGACGGCCTTCGGATTGAGATCGTTGTAAACCGGTTTTCTTTTTATGTTTATATAGGTTTTAAATAACGTTTTCCACACTTGCGTTTTGCCGGTGCCGGCGTTACCGACGATAAAAACCGAATGGCGTACTTCCAATAGTTCTTCTAATTGAACAACCTGTAGATTATAGATCGACATTAAATATTCAATTTAGTTGAGAAAATTGTTCTTTCGGTTTCTTTATGCTGTTTGCCGATATCTCAAGTTTAATTGGAAATTGATTAGTTCAAGTTTAAATGAGATTCATTTTTAAATGTAAATGTACGAAACTTACTTTCAATATAAAATTGTCTTCTGGTTGTAATTTCAAATCGATAGCCGCCTGTTTAACCGTACGTTCAAATTCAGCATCACGTTTCCTGGGAACCTCGAGGGCTGGAAATAAGTCACCTATTAAACCCATGAACACGGGAAAATCGTCAGTTACAATTTTAGGAATGTTAAAGTCTCTAAGCGCTCTCATAAGTACTTCTTCCTCTGGCCTTCCCGGATCCCCTCTCTATAAAATAACGTACAATAAATTTTGACACATTTTTTCATCTACCCACTTTTAATGATCCGGCCACTACTAAAACGGACTTTATTGCCCGCAATCCCCAGTCGTAATGATCTTGTTTCGATAATAATTCTTTGCACAGCGTGTATAATGTTATAAATTTTCTTCCCAGTATTTTCGCTTCTTGAAAACCCTCAGCCACTAACATTATTTCGCAGATAAGTTCGAAGTCGGGGACCACCATCGCGCACGGCCTAAAATCACCTCACAATTAGCTCAGAGAAATTTTAATAAACATTATCTACATTTTATGTTGCAAACTAACTTAAACTTAAAGCAACCTTCCTTTCTTTTTTCCATCCCGATGGGAATAGGGTCATCATGACGGATGCTTATTTTCGTCTTTCCTTTGCGTTTCACAGCTCGTAAATACGAAAACAGATTTCCTGTTTCCATGTGTTTGTCTGATGGGAATAGGTAATCGTCGAAACTATCGTACCGATTACTTTGAAAATTTAATTGATGTAAAAAAAGTATGACACTATGTGAATAGTCGCTTTAAGTAGCAAAATTTTAACGTTTTCAATAAAAGAGTAGTTAGTTGTTGTGTATTGTTGGTTGGGTCCGTCAGGGTTTGTTGAATTTTCGGTGGTGTCAGGGCTGGGACCTCATTTTTTTAATTAGGCGAACCGCTCGCCACTAGCCTCGTGGACCACAGAGAAACCACGGCGCCACTGCAGTCATTTGGACATCGTTTCCCACGTATCAAAGCTGGCGTTTGAGAAGCTCGCTTACCGCATCCCACTCCTGACGACGACGTCAACGTAAATGAATTCTCGTCAATAATTCCGCTTAGTTGGAGGAACGATATTTAAACACGTCCGCATTTATTATTGATAATACCCATATAATAGCAAATAAGATTTCCTCGTATACATACATACAATAGTAAATAAGAGTATTTCGCAGCGAGTCGTCTTCACGGTAAAGTTTTCCGAGGAAACGCTTCAAGCGTTTCGTGTTTCGTAAATAAGACCTTGCGAAATAAACAGTAGGTGCACTTTCTTAAGAAACTAAAAAGTCCGTGGCTAAAAATACCTGAATAGTGCTTTCAGATTTTCAGGCAGTTCGGTCCTGCCGGCGTAACCGGGATTCATCGTGATGAAAATCCCGACTGTGGGAACTAGAGCGATGGGGTCCCCCATGAAGTCGAAGGTGATCCTTTTGTTCTTGATGGCGTCCAGAACCGACTTAACCTGGACGGCAACCACTGAAAGAACCTCGACTGAAATTCTATTGAACTCATCAAAACATCCCCAAGCTCCAGTTTGAGCAAGCCCTTTGTAAATATTACCACAGGACTGTGGACAAATATCGGTTTCTATCATTAAAAATCAACAATATGGCATATAATATACTTTATAATCCATTTGTTCGGAGCAGTTGAATACGTAGACCATTATTCCCAGAGCTCGCCCCAAGTCCTTGGTCGTCTCGGTCTTGCCCGTTCCGGCAGGCCCCGCTGGCCCTCCGCCCATCACCAGATGCAAAGACTGAATTTACTCAACTTGAATCCGCTCAATTAAACCTTACCTGAGTTAGCGTGATGTAGCATCGGTCGGTTAGGGGTGTTATCACAAGTCGAGGAGTATTTCCCAAGTATTCATAACTGTACCTAAACTGGGCATCACAAATATTGGCAAAACAGTGTTTATCTTGCTCGTCCCATCTATGTCTCAGTTGGGAAACCCACTGGAACGCCGAGGCGCTTTCAACTTTCATTTGAATTAATTTGCTAACGACGTCACGAGAATGAACATCTATAGTGCAAATGGTCATTATTTTTTGCCGGTCTTGTTTTGTCAGATCTCCCAACAACAACGAAATTAGAGTGCTTAATTGGGACACTTGTTTTTTGTAATAATCACGAATCGCGTTATCGTAGCCCTCCTCTAAACGAGAAAAAGCTATATTCACTTCAGAGGTCCACCATATTTGTGTACCGCACAGCGATACTTGGGCCGGAAAGTCGAACAGCCACTGATCGCGAGGCTTCTCCTCGTATGATACGACTCCTTCACCGATTAAGTGTCTAAGCGTCGACCGCATAGCGTCCTGAATGCGATTTAACCACACTTCCACCTGAAAACGATCATTACTACACCAGCGACACACGGGAATGGCATTTGACTAATAGACTTGTAATGTCCTTGTCAATCTTTGATTTTATGAAAATTATAACCAAAGTTTAATTGTAAATAAGATTATTTCAGACGCACTTCGTCCACAATACCATCCTAACCACTAACGAGTCAATTTCAAGTTGAATTGGCGATATCGCAATCGCGAATCGCAACTGTTGTCATCGCAATTTCCATACCAACGCAACTTGCGATATCGCAAACCCAACTTGAAATTGGATTCAATATTCAGTTTTTCGAGTTGTAGACGAAACGCGTCAAATCTTACCGCTTCGCTACAAGTTGTAGCTTGATTAAAGTCGATATATTCCCCATCTTTGGCGTGCATTCCATGGATCACCTTATTCAAGCTACCATCTTCATTTCTTCCAAAATTTAACCTAGCGATGGAATCAAACAGCTTCGTTAGGTGCTTAGCAACCAATTCCGGTTGATTCCCGTTTGATAGAATGTCTAAAAGATCAGCTGACGAGATAAAGTAAAACCTTGGAAACGACAGTCGTTTAGTCTCCAAGTAAACTGCAAGCGCTTTCTCACACAGAGTCAACTTCATCTGTAATTTTTCCAAAATGGCTAACAACCCTGCTCTGTTAGTAGATTCAACGACGTTAGGTATTTTGCTTATTTCGGTAGTCAGTTCTTTGAAATCCGTATCCACGTTGTCGAATCTATCCGAATCTTCCGGCAACTGTTTCCTGATGTCTTCAGAACTCATAAAAATCGACTCTAGATGCATCCAAGATCTCTGCACCTCGAACCAAATAGAGATGACTTGATCCGCCAGACTTAGTTTACTTTGCCAACTGGACACTTCTTCCAGGAAGTGTGCGATGAACTTAGAAGTTATCAAGTTTTGTAACTGCACTTGATTTTCTTCTAAAGTTTCGATTAACTCTTCGCTCGTTTTTAGTAGTTTGCACCCAGTTCGGGGATGAATTTCGTGACCGAATTCCATCGCGGACCAGGTGATGTTGAGTTCGCGCAAAATTTTTTCCATTGACATCTCTTTAACGGCTTTGTCGACGATATTTTTGACTTCTTCTTCGCACTCGTGTAGGTTTAGTTCGAGCAGATCGGCAAGAGTGGTGTTGTAATCCATAACAATTTTTGTCTAAAATTTTGACTGGTGTAAGAATATTGTTAACGAAAAGGTTCAAACTTAAACTAAGTGTGAAGATATAAAAATTGCAGACTTACCACTTCAGTGGGTACCAAAGTACCAAAGTATATAACACAGTGTCAAAATCTGCGCTTTACGCTTGTTATATTGTAGAAAAGTTTTACTTACCGTAAATTCGGGGGGCAAGGCAGCTAAATTCTGTAACAGATTAGGCATAGAAATAATGCTTTTATATACAGTGATTTTTGAAGACGTAAGCTATTTACATATGTACAGGAAAATTGTCACAATTTTTACCTTGGTAGATTTCATAAGTTGGTTCCAGTGTCTTTCGCGAATGGCTGGGTTTTGAAGTTCACCAACCGCTTTGAGCGACGTTAACGTGTTTTTCACGGTCGCTTCTAACCCCAAATATGTGTTCCATCCCCGCATTTCTTTATCCAACATTCTTATTTCTTTGGCAAATTTTTTACACTCTATGTCCATGTTTTCAACGTCAATTTTTCGCCAAGGCGTTGTTTTCCAGTCATCCACGCACGTGTGGACAATGTGGACGTAGTCCCACAGTTGCTAAAAGGGGCAAACTCGAGTACTTGTTATCCCCCTCGTTGATGCGTTTCATCAGCTACATTGACACTTTCGATTCGGTTTCTAGTGACCAGAAGCCCCACTATATAACTATTCGAGATGACAATGTAACTGTTGAAACGTTTATTTTAGTTAGTATCGTGTTGGTTTAGGTCGTCGTGTTTCTCTATCGAAAATGTTGTCTTCTTCTGTGGTATATGTCAGTGGGTACACATGGACTATACACGGAACATTCCCCCTACAACTTACTTTTAGCATTTTCAGGTCTTTCCTACACTGTTTTAGAACTTTAAAGTCCGGAACGTTGACCTCAAACAGTGACCCAGATTCTTGAATATTTCTCATTTCGGTTTCAAACTTTCTTAGATCCTTATCGACTTTATCCAAAACGTCGTACGGATCTGAGCAGTTGTACTGAAAAAAGTGATATTTTTTGAAAACTTCTCTGTAGTAAAGTATTCGGGCATCAAATTCTGTAATTTTTTTGCGAATGAAAACAACTTCGGCGGCTTGTAGTGGGGCAACTTGTTGTTTGACGGTGATGGCGATCTTCTTGGTGTTGTTCCACTGCTCTGGTAATTCTTGTAGGTACACATTGACCTCTTCGGGTATATCTTGGTCGTAAAATTTGAGCAGCTCGATTGTTTCGCGAAGTGGTCCGAACATTTCGTCAGTGGTGGCTTGACGTTCTTTCACGTGAAGGAGATATCCCATGACGTTGACGAGAGCTTGATAATCGCCTTCGATGACAGTTTGTTGAAGGCCTTCATCTGCGGATCTGATAAACTGGCCTAAATCCGTCAGGCTACTTGTAACCGTATCGACTAAGTGATCTTTAAACATGTTCCCCCATTTTCGGATGGTGTTTAATAGAGCTTGCTTGAAAGGTTTGACGTCTACTTTAAACCAAGAGTTAAAAATGTGGTTGGTTTGCATTCCTTCGACTTCGGTATAGAGGTTTTCGAAGTGATCGATTTGTTCGCGGAATTGTTCCATTTTGGGCGGGTTGACTTTTGGCGCGGCTGAGTCTTTCAAATTCACCCAGTCAATCTCTTCGCTTGTCAGTTGTCTACTGTAAGTCAAAAAATGTTCGAGGTATATTTTTCGGTCGTCAAGCCAAATGTACGAGTAGTTTTGGAATTTGTCACAAAATTCGTACGCTTCCTCGATTACTTTATCAACGTTGAGGAAAATATTAGTTTTGATATCGACGATATCTTGATTGGTGTTGATTTCTGCCTGATATGACAGTTCGGCTGTTTTTGAGAATCTGGGTACGATGGCAGCTATTTGGTTTATGTCTTCGATGAGACCTGTTATTAGTTTTTTAAAGCCGTTATCAGCGTTCGAATCGAGGGATGGAATGAACACGATGTTTGGTTCGAGAAGAATTAGTTGGGCTTCGAATAGTGGGGCTAAATTGTTAGTTGGATCCATGTGTTCGTTGACATACCCTAAGCTGTCACAAAGTTATCAATAAGTACATTCTTTAACTTAAACTCACCTACACCCCACACACTGATAAAGATAACTTAACACTATTTGATCTACATAATCGATATAACTCAGCCACTTCGGGTTATCCTGTTTATCCGTCATTTGAAACAGTTGCATGTTTTGTTCCAATAAATCAGTTATCTGATCAGATGCTTTCTTGATATCTGAATACCTCTTAGTGATTCTTTCATCTCTCTCCTCTAGACACAGCACGCCATCTTTCTTTCCTTCTCGCCTTTCGAATAGCGGCTGTCGGGCGAACGGCATAAGAACGTTTTTAATTTCGTTGAGGTTCTTCTGACACTTTTGTAAATGTTGTTGCAAATTTCCGACAAGATTGTACAACTTCGTTATGTACTCCCATAGACCTACGAAGTTTTGTTACTAAGCGACTTAAGTTAAGCGCGGTTACTTACCGTCGGACGTCCAGTGCAGCGTGTGTTGGCCTTGCAATATTAATTTATCGATTTCAGCAATTTCGCTCTGAATTAAATTAAACTCCACATCTTTGGTTGTCCTTCTGATTTTATTGTACCAAGCAATCGTCGAGTTTAAATTGGATATATATTTTCTGAATACGTCATTCTTTTCCGCCAACGTAAGCGCGATTTCTGGGAGGTCTTCGTGTCCCATTAGTTTTAAATAATGAATTTCCCGTAAGATTGCCGCGAGCTGTAAGTGGTAAACGTAATTTGGATATTTAACAGAATTTGTAATGCTTGTTTTATTTTTCTCTTACTACACAACGTTTAAAGAGACGCTTACTTCCGGATTAAAATTTAAGTGGAGCTCTCTCGTTTTGGGATTTCTTTTAAGCAAAGAAAGTTTTAAATTGGTTTCTATTTGTTGTGGCACAGCTTCGGTCCATTGTTTAAGAAGCTGACTATTAAAGTCTTCCAGTTTTTTAACCAATTCTTCAAATCTTGCGAGGATTTCGCCGGCTCTAGGACTCTGAGTTATTCTAAAAATTACGGGGTTTGCTGCACGTAGTGTAAAGTGAGGTTATGTTTACGGATGTTGCAGGTTCTTGAACGAATCTATGGGGCTTTGTAATCTCACACACATGTTGTAAGTCCAACGTAAACTACCAGCTACAGGGGGCATGTACTTGTCGACGCCGAACTGACCGTGTTTTTCTTTCTGGGCTTGTTGTTCTGAGAATAGTGCCTAAAATGGTCACAACAACATAAACTTCTCGAATGCCTGCATTGTTGGTAAAATGCGTGACCGTTTGCATATTTTGATACTAAAACTCTTAAAACTAATTTGTGAGCAGTTTGTGGCCTGAATTATCTAAATTTTCATATGTAGCTCCGACGACTACGTCGGAACATGGCCACATTACAGTACGTCGCATTTGGGTCAAATTATTAACTCACGTTTAATTACTTCTCAAACAGAAATTTAGCGAAAATTACTCACCTCGGCTGTGCTCACTTCCTCCGTCAACATGTCCAAGATTTTCGTATACCTGTTTGTAAATTCCGCCTTAATTAGGGGTCTTTCTAACACAGATCCTATGATACTAATTAGCTGAAATAATTTAACGCAAAATACAAACTTTCCCAATCATCTTAAAATAGAACCTTAAATATACTTTCCAAATTGGAGCAGTCCTCAAAAGCTTGACACAAAATCGCGGCTAACTTCATATCCATTTCGAATATTCTTTGCTTAAAGTTTTCAAAATCCGAAATGAAAGAAGAGTCATCGGGGTCGAGAACGTCGTACGATTTTCCGGAAAATATAGAAAAGCATTGTTGAAACTCAGCGAAGACGACTGTAACTCTAGCACTGAGATTTTTTCCTTTGATGCCGCCAATTTCCACCTTTTCTAGCTTGCTGAATTCGAGAACTGTGTTAAAAAACCACTGGATCGTGCGCAGTCGTTCCAGAAACGCGTTAAATCGTTCGAAAACCATATTCGGGTGAAAATTCCACAACCTCGGTTCTTTGTCTTTGAAAAATCTACCCAGGTTGTTTTTATACGTGTTGAAGATTTTCGAAAATTCTTTTAGCGTTTTTATACACAAGTTTACACGTTGCATGGCTTCATCTATGTCACTGTGGAAGAGAGTAGTCGGATCTAGGCACTTTTTGGCCTGGAAGTAGCAATAGGTAAGTTTGGTCCTTGCAAGTACCACTTACCTCTTGAATCAACAAGTTGCAAATTTGTTTCAGAAGTACGATTATTTTGACTTGGTCGTAACACTTGGAGTTGCACCAGATGAGACAAACGACGTGCATTAACGGCGCTAGTACCGGAATACATTCACTGAAGTCGGTTTCTTCGAGAAGAGCTATATGTTTTTTTAACGGTTTTAAATAAAGACAGATGTTTTTAGCTTCTGCTAGTGCTATAACTATGTTTTTGAATAAGTTTTTGAAACAACTGTAGTAGGCGCTGTTTGTTTTTTCTAGAATGACGGCCATACTTCGCACTCGGGGTTCCCTGAGCTGTTCGTAAATGTAGTGGAGGTTTTGTAGCCGCAAGTTCCAAAAATGCAATTCTGTAAAGGAAATGATTTTCGTTTGTGTCGCACACTCATCCTGATGACGTTTTTCAAGTAGCGATTTTCTACACGGTGAAAGCTGCGTTTTACGACAAATTGAGTTGCACATAATAACTCATCTACTCGATTTTTAAAAATGTGTTGGATCGAACGTTCTCTGTATTTAAAAATAATTCACTCACCTACTGAAGGAACGGGATTTACCGCCAGTCCGGCCTTCTCGGAAGAATCGTTAACTAAAACGTCATTTATTTGAGCCGACCACTTAATAACAACCCCTTCGATAGCACTCTTTAAATATAAATCACATATTTCGCCGTCGCTTTCAATTAGGGCCTTTTCAACTTCATGAACTTTATCAATACCGACCGGCATAGGCAGCACAGTTTGGCCATTTACATGACCTTTAACTTGGTAAACGGTGCTTTTTAAACTATGGACGTGTTTCTGGACGTCTTTGGCTATAACGGCTGGCCATTTACCGTGATTTTTAGAATTAGATAACAAAGGGACGAATATCTGGAAAAAATTGCTAGTGAAACTCAAAACTGGTCAAATCTGAGTACCTCGTCTACTAGACTTGCTAACTGGTCTATTATTTTCGAGGAAAGGTCGCCTGTGATGAGTGACTCAGACGGGGTTGTTTTAGAAACGGCTGCTAGGGTTTTTTTGATGAAATAAACCCCTTTGCTTTTTAATTGTGCCAGTGGAAACCCATTAGAAGCAACTAGTTGTGCGGTGGGGGTTAGAACTATTACTAGGATAGTAGGGTGTGGGCGCTCGAGGAACTTCATCACTACTGCTTTGTGGTCTTCCGTCGCCATCATTCGTGTCCATTTTTCGGGTTTCAGTTTTAACGTTTTTTGTACGAAAGTGCCAAGGAAGGTCATGCGGTTGTCGACCTGTGCGGGCGGTTGTTCCATTATTCAAGTTAAAACTCAAGGTTCATGTATTCTGAAACTCGCTTGAATGAAATTTGGTCCTGGGTTGTACAAGGTAAGATAATAAGCTGCGGGATTACAGAACATCGTCTAAATTTATCCATTTATCCCCTCCGGTAATTAGATGACGTCATGTCAAAAAATTATCACATAGTTTTTCTGTTTAACGTAGTTGTAATCCCCACCAGAAAATCGATGACGTCATCGCAAACTATACTTAGCACTGTAGCTTGACATTTAAGTTGCGACATTTCAATATTTGTGATTTGTGTGATCAAAAAAATCAACGATGTGGTAAATTGTGACAGAATGATTAAAAATGGGGTGCACATAAATTATTGTAGAAGTTCATAGTGCAGAGTTGCTATAATGCAACATATTATTTAATCTATTGTGAAATATAGTTTTTAATAAAATTAATGGTCCTTTTATTGTCGCGAACTATAAGCATTAGGTGAGTTAATAAATGATGTTGTCATGACGCGACAGCAAATTTTGTCGTTTTAGCATAAAGAAATCAGATTGCTGTCGATATATGAAAAATGAGTTAATGAAAAGCACGTACCACCAATTCTTGCTAATGTAAGAAAAAAATTTGTAGTGAAAGCGCAATTATCGCCCTTGTTATTTCTATAAGCGTATTTTCGTGTTCCTACTAAAAAAGTGCACCTCTAGCGTAATAATAATAATAGTAATGATAGTAATTAACCGTGCGAATAAAATTTTCGACATAATAAATGCAAGATTATGACTACAACTCACCATTTAACACGAATGTAGCTTGAAACAATTCGTTTTAGGAGCTAAGAAAGTAACGAAGTTCTTTCCACTGGTGCATTTTCAAGATTGTGCTATGATTTAAATTGGTAAAAGACTGAAACTAACATATATCATGCCACAATCACGTTATTATATTATTTGCGTGGTCTCATCGTCCCAGAGTCGTACCAAGACACGCTCTTCCTTACCTCAACTAATGACAACATAAATAAAATCCTGAAGGAATATGAACGCTCCATTGATTTTTGCATTTAGGTATACTGCCATTGTTTCAGCACACAAAGACAATTTTAAATTAGATTAAACACCTAATTTTCGGTTAAATTTTGAGTGTCTTAAGCGACTACGTCGTAATTAACTAAAAAAAACAGCTTTTGTTCTTTTTTAGGCGAACGGAACCGGTGATGCGAATGTGATTTATTGGAACTGACGGCGGTTACTGTCTTCTTTGGTCTTCAAATCGAAAGAAGACATCTACTTCCGATGCGTTCGCGCATCGCGTGCTAGCATGTTTTTAAATAAATCAAATTGTTAACTGTCGTTTTGATTTGTTTAGATTCTACAATTTTCAAATGGCATTTTAATTATATCCGAATTTATTTATGAAATTTTAGTGTTTTGTGCGAACATTTTCAAACTAAATTATTATTGTTACAATCAACAAATACGGCCTCGTTCGGAGTCTGACGACTCTTTCATTAATTCTATTAATGTATAAAACTTTTTATATTATTTCGTAATAATAACACTATATAATAACAAAAACAAATTTATTTGGTATAAGATAATTACATTTCAAGAACATGTTTCAATACATTGTACAAAATGCAACAACTAATCTAATTAAAGATGCCCTAACAGTTTGACTTAATTCAGTAAAAAGTAACAACAACGCTAAAAATAAACTAACAATTATTCAGGTTACCAGAGTACACATTTGTTGACAGGATTCATCGGTGTCCCTAAGCGACAGCCCCAAGCTTTTGCAAATTCCTTTGAATTGGAAAGTGTACCAATAACCCTAATGCGATTAGGACTGTGAACACCATCCACTAGCTTGCTTTTTAATGCCCCTAGTGTGGAATTTCCACACCATATCTGGAAACAAAAATGATTAGTTAACTCTATAACTATGCATTTTTACGACCCTGACGGTCCGTTTGAAATTTGAATGGGGCTTTTTCTTGACCTCTTATTTTAGTCCGGGCGTCGATCTTTGCTTCGCTAATATAAAGTCGCTCTCCAGACTCAACAATAAATAGTTGGAGCAAGACTTGAATCTTGTTCAACGTACTGGCACTGCAGCCTATGCAAATATTCTGATTTTATGCTCTGCCAGACACGATGTAAATCTTATGTTCGAGTGGTGCATGAACATTAGATGTGACAGTTTGAGCGAAATTGACGTACCGGGACATTATATCCACAGTTAACCATTTTAGAGATTAAAACTGAAAAGGGTGCCAAGAATGTTTTGTTATAATATTAGTTCCAGTTTTCCACTATTCCAAAAAATTTCCAATTTTGAAAATAAGTAATTGGATTATTGTTAAGACAAGTATTGTTTTATGAATTATAATTAAGAATCAGGTTTCAGTTAATCGTGGTGTCACACAGCCCACGTTCCATTTAAATGCAACGTCAGTTTGAAACATTTTGGAAAATATTTCCAAAACTCACGAATTTTGAACATGTATGTGATTAGACTATTGTTAGCATTATTACCTGAACAAGTATTTCTTTTAATTAATTTTGACCAAAAACAACCCATGTGCCATTTAACTAGTGGCACATTTCAAAAATTTCGAAAAAACATTCCAAAAATCTCCTTTTTTAAAAACATGAATGAAAATTATAAAGATCATTAGCTGAACAAGTATCTATTTTTATGAATTATTACAAAAAATCCACGCTCCATATAACTGGTGCCAGGTTTCAAAAATTCGAAAAAAAATCTCAAATTTCGAATACAAGTGATATGAGACTATAAGATTGTTAATATCAAAACCTGAACAAAAATTATTTTTTTTATTATGTTAATCTCGAATTTTGGACACTGGGCTACGGTTAAGTTTATGACTTGAACAAGTAATCTTTGAAAATTTTCAATTTAGAAAACATAAAAATAACTCACGTTTCATTTAAGTGTTTCATTTAAATTTTTAAAAAATTTCGAATTCTGGATACACTGGAGTACAGTTAAGTTTATTACGTGAACAAGCGATCTTTTATTAATGATGACCACCTGTCATTTAACTGAATCAAAAATTTCGAAGAAAAATTTTCAAAAAATTTCCAATTTTGAAAACATGTGATATGTGACGGAATTATTGCTAACATCGTTGTCTCAAGAAACATTTTCTTTTATTAATGATAACCAAAAATAACCAATTTAACTGCAGTCACCTTTCAAAAATTTCGAAAAAAAATCTAAAAAATCTTCAATTTTGAAAATAAGTGCATCAATTGAAAGATTATTACTTAAACAAGTATTTTTTATGAATTATAATAAAAAACCCATGTTTCATTTGATTGTGGTGTCATGTTTAAAAAGTCGAAAAAAAACCCCAAAAATCGCAAATTTTGAACACAAGTGATACGTGACCAGACTAATATTAACATCATTACTTAAACGAGTACTTTTTTATTAATTGTGATTAAAAACTACCCACGTTCCATGTAACTGTAGAGACACGTTTAAAAAATTTTGAAAAAAATTTGAAAAAATTTCCAATTTTGAACATAAGGTATTACCCTTTTGTTAAAATAATTGCCTGGACAAGTATTTTTTGTGAATTATGATTAAAAAACACGTTACATTTAATTTTTGGCGCTAAGTTTCATAAATTCGAAAAAAAAAATATTCAAATTTTGAAAACAAGTGATATGTGATTGGACTATTGTTAACATCATTACCTGAAATTATGACCAAAAAACCCGCGTGCCATTTACTCTGGTGCTACGTTTCAAAAATTCGAAAAAAAATCCAAAAAAATCTCAAATTTTTAACACAAATGGCCTGACTATTGGTAACATCATCACGGGGACAAGTACTTTTTTATTAATCATGATCAAAAACAACCCACGTTCCATGTAACTGCAGAGACATGTTTCAAAAATTTCGAAAAAGTTTCCAAAAAATCTTCCATTTTGAAAATAATTGATTGATTGAATCATTGTTAAGATAATTACCTGGACAAGTATTTTTTATGAATCATAACCCAAAAACACGTTCCATTTAATTGTGGCGCCAGCTTTTCAGAATTCCAAAAAAATAAAAAAATCTTAAATTTTGAAAACAAGTCATAAATGATTAGACTATTGTTAACATCATTACCTGAAATTATGACCAAAAACGACACATGTTCCATGTAACTCTAGAGACACCTTTCAAAAGTTTCGAAAAAATTTCCAAAAAACGTCCAATTTTAAAATAAGTGCTTGAATTATTGGTAAGATAATTGCTTGAACAACAATTTTTTATTAATTATAACAAAAAAAACATGTTCCATTTAATTGTAGTGCCAAGTTTCAAGAATTCCAAAAAAATAAAAAAAATTCAAATTTTCAAAAACAAGTCATATATGATTGGACTATTGTTAACATAATTACCTGAAATTATGACCGAAAACAATCCACGTGCTATTTACCTGTGGAGCCACTTTACAAAAATTTCGAAAAATGTTCCAAAAAGCTCCAGTTTTGGGAGAAAGTGATTGGATTATTGTTAACATGATTACTTGAAAAAAATATTTTTTTATGAATTATGACCAAAAAACCCACGTTCCAGTTAACTCTGGTGCTACGTTTCAAAAATTCGAAAGAAAAATCCAAAAAAATCTCAAATTTTAAACACAAATGGCCTGACTATAGTTAACATGATCACGGGGACAAGTACTTTTTTATTAATTATGACCAAAAACAACCCACGTTCCATGTAACTGTAGAGACACGTTCCAAAAATTTCTAAAAAAATTCCAGAAAATGGCCAATTTTGAAAATAAGTGATTGGAAAAATAATATAATTGCTTGGATAAGTGTTTTTTATGAATTATGAATGAAAAACCACGTCCCATTTAATTGTGGTGCCAAGTTTCAAAAATTAAAAAAAAATCTCAAATTTTGGACACAAGTGATATGTGATTAATTGATTAGACTGTTGTTAACTTAAAATTATTACCAAAAACAACCCTCGTCCCATTTAACTGTAGAGCCAGGTTTCAAAAATTTCGAAAAAATAGTCAAAAAAATCTCCAAATTGAAAACAAGTGATTGGATTACTGTTAAAATCATTACTTGAACAACTATTTTTCTAATTAATTATGACCAGAAACAACCCATGTGCTACTTAACTGTGGTGCCACGTTCCAAAATTTCGAAAAGAAATCCAAAAATCTATAATTTTGAAAACAAGTCATTGGATTATTGTTGACCTGACTCGACCTAACCTGAACAAGTATTTTTGTATGAATTATGACTAAAAAACCCATGTTCCAGTAACGTGGTGCTACGTTTAAAAAATTTGAAAAAAAGTCCAAAATATCTCAAATTTTGGACACAAGTGACCTGAGTATTGTTAACATCATTACGTGAACAAGTACTTTTGTATTGTACTTAGTTTCATTTAATTGTAGAGCCACGTTTCACAAATTTCGAAAAATCTACAATTTTGAAAAGAAGTGTTTGGATTAGTGTTAAGATAATTGCCTGAACAAGTGTTTTTTTAAATGTGGTGCCAAGTTTCAAAATTTAAAAGAAAAGTCCCAAGTTTCAAAAATAAGTGATATGTGATTTGGTTATTGTTAACATCATTATCTGAAATAATGACCAAAAACAACCCACGTTCCATTTACTGTAATTGTTAACATCATTACCTGAAATTATGACCAAAAACAACTTCGGTTCTATTTAACTGTAGAGCTACCTTTAAAAAATTTCGAAAAAAAAATCCTAAAATCTCGAATATTGAACATACGTGATTCGTGACTGGATTATAGTTAACATTATGACACGATCAAGTATTTTCTTTTATTAGTGATGACTAAAAACAATCCAGATGCCATTTAACTATGGGGCCACATTTCAAAATTTTCGAAAAATTTCCAAAAAATCTCCAATTTTGGAAGCACGTGATCGAATTATTATTAACATTATTACCCGAACAAAAATATTTTTTATGAATTATGACTAAAAATCCACGTTCTCTTTAACTGTGGCGCCACATTTCAAAATTTCGAAAAAAAAATCCACCTCGACCTGACCTGACCTGAACAAGTATTTTTGTATTAATTATGACTAAAAAAACTAACATTCCATTTAACGTGGTGCTACGTTTCAAAAATTGAAAAAAACCCAAAAATCTCATATTTTGAACACAATAGATCTGACCATTTAATATCATTACGTGAACAAGTACTTTTTTATTAATTATGACTAAAAACAACCTACGTTTCGTTTAACTGTAGAACCACAAAGAAGTGTTTTTTTATGAATGATGAATTAAAAACCACGTCCCATTTAATTGTGGTGCCAAATTTCAAAAATTTCAAAAAAAAAAAATTCAAATTTTGAAAACAAGTGATACGTGATTTTGTTATTGTTAACATCATTACCTGAAATTATGACCAGAAACAACTAAGATTCCATTTAACTGTAGAGCCACGTTTAAAAAATTTTGAAAAAAAAATCCAAAAATCTCGAATATTGAACACACGTGATTTGCGACTAGACTATTGTTAACATTATTACACGATCAAGCATTTTCTTTTATTAGTGACGACCAAAAACAATCCAGGTGCCATTTAACTGTGGAGTCACTTTACAAAATTTTTTAAAAATTTCCAAAAAATCTCCAATTTTGGAAACGGGTGATCGGATTATTGTTAACATTATTACCTGAACAAATATGTTTTTTTTGAATTATGACTAAAAATCCACGCTTTCTTTAACTGTGGCGCCACGTTCCAAAATTACAAAAAAAAACAAAAAAATCTATAGTTTTGAAATCAAGTCATTGGATTGTTGTTGATCTGACTCGACCTGACCTGACCTGACCTCACCTAGCATCACCAGACTTGAACAAGTATCTTTATATGAATTATAACTAAAAAACCCACATTCCATTTAACGTGGTGTATACGTTTCAAAAATTTGAAAAAATCCAAAAATCTCATATTTTGAACACAATTGATCTGACTATTGTTAACATCATCGCTTTTTTATTAATTATAACTAAAAACAACCTGCATTTCGTTTAACTGTAGAGCTACGTTTCAAAAATTTCGAAAAATCTCCAGTTTTGAAAAGAAGTGTTTGGATTATTGTTAAGATAATTGCCTGAACAAGTATTTTTTATGAATTATGAATTAAAAAACCACGTCCCATTTAGCTGTGGTGCTAAGTTTCAAAAATTTCAAAAAAAAAAAAATTTCAAATTTCGAAAACAAAATACGTGATTTGGTTATTGTTAAGATCATTAAATCATGAAATTATGACCAAAAACAACTAAGGTTCCATTTAACTGAAGTCACGTTTAAAAAATTTTGAAAAAAAAAATCCAAAAATCTCAAATATTGAACACACGTGATTTGTGAATAGACTATTGTTAACATTATTACACGATCAAGCATTTTCTTTTATTAGTGACGACCAAAAACAATCCAGGTGCCATTTAACTGTGGAGTCACTTTACAAAATTTTCGAAAAATTTCCAAAAAATCTCCAATTTTGGAAACAGGTGATCGGATTATTGTTAATATTATTACCTGAACAAATATGTTTTTTATGAATTATGACTAAAAATCCACGTTCTCTTTAACTGTGGCGCCACGTTCCAAAATTATAAAAAAAAACCAAAAAAACCTATTGTTTTGAAAACAAGTCATTGGATTGTTGTTGACCTGACTCGACCTGACCTGACCTGACCTCACCTAGCATGACCAGACTTGAACAAGTACCTTTGTATGAATTATAACTAAAAAACCCACATTCCATTTAACGTGGTGTATACGTTTCAAAAATTTGAAAAAAATCCAAAAATCTCATATTTTGAACACAATTGATCTGACTATTGTTAACATCATCACTTTTTTATTAATTATAATTAAAAACAACCTGCATTTCGTTTAACTGTAGAGCCACGTTTCAAAAATTTCGAAAAATCTCCAATTTTGAAAAGAAGTGTTTGGATTATTGTTAAGATAATTGCCTGAACAAGTGTTTTTTATGAATTATGAATTAAAAAACGACGTCCCATTTAGCTGTGGTGCCAAGTTTCAAAAATTAAAAAAAAAAAATATTAAATTTCGAAAACAAGTGATACGTGATTTGGTTATTGTTAAGATCATTAAATCATGAAATTATGACCAAAAACAACTAAGGTTCCATTTAACTGTAGTCACGTTTAAAAAATTTTGAAAAAAAAAATCCAAAAATCTCAAATATTGAACACACGTGATTTGTGACTAGACTATTGTTAACATTATTACACGATCAAGCATTTTCTTTTATTAGTGACGACCAAAAACAATCCAGGTGCCATTTAACTGTGGAGTCACTTTACAAAATTTTCGAAAAACTTCCAAAAAATCTCCAATTTTGGAAACAGGTGATCGGATTATTGTTAACATTATTACCTAAACAAATATGTTTTTTATGAATTATGACTAAAAATCCACGCTTTCTTTAACTGTGGCGCCACGTTCCAAAATTACAAAAAAAAAAAAAAACAAAAAAACCTATAGTTTTGAAATCAAGTTATTGGATTGTTGTTGACCTGACTCGACCTGACCTGACCTGACCTCACCTAGCATGACCAGACTTGAACAAGTATTTTTGTATGAATTATAACTAAAAAACCCACATTTCATTTAACGTGGTGTATACGTTTAAAAAATTTGAAAAAAATCCAAAAATCTCATATTTTGAACACAATTGATCTGACTATTGTTACCATCATCACTTTTTTATTAATTATAACTAAAATCAACCTGCATTTCGTTTAACTGTAGAGCCACGTTTCAAAAATTTCGAAAAATCTCCAGTTTTGAAAAGAAGTGTTTGGATTATTAAGATAATTGCCTGAACAAGTGTTTTTTTTTATGAATTATGAATTGAAAACCACGTCCCATTTAGCTGTGGTGCCAAGTTTCAAAAATTAAAAAACAAAATTTCAAATTTCGAAAACAAAATACGTGATTTGGTTATTGTTAAGATCATTAAATCATGAAATTATGACCAAAAACAGCTAAGGTTCCATTTAAGTGTAGAGCCACGTTTAAAAAATTTTGAAAAAAAATCCAAAAATCTCAAATATTGAACACACGTGATTTGTGACTAGACTATTGTTAACATTATTACACGATCAAGCATTTTCTTTTATTAGTGATGACCAAAACAATCCAGATGTCATTTAACTATGGTGCCACATTTCAAAATTTTCGAAAAATTTCTAAAAAATCCAATTTTGGAAACAGGTGATCAGATTATTGTTAACATTATTACCTGAACAAAAATGTTTTTTATGAATTATGACTAAAAATCCACTTTTTCTTTAATTGTGGCGCCATGTTCTAAAATTAAAAAAAAAATGCAAAAAATCTATAGTTTTGATTGGATTATTGTTGACCTGACTCGACCTGACCTGACCTGAACAAGTATTTTTGTATTAATTATGACTAAAAAAACTAACATTCCATTTAACGTGGTGCTACGTTTCAAAAATTTCAAAAAATCTCCAATTTTTAAAAGAAGTGGTTGGATTATTGTTAAGATAATTGGCTGAACAAGTGTTTTTTTTTTATGAATGATGAATTAAAAGACCACGTCCCATTTAATTGTGGTGCCAAGTTTCAAAAATTAAAAAAAAATAAATAAAAAATTTCAAATTTCGAAAACAAGTGATATGTGATTTGGTTATTGTTAACATCATTACCTGAAATTATGACCAAAAACAACTCACTTTCCACTTTACTGTAGAGCCACGTTTAAAAAATTTCGAAAAAAAAAACCAAAAATCTCGAATATTGAACATACGTGATTCGTGACTGGATGCCAGATGCCATTTGACTATCGGGCCACCTTTCAAAATTTTCGAAAAATTTCCAAAAAATCTCCAATTTTGGAAGCAGATAATCGGATAATTGTTAACATTAGTACCTGAATAAAAATGTTTCTTATAAATTATGACTAAAACTCCAAAAAATCTATAATTTTGAAAACAAGTCATTGGATTATTGTTGACGTGCTTTAACCCGACTTGACTTGACCTAACATGACTTGAACAAGTATTTTTTTATGAATTATGACGAAAAAATCTGCATTACATTTAACTTTGACGCCAGATTTAAAAAAATTGAAAAAAAAATAAGCACAAGGGAGGTCTTCGACTGACGCTAATTTTTGATTGCTTCTTAAACTTATTTAAACGTTTCCTAAGCTCATCAGATCTATGTAATTTATATTACTGAAGTTTTTGCGTATACTTTAGTATATATTATACGGAAAAAGCGAATGAGTAAATATTTTAGATATGATGGTCGTCCGGTTTGCGTAAATGACATTCGCTGACGTTCGCGAATGCCTCTCTCCGTATTACCGAAATTATAGGGCGTCATTGGACCCAGAAGGATCGTTGAGGCCGATCTCCCCTACGCATCGGCAATGACGTCACGCCGTATAAATGGGGTGGTTCGAAATTAATTGTAACGACGCTCAGGTGTACGCTTACTCGTCGATGACATGTGAATTTTTTTAATATAAAACAGCCAAACTAGATTTTGTCGAAATTACATTTTGAATCACAATCGCATTTTACGAAAATATAGCAAGCCGTGACAAGATTTTCAGATTAGGTTTATTCGGGAGTTCCCTCGGGAAAACCCCGCTTAGACGAAAAGTATTATTAAATTGTCAAACCTGTGCAAAGCCAAGGAAAAACAATTGATCGGGCGTAACATCTGGAAGTCCTGGTAGCCGTCGATGCATGGAATTTGTAACTGCTTCGCGTCGTTTGTATCCTTCAAAAGCTGCGCGAAGGCCGCCGTTATCAGCTATATTTTCTCCCTGTGTGTTGTATCCTTGCACCTAAGGACCAAATTTCGCTTACTGTCAGCCCGAAATTTCGGTTCGAACGCTTACTCGGAACGCCGCCCCCAGGTCAGGCATGGTGTAATTGCTGTACTGGTCGATGATGCATCGGACTTTCTCATGGTAGTGGGTGAGCGTTGCGGTTGACCACCATTGTTTTAGATTCCCATTTTCGTCGTATCTGCGCCCTAAAATAATTCAGTTATAAGGGAAAAAACATTGAGGTAATTAACCTTGGTCATCAAATCCGTGTGTTATTTCATGCCCCATGATAGCACCAATGGCGCCGTAATCGATGGCTCTAGAAGATTAGTTACATTCACTGAACGTTCATCTATCAAACCAGATTCGTCATATCAATTTAACTAAGTAATTTTTTGGTCATCGCATCGGTCAAATATGACGCGGCGAAATTACTTCACAGGAAAAAAATAAATTTAATAGAGTGACGTGGCAAAAGAAATTAATAAAGTTTTTAAATTGACGTGTAACATGTTTTTTATTACAACGGAAAGGAGAAGTGAAGACTACTACGGAGACGCACCGAATAATTTATAATAATTTATAGAAACGTTTTAGAGCCTCTGGAATTGTCAAAAATAATAAATGATTCAAACAGAGCCACGCGTGTGCGTTAATTAAGTAATTTTTTATTATCACACCCGTCAGCTAAAACCCAGTAAAAATTAGTTTAATCAACGAAGCCTAAATCACGGGAAAATATCCGTTATAAAATCTCATTTAATTTTTTTTCTCTTAATGTCATATTTTAGAACATACATTTCAACTCAAATATGTCATTTCATGTATTCTTGAAGTTGCGTAGCTCGCAAAACACGCAAAAGTAGGTCCTCCGTTTTCATATGTCTGTCAGACGTTTGTCATAATTCACAAAATGTAACAAATAATGCTAGAAACTTTATTTATTTGATGCAGCCGTCATTTTTTGCATAATTATAATAATTAAATATGCTATGTTTAAAATTCATATGTAGCAGTTTTCAATGTAACATAAATAATTAATTAATTTGAAATAAATAATTATCTGACCATTGTAAATTAAACTTCAACAAACCATAAACATTACGCTTCATTTCAAATCAATACAGATGCATCACTAAATTTTATTTGTCGCTGATGTAAAATTATTTTATTACTATTTTCCATTCTTGTTTTAAAAAATAATTCAACAGGGAGACAGCTGACAGACAGAAATACGGACAAACTGACGTCCTTACGGACTATACACGTATATATAAATCTACTTGTAAAAAATATTAATCATAACAGTATTAAAAAAAACGTCGCGTCATTAAAACAATTACCAGCTAACACACTTACGGTTCTAACGTCAAGATAATTAAATATATCTCTCCATTAATAATATAACCTCAAGTTTTTTTTTTTTTTAATGATAAGTGCACATGTGAAAGTATCTTTCTAAAGACATTAAAGACCTTTAAAATAATTACACTTCACAAAAAAATGGACATTGCTGTTAAAAAATTCTCATCTGTGTTATTAAAGTGTCATTAGTTAATTTCCTGGAACAAAATTAAATTTGTAAAAATTAGATAGTTCAGTAAGAGTTTTTCACCGACTTTAGTATACAGATGAGTTTTAAATTTTTAACCTATGATTAATAAAAGTCGTGCTGATTTCAAAATATAGCGATTCTATTTGAAAATTAATTTTTTAAAAATCCAAAAATTGCAGTATTTCAGTGGGCTATTCTGGAAAAATGACAGGAGAAATGAGGCCGAAATTAACTTTTGCATGTTCAAATCTGCAAGCAAATGTCTACGGTTTAATTTCGAAAATGGTCGAAAATTGGCCGAAATTTTTATATGTTGAATAATTTTGCTTTTGAAAAGGTAGACAAAAAATTATCAAAAAATTCTGGGATATTGATTTCTCCTGGTTCCAAAAATTTAGCGTGTTTGTGGTACCCGGAGAAGATTTTGGAAATGTTCGGATCGAAAATAATTTTTTTCAAAAATCCAGAAAATTACAACGTTTCAAGGAAAAATGGTAGAAGTCATCCAAGAAATGAGGGCGAAACTAATTTCTATAGGTCGAGATCTCCAAGAAAATGTCTGTCGTTAAGTTTCCAAAATGGTCGAAAATTGGCCAAAATTTTCATACTGAAAAATTTTGCTTTTGAAAAAATTGACAAAAAATTCACAAAAGACTTTGGAATATGTATAGATTTTCCAAATTTTCTAAAATAAAAAAAAATGAAATACTTCAGTGGGTGTTTCTGGAAAAATAGTAGACACTATCGAACAGATGACACCGACACTAACTTCTACAGGTCGAAATCAATAAGAACATGTTTTTGGTTAAATTTCAAAAATTTGTTTCAAATTTTGTTTTTGAAAAATTTGTCAAAAAATTTCCAAAAGATTCTGCAATATTGATTTCGACGTGTTGATTCCAAAAATTTTGTGTGTTTATGGTCTCAGGACAATATGCTAGAAATATTTGGTCTCAAAATCAATTTTTTTCAAAAATCCAAAAAATTGAAATATTTTAGTTTGCGATTCTGGAAAATCAAAGAATTGGGTCCGAAACTAACTTCTGTCGGCCGAAATCTATAAGAAAATGTATGTCGTTAAGTTCCCAAAATGGTCAAAAATCGGCCAGCATTTTCATTGCCAAAAATTTTACTTTTGAAAAAGTTGCTAAAGAATTCCCAGAAATTCTGGGATATAGATTTGGATCTGTCGATTACAAATATTTAAGGTCTTCTTGGTTGCTGGGTAAGATTTTAGAAATATTCGGTTTGGAAATAACTTTTTTTCAAAAATCCAGAAAATTGCAAAATTTCAATGGGCGATTCTAGGAAAATGTTAGAAATCATGAAAGAAATGAGGGCGGAACTAACTTCTGTAGGCTAAAATCTATAAGAAAATATCTCGTTATATTACCAAAATGGTTGAAAGTTGTCTGAAATTTTTATACTGAAAAAAATTTGTTTTTGAAGACGTTGTCAAAAAATTCTGGAATAGAGATTTTGACCTCCTGATTAAAAAATTTTGCGTATTTATGGCCCCGGAGCAACATTTTAGAAATATTAAATTAACTTCTGTAGGCTGAAATCTAAAAGAAAATGTCTTCCTTATGTCCAAAATGGTCAAAAAGTGACCAGAATTTTCAAGGCCAAAAATTTTACCTTTGAAAAAGTTGCCAAAGAATTCCCAAATATTTTGGGATATAGATTTCGATCTGTCGATTACAAATATTTAAGGTCTTTATGGTTGCTGGGCAAGATTTTAGAAATATTCGGTTTGGAAATCAATTTTTCCAAAAATCCAGAAAATTACAAAATTTCAATGGGCGATTCTGGAAAAATGGTGGAAATCATCGAAGAAATGAGAACGAAATTAACTTTTGTAGGGCGAAATCTATAAGAAAATGTCTGGTTAAGTTTCCAAAATGATCAAAATTTGGCCGAAATTTTCATATCGAAAAATTTTGCTTTCCAAAAAGCTGTCAAAAAATTCCTAAAAAATTCTGGGATGTAGATTTCCATCTGCGGATTCCAAAGATCTTTATGGTCCTGGGGCAAGATTTTAGAAATATTCGGTTTGGAAATGAATTTTTCAAAAAACTAGAAAATTACAATATTCCGATGGGAAATTTTGGAAAATTGGTAGAAGTCACCCAAGAAATGAGGGAGAAACTAACCTCTGTAGGTTAAAATCTATAAGAAAATGTCTCGTTATATTTCCAAAATGGTTGAAATTTGGCGAAATTTTCATACTGAAAAAATTTTGCTTTTAAAAAAGTTGCAAAAAATTCTGGGATAGAGATTTTCACCTCTTGATTAAAAAAAAATTCGTGTCTATGCCCCCTGAGCAACATTTTAGAAATATTAAACTAACTTCTGTAGGCTGAAATCTAATAGAAAATGTCTTCCTTTAAGTCCAAAATGGCCAAAAATTGACCAGAATTTTCATGGCCAAAAATTTTACCTTAGAAAAAGTTGTCAAAGAATTCCCAAAAATTCTGAGATATAGATTTCGATCTGTCGATTACAAATATTTAAGATCTTTATGGTTGCTGGCAAGATTTTAGAAATATTCGGTTTGGAAATCAATTTTTTCAAAAATCCAGAAAATTGCAAAATTTCAATGGGCGATTCTGGAAAAATCGTGGAAATCATCGAAGAAATGAGAGCGAAACTAACTTTTGTAGGCCGAAATCTATAAGAAAATGTCTGGTTAAGTTTCCAAAATGATCGAAATTTGGCCGAAATTTTCATATCGAAAAATTTTGCTTTCCAAAAAGCTGTCAAAAAATTCCTAAAAAAATTTGGGATGTGGATTTTAATCTGCTGATTTTAAAGATTTAAAACGTCTTTATGGTACCGGTGCAAAATTTTAGCAATATTCGGTTTGGAAATCAATTTTTGAAAAAAACAGGAAATTCCAATATTCCGATGGGAAATTCTGAAGAAATGGTAGAAGTCACCCAAGAAATGCGGGCGAAACTAACTTCTGTAGGTTAAAATCTATAAGAAAATGTCTCGTTATATTTCCAAAATGGTTAAAATTTGGCCGAAATTTTCATACTGAAAAAATTTTGCTTTTAAGAAAGTTGTCAAAAAAATCGCAAAAAATTCTGGGATAGAGATTTTGACCTCCTGATTAAAAAAAATTTCGTGTCTATGCCCCCGGGAGCAACATTTTAGAAATATTAAACTAACCTCTGTAGGCTGAAATCCAATAGAAAATGTCTTCCTTTAGGTCCAAAATGGCCAAAAATTGACCAGAATTTTCATGGCCAAAAATTTTACCTTAGAAAAAGTTGTCAAAGAATTCCCAAAAATTCTGGGATATAGATTTCGATCTGTCGATTACAAATATTAAGGTCTTTATGGTTGTTGGGCAAGATTTTAGAAATATTCGGTTTGGAAATCAATTTTTTCAAAAATCCAGAAAATTGCAAAATTTCAATGGGTGATTCTGGAAAAATGGTGGAAATCATCGAAGAAATGAGAGCGAAATTAACTTTTGTAGGCCGAAATCTATAAGAAAATGTCTGGTTAAGTTTCCAAAATGGTCGAAATTTGGCCGAAATTTTCATATCGAAAAATTTTGCTTTCCAAAAAGCTGTCAAAGAATTCCTAAAAAATTCTGGGATGTAGATTTCAATCTGCGGATTCCAAAGATCTTTATGGTCCTGGGGCAAGATTTTAGAAATATTCGGTTTGGAAATCAATTTTTCAAAAAACTAGAAAATTACAATATTCCGATGGGAAACTTTGGAAAATTGGTAGAAGTCACCCAAGAAATGAAGGCGAAACTAACCTCTGTAGGTTAAAGTCTATAAGAAAATGTCTCGTTTTATTTCCAAAATGGTTGAAATTTGGCCGAAATTTTCATACTGAAAAAATTTTGCTTTTAAAGAAGTTGTGAAAAAATTCACAAAAATTCTGGGATAGAGTTTTTGACCTCCTGATAAAAAAAAATTTCTTGTCTATGCCCCCGGAGCAACATTTTAGAAATATTAAACTAACTTCTGTAGGCTGAAATCTAATAGAAAATGTCTTCCTTTAAGTCCAAGATGGTCAAAAAGTGACCAGAATTTTCATGGCCAAAAATTTTACGTTTGAAAAAGTTGCCAAAGAATTCCCAAAAATTCTGAGATATAGATTTCGATCTGTCGATTACAAATATTTAAGGTCTTTATGGTTGCTGGGTAAGATTTTAGAAATATTCGGTTTGGAGTTCAATTTTTTCAAAAATCCATAAAATTGCAAAATTTCAATGGGCGATTCTGGAAAAATGGTGGAAATCATCGAAGAAATGAGAGCGAAACTAACTTTTGTAGGCCGAAATCTATAAGAAAATGTCTGGTTAATTTTCCAAAATGATCGAAATTGGCTGAAATTTTCATATCGGAAAATTTTGCTTTCCAAAAAGCTGTCAAAAAATTCCTAAAAAATTCTGGGATGTAGAATTCAATCTGCGGATTCCAAAGATCTTTATGGTCCTGAGGCAAGATTTTAGAAATTTTCGGTTTGGAAATCAATTTTTCAAAAAGCTAGAAAATTACAATATTCCGATGGGAAATTTTGGAAAATTGGTAGAAGTCACCCAAGAAATTAAGGCGAAACTAACCTCTGTAGGTTAGAATCTATAAGAAAATGTCTCGTTATATTTCCAAAATGGTTAAAATTTGGTCGAAATTTTCATACTGAAAAAATTTTGCTTTTAAAAAAGTTGTCAAAAAATTCGCAAAAATTCCTGGGATACAGATTTTGACCTCCTGATTAAAACAATTTTCGTATCTATGCCCCCGGAGCAACATTTTAGAAATATTAAACTAACTTCTGTAGGCTGTAATCTAATAGAAAATGTCTTCCTTTAAGTCCAAAATGACCAAAAATTGACTAGAATTTTCATGGCCAAAAATTTTACCTTAGAAAAAGTTGTCAAAGAATTCCCAAAAATTCTGGGATATAGATTTCGATCTGTCGATTACAAATATTTAAGGTCTTTATGGTTGTTGGGCAAGATTTTAGAAATATTCGGTTTGGAAATCAATTTTTTCAAAAATCCAGAAAATTGCAAAATTTCAATGGGCGATTCTGGAAAAATTGTGGAAATCATCCAAGAAATAAGAGCGAAACTAACTTTTGTAGGCCGAAATCTATAAGAAAATGTCTGGTTAAGTTTCCAAAATGATCGAAATTTGGCCGAAATTTTCATATCGAAAAATTTTGCTTTCCAAAAAGCTGTCAAAAAATTCCTAAAAAATTCTGGGATGTAGATTTCAATCTGCGGATTCCAAAGATCTTTATGGTCTTGGGGCAAGTTTTTAGAAATATTCGGTTTGGAAATCAATTTTTCAAAAAATTAGAAAATTACAATATTCCGATGGGAAATTTTGGAAAATTTGTAGAAGTCACCCAAGAAATGAGGGCGAAACTAACCTCTGTAGGTTAAAATCTATAAGAAAATGTCTCGTTATATTTCCAAAATGGTTGAAATTTGGTCGAAATTTTCATACTGAAAAAATTTTGCTTTTAAAAAAATTGTCAAAAAATTCGCAAAAATTCTGGGATAGAGATTTTGACCTCCTGATTAAAAAAAATTTCGTGTCTATGCCCCCCCGGAGCAACATTTTAGAAATATTAAACTAACTTCTGTAGGCTGAAATCTAATAGAAAATGTCTTCCTTTAAGTCCAAAATGGCCAAAAATTGACCAGAATTTTCATGGCCAGAAATTTTACCTTAGAAAAAGTTGTCAAAGAATTCCCAAAAATTCTGGGATATAGATTTCGATCTGTCGATTGCAAATATTTAAGGTCTTTTTGGTTGCTGGGCAAGATTTTAGAAATATTCGGTTTGGAAATCAATTTTTTCAAAAATCCAGAAAATTGCAAAATTTCAATGGGCGATTCTGGAAAAATGGTGGAAATCATCGAAGAAATGAGAGCGAAATTAACTTTTGTAGGCCGAAATCTATAAGAAAATGTCTGGTTAAGTTTCCAAAATGGTCGAAATTTGGCCGAAATTTTCATATCGAAAAATTTTGCTTTCCAAAAAGTTGTCAAAAAATTCTGGGATATAGATTTCAATCTGTCGATTCCAAAAATTTAAAACGTCTTTATGGTACCGGGGCAAAATTTTAGCAATATTCGGTGTGGAAATCAATTTTTTCAAAAAACCAGAAAATTGCAATATTCCGATGGGAAATTCTGGAAAAATGGTCGAAGAAGAAGAAATGAGGGCGAAAATAACTTCTGCAATCTAAAATCTATAAGAAAAGGTCTCGTTAAGTTTCCAAAATGGTTGAAAATTGTCCGAAATCTTCATACTGAAAACTTTTGCTTTTGGAAAAGTTGTCAAAAAATTCGCAAAAATTCTGGAATAGAGTTTTTGACCTGCGTGTTTATGGCGCAAGATTTTAGAAATATTAAACTAACTTCTGTAGGCTGAAATCTAAAAGAAAATGTCTAAAATGGTCGAAAATTGGCCGAAATTTTCATAGTGAAATATCTTGATTTTGAGAAAATTGGCAAACAATTCTCAAAATCATACAGAGATTTTGTTTTGCCGATTTCAAAAATTTAGCGTGTTTATGACGCGTTTCAGCAGCCACGCTGTCATCTTCTCTGTGTAGGTACATCTGAAACTAAAAAGTTTTTTTGGCACATGGTGTTTTATATTTGTCAAAATTTCAATTATCGTGTGCCTCTTGTGTAGTTATTTCGTTTTTTTGTCTCTAGGGCTCGGAATTAATTTGCCTTACTAGTGAGACATCTGTATGTGGTAAAAGATAAGTTCAAAGATAAATTGTGTTGTTTTTTTGTAACACTTTGGAGTCAAAAAAGGTTCGCCAACATAACTGCGGTGGAATTTTCGGTGTTGTGGGGATAATAAGGTGCTAGATTTGGTGTGAATGCACGGAATGATCGTTTAGAAATTACGTAGTACGTGATTTCATCGTTATAACTACGTGTAAACGACAAAGAATGCATGTGTGTAAAATTAGGTTATTCTAATGAGATTTTCGAGTCGAGCTTTCCGTAGCACATATTACGTGCGACGCACCATGTGGTGTATGTGTCTGTAGTCGTATAAACGTGAGAAATGCAAGAAGAGTAAGAGAGGAGGAACAGCCCTTTACAAAGACCCTTCCTATTAACACCCACTTGTCTGAGAAACTTTACAGACTTCTTGAATTCATTATAATTAAACTTTTGGTTTATTTCAATTTCGATTCAGGTGAAAATCGTGCGTTTTCGAAAACATTGAAGACAGTTCGAAGCGATCGTTACATGTTTGTGTTTTAGATTATGGTTGAGTTCCGATCGTGGGATAATGGTATTGTTTTACCGTTTACTTACGCTATTCCGTTGCCGTAAAAAGGGGGTTTTAGTATGCCAGCTGGAAATGCTGGAAATTATTTTACAGATTTATACCATATTTTTTATTAGCTGTATAAAAAAGACTTACTGACAGAGTTCAGTGTCGCCGAGTAAAATGCATTTACGGTCGTGGCTGAAGCTACCCATCTGAAACAATAAAATGTAATATCTCTTTACAATAAAATGCGCGCTATACCGATTACGATCTGGTTTTTTTCGAATACTTTGCAGGTTTCTTCGTACCGCCGCGTTCGTTAAATTTAGGTAAGTATCGAAGAGGTTTCCCTCGATCACGTGCGCCTGAAATAACGACATTTAGAGGATATATTTTTGAGTAACTAACTATTCCGTGGTAAGGTGAAATCTCCGAAAATCTTTCATCAACGGACTGAATCTGAAGGGGGCTTTTCGAGTAGTTGCTTAATACACCAAGATTACGGTGACATTAAAAATTCTACTAGAAGGGCAAGCTCCTTTGGACCTTGCTAAGTAGCAGGTTCAAGGGGTACGCGAAGATGGATTTTCAGCGATTTGTGTAACTGTTATTTATTCAGTTTTGGTTTAGCGCGGTGATCTATTTGCTTTGAAATTTGATATTTGGCATAATCCGTGTAGGAATAATTCTTAATTAAAATTTTATAAGCTGTTATTGGGGAGCTGACGCTCATAAATTTCGGCCTTAACATTTGCGAGCTCCTAAAACCATTTCATCCGACACAGTTTTACTTTTGGAATTGATTCGAAAAAGTTGTACTTGGAATTGTGAAACGTTTCGTGGGTATTTTCAGCATTTTCAGAAAATGCTGGATTTTTACATTAACTCACTCAAACTCGAAGCACGTTAGACGTCAGATCAAATTATATGACGAAGAATATATCTGTTGTTATTCGAGACGTGCGATTTATTATTTTCTCTAGTTTTTAGTTTCTCTATAAACACCTAACGTGTAATACAATGTGTATCAGATTCTATGTAAGTAGAATTAAGGTATACCGGGTGTCTTAGTAACTAAAAAAGTAAAAATATTTTATTCACAGCACTTGGAAAATATACAGTATTTTATTTTAAACCGATAAATTAGATGTCATTTATGACAAAATAAAAGGTGTCATATAATTGTTGATACGTGATTAATATTCTCAATTTTAAGCTTGTTTTTTTTTTAAATAACCGAGATATTTAAGTGGGAATGGGACACCTCGTAACACAAATTGTCAAATTTAATTTTGCAAAATGTTATTTCTTGTGATAATCCCTATGTGTAGTATAAAAAGTTGTTATAAAATTTGGATTTTTGCAAAAAGCTGGATGCCTAGGGGTATAATTTAAGGCGGATTCATAAACCGTAACTAGAAGAGTGTTATTTTATTAAGTTTTAGAAGAGTGTTATTTTATTAAGTTTAAATAGTACTTATCATGAACATTTTTGAGGTGACGTCACCAAATTGTTGGGGGGATAATTAAACAAATTTTGGTTAGCGTTTTACCACGTAGATAATATTCTTAACATACACATAAGCTTTGGCAATAATTGGCCGAGACTAACTGTTTTCGTTGAGTTTCCAAAATGGTCAAAAATTGGTCAAATTTTTCATATTGAAAAATTTTCCATTTGAAAAATTTTGCTTTTGAAAGAAAGTGTCAAAAAATTCCCAAACAATTCCGGGACATTGGTTTCGATTTGCTGACTCCAAAAATTTTGAGTGTTCATGGTCCTGGGGTAAGATTTATGAATTGTCGCTCATTAAGTTTCGAAAACGGTTAAAAATTATCAAAAATTTTCATGGAGGAAGCATATCGAAAAATTTTGATTTTGAAAAAGTTACCAAAAAATTCCCAAAATAATCTGGGATAGATTTTGTCGTGCTGATTCCAAAAACATGGCTTGTGGTGCAAGATTTAAGTTAAATTATTTTAAAAATTCCTAGGAGAAAAATAAATATTAACATGCCCCGCCCACCAAGTCCACTTTAATGATCCTTTTTATTTCTCAGGAACTCAGGGCAAGCAAATGAACTATTTCTGTAGAAAAAATCGTTTGAATTTCTTTTTAAATAACTCATTCCTAATGAAAACACGACCATCCTAAGAGAAACATCAAACGATAAACCCCGCCCACTCACCTCTTCCTGCCTAAATGAGTGTTTATTCATTGTTAAACGAGAGGCGGAGTTTAATTTCAAATCAGAATTTTTTATAGAAATACCTATATTTTAAGTACGTTTTAACTATTTATTCATTGAAAATTGATGGCTTAAAAAAACAGGTGTGCCCGTTTATTGCTTACCCTGATACAAAAAAGATGGCCCGCCCGCCGACCCTAAACTCCGCCTTAATGATCCATTTATCCCGCACGAACTTAAAGTGAGCGAAGCTTAGACGCAAATTAAATATTTCTGTAGAAAAAAAGCCCTTTGATTTTTTAAAATAATTTATTACTACTGAATAATTCTAAGAAAAACACTAAACGAATAAGCTCCTCCCACTCACCCCTTCTAGCCTAAATGAGTGTGTCTTAATCGTGAAACGAGAGGCGGAGCTTAACCTCAAATGAGGATATTTATATTTTGAACACGTTTTAAGTATTTGTTCATCTAAACTTGATGGCTTTTAGAAAAAACGGTGTGCCTGTTTATTGCTTACTGTGATATAAAAAAGATGCCCCGCCCACCCACCCTAAACTCCGGTTTAATAATCCGTTCATTATTCAAAGCGGGCGAAGCTTAGATGCAAATTGTATATTTCTGTAGAAAAAAAATTACCTTTGATATTTTTTTCAATAATTCATTACTACTGAAAACACGACCATTCTAAGAAACCATTAAACGAATAAGCCCCGCCCACTCACCTTTCCTAGCCTAAATTAATCGTTGAACGAGAGGCGGAGCTTAACTTCAAATGAAGATTTTTTTTTAGAAATCTCTAAATTTTGAACACGTTTTAGGTATTTGTTCAATGAAAATTGTTGGCTTTAAAAAAAAGGTGTGCCTGTTTATTGCTTACTATGATACAAAAAAGATGCCCCGCCCACCCACCCTAAACTCGGCCTTAATGATCCATTTATTCCTCATGAGTTCAAATTGAGCGAAGCTTAGAGATGCAAATTAAATATTTCTGTAGAAAAAAGAGCCTTTTGAGTTTTTTTTTTTTAAATAATTCATTACTATTGAAAACACGACCATTCTAAGAAAAACATCAAAATAATACCCCGCCCACACACCTCTTCTAGCCTAAATGAGGGTTTATTAATCGTGAAACGAAAGGCGGAGCTTAATTTCAAATGAGGATTTTCATAGAAATAGCTATATTTTAACACATTTTAAGTATTTGTTTGAAAATTGTTGGTTTAAAAAAAAAGGATGTGCCCGTTTATTGCTGACTGTGATAAAAAAAGATGTCCCGCCCACCCACCCTAAACTCCGCCTTAATGATCCGTTTCTTCTTCGTGAGCTCAAAGCGGGCGAAGCTTAGATGCAAAGTAAATATTTCTGTAGAAAAAAAGCCCTTTGATTTTTTTTTAGTAATTCATTACTATTGAAAACACGATAGTTCTAAGAAAAACATTAAACAAATAAGGCCCTCCCACTCACCTCTTCTAGTTTAAATGAGTGTGTATTAATAGCGAAACGAAAGGCGGAGCTTAATTTGAAATGAAGATTTTTATAGAAATATCTGAATTTTGAATACGTTTCAAGTGTTTGTTCATTGAAACTTGATGGCTTTCAGAAAAAACGGCGTGCCTGTTTATTGCTTACTGTGAAACAAAAAAGCTGCCCCACCCACCCGCCCTAAACTCCGCCTTAATGATCCGTTTATTCTTCATGAACTCAAAGCGGACGAAGCTTAGATGCAAATTATATATTTCTGTAGAAAAAAAATTACCTTTGATTTTTTTTTCAATAATTCATTACTACTGAAAACACGACCATTCTAAGAAACTATTAAACGAATAAGCCCCGCCTACTCACCTTTCCTAGCCTAAATTAATCGTTGAACGAGAGGCGGAGCTTAATTTCAAATGAGGATTTTTTAGAAATATCTATATTTTGAACACGTTTTAAGTATTTGTTCGCTGAAAATTGTTGGCTTAAAAAAAGGTGTGCCCGTTTATTGCTTACTCTGATACAAAAAAGATGCCCCACCCACTCACCCTAAACTCCGCCTGAATGATCCATTTATTTCTCATGAGCTCAAAGTGAGCGAAGCTTAGAGATGCAAATTAAATATTTCTGTAGAAAAAATGCCTTTTGAGTTTTTTTTCAACAATTCATTACTACTGAAAAGACGACCATTCTAAGTAAAACATTAAACGAATGCCCAGCCCATTCAACTATTCTAGACTGAATGAGTGTATTAATCGTGAACGAAAGGCGGAGCTTAATTTCAAATGAGTATTTTTATAGAAATATCTCTATTTTGAACACATTTTAAGTATTTGTTTGAAAATTGAGGGCTTTAAAAAAAAACGATGTGCCCGTTTATTGCTTACTGTGATACAAAAAAGATACCCCGCCCACCCTCCCCAAACTCCGCCTTAATGATCCGTTTATTCTTCATGAACTCAAAGGGGGCGAAGCTTAGATGCAAATAAAATATTTCTGTAGAAAAAAATGACCTTTGATTTTTTTTTAATAATTCATTACTACTGAAAACACGATCATTCTAAAAAAACATTAAACGAATAAGCTCCGCCTACTCACCTTTTCTAGCCTAAATTAATCGTGAAACGAGAGGCGGAGCTTAATTTCAATTGACGATTTTTTTAGAAATATCTATATTTTGAACACCTTTTAATGTATGTATTTGTTCACTTAAAATTGTTGGTGTTAAAAAAAGGTGTGCCCGTTTATTGCTTACTGTGATAAAAAAAGATACCCCGCCCACCCACCCTAAACTCGGCCTTAATGATCCATTTATTCCTTATGAGTTCAAATTGAGCGAAGCTTAGAGATTCGAATTAAATATTTCTGTAGAAAAAAAGCCTTTTGAGTTTTTTTTTTTAATAATTCATTACTATTGAAAACACGACCATTCTAAGAAAAACATCAAAATAATGCCCCGCCCACACACCTCTTCTAGCCTAAATGAGTGTTTATTAATCGTGAGACGAAAGGCGGAGCTTAATTTCAAATGAGGATTTTTATAGAAATAGCTATATTTTGAACACATTTTAAGTATTTGTTTGAAAATTGATGGTTAAAAAAAAAGGTATGCCCGTTTACTGCTGACTGTGATAAAAAAGGATGCCCCGCCCACCCACCCTAAACTCCGCCTTAATGATCCGTTTATTATTCGTGAG